CGCTGTTCTCCAGGACGTCATTACGTGCTGCATGGAGATCCTTCAGTTCAAGCACACAGAGCCCGTTGCTAAATTCATGACCAAGCTTGAGAAGCTCCATTCCTTGGTGCACGAGTGGCAGACCGTGGCTAGCAGAGAATACTCCGCCGTTACTGTTTACGATGAGATCACCAGTACTATCATCAGCTGGCGCCGACTTGAATTGTCGACCTGGGCCAAACTTCTGGATCTCGAGAAGGAACGTTGTGACGACGACGTCAGTGCTTGGTGGTTTATCGCCTATGAGGCCCTCCTTGGAGCCCCCATTCAAATGGCAGAGGCAGGTGAACAGGACATGAGTGAGCATACCCAGAGCTTGATGTCTACCTTGGAACAATTCTTCAAGTCTACTACTCTTGGTCAATTTGCTCGTCGCCTGCAATTGGTCACCAACTTCCAAGCTTTGCTGGAGGTCTTCACTAAGGACTTCCCTTGTCTCAAGCAGCTTGTTTCAGCCTTGGAAAACTTCCTCCACCACTACCGACCCTTCCAACCAGGGGTGGACAAGATCTTGACCGAGAAGCGTGCCGCTCTTGAAAAGGATATCAAGGAGCAGATCCAGTTGGCCAGCTGGAAGGACATCAACATTGTTGCTCTGAGGGAGAGCGCCAAACGGTCCCATGTTAAGTTGTTCAAGTTGGTTCGTAAGTACCGTGAGGCTCTTGGCCAGCCGGTCCAATCAACCCTTGAGCAAGGTCTTCCAGAAAGCACCGAAGAGATCACTTCAATGTCTCATTCGGAACCAATCCGTCCTACTGCGCTATTCCCCGAGGCGATGGCAATCTGCCAAAAGAACAAGGACCTCTGGTCAACCAGAGCACTGCGTTTCCAGAAGCCTGATGGCACAGCCGACAACATGATGAAGCTTTACTCTGCCATTCCATCCGAGTTTGACATCGCCAAGGATCTCGACAGCTTCATTGTGTCTGTGATTGAGAACATGAACGAGTACAAGTCCAAGACACCCAAGGTCTTGACCGAGGATAACAAGGATGACGTCCAGCACCTCAAGTCCCAAAAGCGTCGTCTCTACGCTGAAACCCTGAAGAAACTCTACGAGATGGGCGTTAAGCGCAATGCTGGAACTAGCGTGATCGAGACTCAAGAATCTCTCGCCCAGATCCTTGCTACTAGCGCTGCTTTCGAGTCTAGCGCGGCAACTTCGAGCGCTGTTCAAAGTGCCGACTGGTACTTCCACAGACTTGTGGACCTCCTGCCCAAGACCCGTCTAGCTTCGCGCAACTATTCCGAGGAGCTGAGCAACGTCGAGGTCTTCAGGAGTATGGGATCTATTGAGCACCTTATCTTCACCGTTCGGCGGCAGAGAGGTATTATCTCACCCGCTCTCACTGGCCTAGGCAAGTTGAAGTCCACGCTTGACAAGGTGCAGAACCTTTGGACAGCAACCTCCAACTCTCTCTCCAAGGACCATGCTTCTACTTCGGAAGAACGAACCAACCTGGCCAGAGTCGTGGCTTGGTTGGCGCCCATTCTTGGATTGGCTGCCATGATTGTCGGCGTGCATGCCAAGTTCTCAGGACTTGATGCATCCAAGATTGTCGAAGCGCTAAGCTCCAAGAAAGCGACCTTCGACACCTTGCGCAAATCGCACGAGGCTCTTCCCCTTCTGCCTACCGGAATTGTGTCGAAGGCGCACCACGAGATCATGCAGCAGACACGGGCCTCGCTCGACGAGTTGGCTGCTGATCTGAAGAAATGGAGTCAGTCTCGCCCCGACCTTGCCTTCGCATTGGACCAGGTCACACCCTGGATCAGAACAGACATAGGTGCTCTTCCCGACACTTTCGAAGAGAACAACATTTCCATCCAAGCCTTCGACAGCAGCCTTCTGACTGCCATTGACAAGATGCTCATTGGTCTCCAGAAGCTCAAGGAAGTGCCTGCTGCTATCAACTTTGATGGGTTGCTGTTGAGGAGTGACGAGTTCTTCTCTCGTGGAGTGAAGGCTGTCCATCTCACCGAGATCACATCATCATTCGAGATGGTCCTTGAGCAGTTGAACCACCTGCAAGACCATTCCGCAGCCGGCCTCTTTATTGCCACTGCCTTGATCACTAGTATCTTGCCCGTTGCCAACAGATACTATCAAATCTGCCGAGACCTTGCCGATCGATTCGTCGCTGTTCATCGCGAGATCTGTAAGACATCTTACATTCTGACAAAGACCTTCAACCAGGTCGCCTCCGAGGGCTTCTGTAGTCCTGGCGAGGCCTCCCAAGACCAGGGCAAGGAGGGTAAGATGGAAAGTGGAACGGGTCTCGGTGAAGGCGAAGGTGCGGAAGATATCAGCAAGGATGTTGGTGATGACGAAGACCTCTCTGAGCTGGCCCAGCAGGAGAACAAGAAAGAGGACGGTGACGACGAGATGGATGATTCCGCCGACGCTGTCAATATGGACCAGGAGGAGCTCCAAGGTGACGCCGAGGACCGTAAGGATGGCGAAGAGGAGGATAAGGATGAGAGTGCCGATGAAGGTGAAGATGACATCGACGAGGAGACTGGCAGCGTCAATGACCTCGACCCAGCTGCTGTTGATGAGAAGCTCTGGGACGGTGGAAACGATGACCAGCAGAAGGATACCGAGAACGAAGAAGGCAAGGGCCAGTCAGAGGCTGAGCAACAGGCTGCCGCACAAGAGGAACAGAAGAAGGACAAGGACGGCGAAAAGGCCGAAGACAAGGATGGTGAAGGCGAAGAGGAGGAAGAAACTGAAGACGAAGAAGCCCCTGAAGATGAGGGTGAGGCAGTAGGCCGTGAGGAGATGGATGTCACCGACCCTCAAGCGGAGGAGCAAGAGACACTTGAGCTTCCCGAAGAAATGCAGCTTGACGGTGATGATGGAAAGGATGATGGTGGTGACGAAGACGATGATGGAATGGATGACCTTGACGATGACATGGGTCCCGCTCCTGAGGAAGAAGGCAAGGTCGAAGATGGTGACGATCATGCCGGCGAAGAAGACATCGACGCAGCACCAGATGACCAAGCGCCTGGTGAGGATGAAGAGATGGGCGATGAAGATGCCAACGAAGCCGAAGCCGGAGGAGAGGAAGAAGAGGAAGCTGGCGGCGAAGACCCTGATGAGCCCGAAAAGGACGACTTCCTCGCACAGCGTGATGAAAATGAGGCCGCGGGCGATAATGTCGCTCCTAGCGAGGCTGTTACTGGAGGACTCGGAGCGGAGCAAGACCAAAACGAAGAGAAGGGTGCATCGGGCGACGCCCAGCAGGAGAGCGGTTCGAGTGATCCCACCGCCAATGTCGACGAACAGACGGGTGCTGCTAAAGACAGCGAGGAGAGCCAGGCCAGCCGAGAAGCCGGTGGAGGCGAAGAGACGAAGCCGAATGAGCCTCAAATGCAGGCGTTCAAGAAACTTGGTGATATGTTGGAGGAATGGCACCGAAGGCAAAAAGAGATTCTGAACCCATCCCAAGAGGAGGACGATTCCCAGCCTATGCCTCAAGACACCGATATGGCCGACGCGGACTTCGAGCACCTCAAGGACGACGATGACGCTGCTGATACCCAGGCTTTGGGACAAGCCAACGAAGAGCAAGCACAAGCTCTCGACCAGAGCAAGGGCGTCGAGTCCGACATCAAGCCCGGCGAGAACGATGTTCTCCCCGATGTCGCAGAAGACCAGCAAGACGCCGTGGACAATCAACTCGAGGATGAGATGCAAATCGACCGTGAAACCGCCCCCACCGACAGCGAACACGCCGGTGCCTTCATTCCAGGCGGTCATCCATCCCAAGACCGTGCAGAGGGAGGACAGGGCGCCGAAGCCCTGAACGAGGAGCTCGACGAAGTCGACACCCAGCTTGCAGCAATCCACCTCTCCTCCACGCTTCCACCGTTGACCCCACAAGACGAAGCCCGTCGCCTTTGGTCTCACTACGAGTCCGCGACAAATGATCTCTCCCTCTCGCTGACCGAACAACTCCGCCTCATCCTCGCTCCAACAATGGCTACCAAGCTCCGCGGCGACTTCCGCACCGGAAAGCGTCTCAACATCAAGCGCATCATCCCATACATTGCGTCCCAGTACAAGCGCGACAAGATTTGGATGCGCCGCTCCATCCCCAAAAGCGAAACTACCAGATCATGCTCGCTGTCGATGACAGCAAGTCCATGCTTGAAAGTGGAAGTGGCCAGCTCGCCTTCGAGACCCTCGCCCTCGTCGCGAAGAGTCTGAGCATGCTCGAAGCAGGCGACCTTTGCGTCCTCGGCTTTGGTAATGAAGACCATGTTCGCGTCGCTCACGAATTCGGAAAGCCTTTCTCCTCGGAGGCTGGTTCGCAGGTCTTCCAGCATTTCAGCTACCAGCAAACTGGCACAAACGTGCGCAAGCTGATCGCTGATTCAATTGCGTTATTCCGTGAGGCGCGCTGGAAGCGTTCGCCTGGTTCTGGCTCTGCTGATCTCTGGCAACTTCAGCTCATTATCTCTGATGGTATCTGTGAAGATCATGATACTATTCGTCGTCTTGTCCGACAGGCGCTTGAGGAGCGCATCATGATTGTGTTTATCATCGTTGATGCTATTAAGGGTAGCTCGATCCTTGATCTCTCGCAGGCCAACTTTGAGGCCGATCCTGCTTCTGGTGGTGAGATGAAGCTTAAGATGAAGCGCTATCTTGATCACTTCCCCTTCCCTTACTACCTCGTTGTCCGTGATGTGAAGGAGTTGCCCTCTGTGTTGGCTACTGCGCTGAAGCAGTGGTTTGCCGAGGTTGTGGACGTGTCGTCTTGATTCCGCACCTAAAAAAGGAGTTCGGGTTGTGTATTTGGAGTTTTTTGTTTCATTTTATGGCGTTTGTTGCATTTCATTTGTATATGATAGAAGTTAGAGATGTGAAACACATCAACTGAATGTACAGTTTCTACTTGACTCGAACTGCCGTAGTGCTTAAATTATAATGCATTTGTTATTACTTCATTTCAAGCCTTCTTTCTCTTCTCCTTCTCCAACATCCACTCCCGGATCGCCTTTAGCTTCATCGCTGAAAACTTCATCAACACCCACCTCGGCGAAACATCCATAGAAATCCCCTGCACCCAATGCCAGAAATACGCCCAAACAATCTCCCTCCCACATCCAACCCGATTCAATCCCGCCGACGCCAAAGTCCTCGCTGTAGGAACAAACAGACTGGTCGGGATGTCATAGCCACCACTCTGCACCTCCGCAGACTTCAACGCCATCACCTCAATATTCTTCCCCTCAGCCTTCATCTCTGCACTTAGTGCCCCCGTGAAAGACTCGACATACCCCTTGGCCCCACTATACACCGTGATATAGGGCAGCCCTATAGCCGCAACAGAAGAAACATTAAGTATAAGACCAGGGACACCGTTGCCTCCCAAAACAGGCATCAAGACGCGCGAGAGCTGAGTCATGAACACGGCATTCAGACAAAACGTCGCATCAACATCCTCATACGTCAACTCACTCAACATAGCAGCAGCCTTCGTCTCGCCTCCAATATTATTAACCAGCACCGTCAACATCCCGCCTCCGCCTTTCTCAATAATAAGGCGCACTTGATCAGCGATACCGTCCACATCATCCTTCTTCAGCGCCTGAACGTCCAAAACCAACGATCCGGTCTTGGCATCGGGAAACTCGGCCCCAAGTTCGCGCTGCCGTTTTTCGAGCTTGGCGGCATTGCGTCCATGGAGGATGACGTTGAACCCGCGCGCGCAGAGTTCTTGACAGAAGCCGAAGCCTATGCCGTCTGTCGCGCCAGTTACTATGGCCCAGTTGGCCTTTAGGTTGGGGTTATAGCGGCTTTTTAGGGTTGAGGGGAGGAGGAAGGTTGTTGCTTGCGAGGTGAACTTGTAGGTTATGTAGCTGACGGTTGCGAGGCCGATGTAGCTTAAAGGCGTTGAATACTCGAAGGGAGACATTGTGGAGGCTTTGATTTGGGGGAATTAGATAGGAGAAGAGGTTTTGAAATTGCTTACGCTGTTATGTATTACATTTCGGGTTCGGGTTCGCACTCGTTTCCGTTTTCGTTGTCGTTGACTACGTGGGTAGCAGATTTACTGGCTATAGGTGGCTATTTTCGCCAAAGAAACAATAATAGTTAATTGGACTCAGCAATAAATAGCCAAGTTATGGCGGTATATTAATATCGGGATGTCAACAGACACAGACTCATGACGTATGACTGTACATTTTCGACTTGACTCAAATTGTCGTAGGCTACTACCTGTAGATTGGTATTGGTATCTCAATGCTAATGCGCTTGACAAAGAACGGTTCCATATGTCCATATTGACTACAACTACCATCCGTACTTGGATCCAGCTTCCTTTTTGTTCCTCCTGCCAGCTGCAAAGCTCTCCTCCAGCGCTTCCTTCTGTGAGCTCGCCGCATTGACCAATTGCTGGAGACTGTGCTTGCCAGGCGCAATAGCGCGTACGGGGTTGTGCTGAGCTGCAGCCAGCTCTCCCTGAGCCAGCACCTGGTTCGAGGCGTACTCTTCATCTGTATTGAAGGTGCGTACTTGTGACTGCGAAGGCATGGCATTTCGCCCAAAGAGTTGGCGCCGTTCGGCCTTGGATAGATTGAGATCGTTGGCAACTGTATCCAAAGATGAAAGATTGGACGATGCTGTGTGGGGGTAGTCTTGGGGGACGTATGTAGATTCGGGCACGGCAGGACCGGCTGGTGGTGCGTCACCCTCGGCGTTGTATACCAGCGGCTCGTATGTTGCTGAGGGTCCTGGTGGTGTATCTGCCCGAGAAGTCTCCTCCGAGGATAGAGAGAACAGGCTGACTTTCGGTTTTGGCGCTGCGGGAGCAGGGGTTTGTGGTGCAGACTCTTGAGGAAGAGGCGCAGTCTTCGGTGCCGTTGGACCAGTTGTCGGCTGCGGAGCCGCCTTGGTGCTCTTATTTTTCTTTGGCCGTCCCACTGATAGCGGTCTGAACATCATAGGATTACCCTGCAACTTGACCTCATCCGGCTTCTTCATTGTCTCCGGGGCGTCAGGTGTAGTGGTGTTGAGGCTGCCCGCTGCGGGTATGGCCTCGGCATCTCCATCTGCTGCTGGATCATTGAGAGCTTGTTCGTTCCTTGTCTCTGCATCGGCTGTGCGATCGAATCCCGGGCCTGCACCTGTCTTGAGGCTGAACGGTTTGCGCGTTGACGCCACCGGTGTTTTCTTCTCGGCTGCTCGTTTCGGGGCTGGCAGAAAGGAGTTGAATCCTGAAAGACCTCCTCCGCCACCTAATCGTGGCTTTTTGCGTGCTGGACCGTCCTCTCCATCCTGGCCGGCTGTGGTTTCGGGTTTGATCTCGGGGAGCGCAACGCGGATCTTGCGCGGGTTGCTGCGGTCGACTTGGAAGCCGCTAGAATCTGACTTTTTTGTCTTTTCGGTCGGGATAGCCGGAGTGGTGTCTGGCTCAGCATCCGAGCCTTCGGAGTCGGAGTAGGCTACTAGGGCCATGGTGGTGTGTGTGGTCGATCTCGTAGATGGATACAGTCCAAGTTAGGCATATTGTGGCCTGAATATCAGGGCAGACACACACCATTACGTCAGCGCTTAATATTACATAATCATTGAGCTCCAAGGAATGTGAGACAGTTGAGATCAGAGAGATCGGCAGAGACACGGTTGAGGACTAAACGGGAAAATGTCCGAAAACATGCTCCATGTGCTCCGTACCGGCTCTTAACTTTACCTACAAACCTACTCTAGAGTGTTTGGAGATGATCGCATCCATTGATAACGTCATACATGCAGCCGGTTACTCCGCCTCCTATATTGAATTTTGCTAACATCAATGATATCAACAAGTCTATAGTATATTTGTGCAAGTAATCCGGAGTACTATGAGCAATATTTATGGTCAGTTTTGTTTCATATGATCAACCAAATGAGACCCAATAATGAAGATAAGGGAAATACGAGATTCTCGTACGTTGCTACGGCAGTGGCGTCCTGAAACACAGGAAAAGGAACGGGCATAGACAGAGCAATGAAGCAGAAGAGAACAGAGAACATAGGCAATAGATTCGAATAAACAATGCCGTGTTAGCTAGCATATGCGAGTATGAGCATACATGTTTGCAGTATATCGGGGCAAGATCAATGCGTCATTCTGGCTTTGCCCCTCCCCACTTAATCCGGACCTCCCATTCTTTCTTTCACCCCCAATGGCCCTTGACAATCCCTCTCCATGCCGAGCTTAGGAGGTTTATTGAAGAAGCGGAGAACGAAGGACTCGCACGATTCTGGGGATCCCAATACTGACGACTCAGGCGCATCCATGCAACCCGCATCCCATGCCTCGCCCCAACATACGGGCGAATCGAATGCCGCCAGTATCGACAACATCATAAACTCGAATTCCGGCAGTTCCAATGAGTCTCATACACACGGTCAGCCCCAGGGCCAGGGCCACCACACTCAGAAGCAGGAGCGAGTAACCAAGGGGAAGTACTCCCAGGAGGACTTCCAACTGCAGCGCACCTTGGGAACGGGGAGCTTCGGTCGCGTGCACCTGGTGCAGTCGAACCACAACCACCGCTTCTATGCTATGAAGGTCTTGAAAAAGGCCCAGGTCGTCAAGATGAAACAAATTGAGCACACAAACGACGAGCGTCGCATGTTGAATCGGGTCCGCCATCCATTCTTGGTCACCCTGTGGGGAACTTGGCAGGATTCCCGCAACCTCTACATGGTCATGGATTTCGTGGAGGGTGGTGAACTGTTCAGTCTCTTGCGCAAGTCACAAGTGAGTCGCATTGCGTTTTTCATCTGAAGCTTCGAAACAAGTTCTAATTCGTCATTAGCGATTCCCCAACCCGGTGGCCAAGTTCTATGCCGCCGAGGTCACGTTGGCATTGGAATATCTACACGCACATCAAATTATTTACCGTGATCTTAAGCCCGAGAATCTTCTCTTAGATCGCCACGGGCATCTGAAGATTACCGATTTTGGTTTCGCCAAAGATGTGCCTGACATTACGTGGACGCTGTGCGGTACACCCGATTATCTTGCACCCGAGGTTGTCTCTTCTAAGGGTTACAACAAATCAGTTGACTGGTAAGCTTCTTTTTAATATTCCGATGCAATTGATCTAACAATTGCAGGTGGTCCTTGGGAATCTTAATCTTCGAGATGCTGTGTGGATTCACTCCCTTCTGGGATAGCGGATCCCCAGTGAAGATCTATGAGAATATCTTGCGCGGCAAGGTCAAGTACCCTCCATACTTGCACAACGACGCGGTCGATCTCCTCTCGCAGTTGATTACATCCGACCTGACCAAGCGCCTCGGCAACTTGCACGGTGGCCCGGATGATGTCAAGAACCACGCCTGGTTCGCCGAGGTCACTTGGGACCGATTGGCGCGCAAGGATATCGATGCGCCTTATATCCCTCCCATTCGCGGTGGACAGGGTGATGCCAGCCAATACGACAAGTACCCCGAAGAGACAGAGCACTATGGCCAAGAAGGAGAAGACGCGTATGTATATTCCTTTCTAGCTGTTCGCGCACAATTGACTGACAAGTCCCAGATATGGCCACCTTTTCCCCGACTTCTGAAGTGCTTGTATGATTTATGACGAGACGAAAAGTCCTTCCGGGGGAGGGCGGGTACTGATTGACCCCGGCGGGAGTCGTGAAAACCAGGAGTCACTATATGAAAACCCATACTTTGTACTTTCGATCCCATATATCTTTAGCAATTGCAATCGAATTTTTGACTTTTTCTTTCAATTCCGCTCGATATACAGGGCTCGGGAATCCTTGTTCTATCCCCCATGTTCTCAACCACTTGGGCACAAAAGCCACGCCCATATTATACACGGGCTACCACGCCGCTTCTATCGTACAGTAGATCATTCGAGAAGGTGTGTCTTTTGCTTCTCGGGTTTCGTCTTTACATCATCCGCGCAGACTCGATCATCTTGGATGCATGCAATTTAACCGAGGATTCCGCTGCCACCCTCGGGTTGGCCGGTGGCCATCGAGGCAATGGCGGCGGCATCCTGTCCACCGAGACGCTTGGTCTCGGTGCCGACACGGGTGATGTAGGTGCGGCTAGTGACGTTCCACATGGCGATGTACTTCTCCATGCAGCTGGACAGGCAGGTATTCTCCTTAGCAGAGAGCGAAGTACCGGGGGTAGGGACGCAGGCCTGGAAGCAGTGTTTGTTCACTTTCTGCAGGTGTTGTTAGCTTGTTGCTGTCGACAACCAGGGATGGTGACGTACTCCGATCAGAGAACGAGCGTTGGACATGGCGGCCTCGGTCTGGAGCTGGCGCACGACAGCAGCCTTGATCTCCTCAGAGGTCTGAGGGGCAGCAGAGGAGGAAGAACCGAAGAGAGACGACATTGTGTGTGAGGATAAGAGGTATGGGAAGATGAAGTCGGGGAAGACGAACAAATTGAAGGTTCAGGATCTGAGTGTGGCTGGTGTCCTGCGCCACACCTGATGTGGACACCTTAGCATAACAAGCTCCAGGGTTGTATACTTCACTTCCTCGCACTTCACCAATTCACTCTTTGTGCTCGCCTTTCAGTCCCCTTTTCTTCTCTTTGCTCCTGGGTATCCGGGTCCTGGTGACACCGTGCCCCCGTCTATCTCACCCCCGGTCTATCCTTGAATCTCCTTGGGCCTCCCCTCCACGGGCCCTAATACAACTCCAATATGCGTTTCCCGTCGCTTTCCTCTCTTCTCTGTCTTGCAGGCCTGGTTTCAGTACCAGTAAATGCCTACGATGACCCCAATATCAAAAGCATCCCTGTAAGTGTGCATTGTTGACGCGACCTGATTCGGGGCCGAGGTACTAACTTGTGACGTCTACAGCTTCGCACCCACAGCCTTTCTCCGGTATGATTACCTCCGGTATCCAGCTCGTTCAAGTCTGCCGACATCAATCTGCACATAGCTTGCACTCCGCCGAAGACCAATGCTGACTGCCAGGAACAGCCATATCTCGATTCGGATTTCCAAAGCCGCTGGTTCGACTTCGGAGGAGATACAGTAGTCCGCGCCGACAAGTAATGCTTCCAAGGGCACCTATGAGCAGGAAATGGGCTAACTTTGTCCCTGTGATCAGGTACCTCCGACTTACGGCCGACCGACCATCCCAACAAGGATGGATCTTCTCTCGCGTGCCTCTCACGGCGACCAATTGGCAGGTAAATACTGGATTACGCGAATGAGAAGAAGTGCGCCCCCAACGCTCACATGTACCCCTGCCAGATCGAACTCGAGTTTGAGATCCACGGCGCCGGCAACTTGCACGGTGATGGATTTGCCCTCTGGCTCACCAAGGAGCGCGCCACCCAAGGCCCCGTGTTCGGCTCGACAGACCGATTTGAGGGTCTCGGTATCTTCTTCGACACCTATAAGAACAACCGCCCAGGTGTGTCGTTCCCATACGTCATGGCCATGATGGGTGACGGCCAGACCACCTACGACCAGGCGCACGACGGCAAGGCGAACGAGCTGGCCGGTTGCTCCGTGAGTTTTGATCCATTTGCAGCTACGTAAGGCAGTGCTAATTAATTATCTATAGGCTCGTGGTCTTCGCAGCGCCCCCGTCCCCACCAAGGCCCGTCTCACCTACTTCCAGGACAAGTCCCTCACCCTGGAACTGCAGTACAAGACCGAAGACTCGTGGACCAACTGCTTTACTCTCAACGCCGACGAGGCTAACATTGCCATTCCCTCCGTTGCTTATCTCGGTCTCTCCGCTGAGACGGGTGAGTTGAGCGACAACCACGACATTATCTCCCTCAAGGCTGAGAACTTATACTCCCTCAACCGGAACAACAACGCCGGCAAGGGCTCCTCTGACGGCCGTTCCAAGGGCCGTGACGGCGCCAAGGCTCCTAAGAAGGGTGGCAGCTGGACCTGGTTCCTGTTCAAGACCATCATGTTCTTCGCTGCTATTGCTGGTGCATACTTTGGCTGGACGATCTACCGGACCAAGGCCCGGTCTTCGCGTTTCTGAATTTACGGATATTTTGCAAAGCACAGGACTCAGAAGTCTGGTTCGAAAGTGGTGTCTGGGTCTACCCAGTTGTGGTTGATGAAATGGTTCGTTCTTGCATACATAGCCCCTGTGAAGCTCTTCTTTTTACTCTCTGATCTACGTTTTTTGTCGCGACAACTTATCCTGTTCCTTTCTCCCGATATTTGAAATGAATCCAAGTCATGATTATTCAATTGCATGCTCTGATAGGCGTGAATGGGGTATCGTAGTAAAATCAGTATGCAAAACGCTGCCAAATGCATATTCCAGTCCGGCCAATGTCCCAGGCTGGTCTCTTAGCCCTGTCGTTCTCTCTCTTCACTCCACAACCGGTCCACGATCTGAAAGACCTCGGTAACACTGCGCATAACGACATCATCAATGCCCAGCGCTCCATAACGATGCTGAATCTTATCCGGATGCCAGCGAATACGCTCAGCTTTGAGGATACTCAGCAAATCCAGCCCAGGAGCATGGCGCATGAACTCCTCAACAGCCTCAGGCTCAACATCAGCCCTCTTCCCAGATCTCACAGGCCAAAACAGTAAATTGCGCAACGACTTAGAAGAACCCTTCTTCTCCCGCGCCCGCTCTCCCTCGCCCTCTCCCTCCTGCGCAGCCTCCTTTCCAACCCGCCCAATAACCTCCCACTGCTCAATATACTCCCTCCAAACCCCATCCCATGCCCTAAGCTTCTTCCTCTCAGCCCCACGCCGCAAACTATCATCCATAGCCCTCTCAAACGCCCTCCTCTCCGCCTCAGCACTGCGCCCCTTCTCCTCTTTCTTCCTCTGCCTCATCCGCTCGGCACGTAGTCGTTCCTGTTCTTCGATCATGCCTTCGCGCGTGCGTTCCCACATCCGCGTCCGCACGTACGACACGTACTCCTCATCGGACATCTGTTCCAGTTCGCCATCTGGGCCCTTGGGTACGTGCGGCACGCTGTAGTTGTGGATTGGTTGGCCGTACACGGATTCCCAGTATGCGGCGCCTTCGTCGTCGCCTAGGGCGTCGAAGAGCGATTCGCGGAATGCGTCGTTTGTGTTTAGGTGGGGTTGGTTGGTGGATTGGGCTGGTGGGGTGTTGGAGCGGTGGCGCTTGCTGTGCTTTCCGGGGGACCTGGAGCGGTGGCTTCGGTGGCGTTTGCGGTGTGGTCTTGTGCTCGAGGGGTTGTGGCTTTCTTTTGAGTGTCGTGATGAGCTTTTGAAGCGGAATTTGCCTTTGCTGCGGCTTGGATTGTATTCGTCGGGTTTGTGGGTGTTGGTGGAAGCCGGAGGGGGATGTGTTCTTCGGCTCCTTTGGTGTCCATCTCGGAGACTGGAGGGCGACACAATCTGTTCCAGGCGAATTGGTGCGTGCGATCGTACGGAGTGTGTAGAGTCGAGATGAAATGCGTTGTTTTGGTTCACCGCCCTACTGACCGCCTGAGCACTTGCATCATCTTATCGCGATCTTATCGTGTTATCGCCCGAGCCCTAACTCATCAAGTTGGATGAAGAACCTGTTCAAACGCCACTGCGTATTTGCTCATGCCTATCTGCTCCGTTGAGCAGCACCTTACTACGAATTTTGTGCAGTTTGTCGCTGAGGGATAACCTTTTCCGACTGATTTGGATTGGACGGTGTTCATCGCTGAAACAGCACCCTGAATTACATCATTAGCCATAACTCCTTTCACACCCCTACTTGTATATAAAGCAATTCGGGGCACTCGATAATGGTCAAGAAAGAGGTCAAAAAGAGATGCCAAAGTAGGGCGGAAACAATCCATGAAACGGCATACTCGCTTCGAGGCTTCCGTGTAGAGATTATCCAATACTTCATCAGGGCAATGTATATAAACTTATGGACTCCTGTTGCACGACACCCAGAATCAATAAATAGAAGCGTGAATTGATGTACTTCCTGCTAATCAGGATCTGTAAGACATAAGTAACAGGATATTGCTTCTGAACAGTATCTTCTCGATCTCCATCTTGATTCTACGATTGTGTAGATCCTACGTCTGTACAGACATTGAAAGCTCAAATCCCGCGAGAAGAATATCACCAGTGATTGCTAGTCCAGTTACCGTTAGGCCAAAGGTGAGGCCGATCCCCAACGTCAATCAGATTCTGGAGCCTTCGCCAGTGAGCCCTGGCTATGGTGAGTGAGATGCTATCATATGACTGTCGACCATTGGGGCCCTCGAAGCCTGCATCAATAACCAAACGGACAAGGTCACAGTGACGGCCAGTCAGAGCGGCGTCCATAATATCTGGGTGGTATTCTCTCCAGCCACATACCTCCTGTCCGAGGATTACCTTCTTGGCTTTGTGTTCTTGTCTCAGAATGCGTCGCACCCTGGAAACTGGCTCCCAAGGGGCAATGTCAGCTACGAACCACAGTGTAGCTTCGCTGTCGATAACATTCACATTTGCTCCTTTGCTGAGAGCATAAACCACGACGTTGGGCTGGTTGTGCCACAGTGCTTCATAAAGTATGATCTGCGCCGCAAGGCAAACGGGGAGGTCACCGCCGGAGTTGGGAGATTCGAGATGAGCAAAAAGGACCTCGAGAACAGGGAGAAATCCAAAGAGTGCGGCAACTTTGAGGGAGCGTCGAAGTGTGAAAGCACCCCTGAAAACCTCCGGGTGACCGGCCAGAAGCATTTTGACTACGCCAGTATGACCTCTGGCGGCTGCCGCTTGGATAGGAGTTGTAAAGTGATCGTCAAGAAAGTTGGGGTAGACGCCATAGCGAATCAGGAACCTGATGCAGGCTTTGGATCCAGCGGCGGCAGCAGCAGTGATGGGATGCGCTCGTGGGTATCTGGGGATGATAGACAAGGATTCAATAAAGTCAGACGTTTTGACGTGTGTATTGAAGCGGTCTGACTTTGGAATCTTTGCATCAGCTGCTACGGACTTGCGCAGAGTGCTCAGTCGACCTTTCTCAGCAGCCCAGAGAGCAGCTGCGCCGCCATGAGCCTTGGCATCCAGTTTGTAAAGTTTGAGTTCCAACTGCTCCCTCAGTCGAGGGTGAGTGCGCACAAGAGCATTGATATCTCTCATTAAGCTGAGATTATCCACGATGCAGAGAATGATCTCTGTGGGGAGAGATTGGAGGGACATGGTTGTCTTCTTGAAAGATCTTCATGATTAGAGGGGAATGATTGTTGAGGCTTCACAGTCTTGAGTTTATCTCACCTGCAGGAAAGAAGATGGTAGGATCTTTCCACGATCAAATTATGACTGGCTGATGCAGGTGAGCTCGCCCGTGAGAGGGAGGTCTTTTGAAATGATCGCAACTTTGAGCATCGCAAAGTGAAAAGGTTGAGTAAGGAACTTGAAAGGAAGCAGGGGGAAAGTGGAAGGAGACCAGAGGCGAAAAAGGAATCCCACGATAATGAGGATCAAAAGCTCCCACTGCCTGTTCCGTAAAGACCAACATGTGACAGCATATGACGATGCAGCTTTGTACAAACAACTCAAACGGTGCAAAGGTAGGCAGTGAGTCCTGGAGACCTTTGAGATCACACCCTCCAGAACGTCTATTACTGCCTGAACGTGACACCATCACCGCCTTTACTTGTTATATAGATTTAGGTTGATTCGAAGGGCTGGAGAGAGAGAAGAATAATAATAAGGAGGAGGAGGAAGAGGAAGACGATCATTCTGTACCTAGGTATGAAGAGGCAGGAGACTACATATTCCTGGGGACAAAAGTAAACAGAGACTTGAATCGTGAGGCAAATATCACTAGACCACCAAAGTTTATACGCTTAGGACATAATATGACCTATTTTGACCTCTCTTGTTTCAACTCTTTCTGCCCATTTTCAAGTGCTCAGGCTGTAGTGGTTTAATAATAGAAGGTATGAGGACTGATAGCATTGACTGTACTTTTATATCTGAATACGATCCTTCAAACCAAAAACAGTGATCTTGGTCAGTTCTGTTTCAAAGAGGCTCGTTGTGTGGATGCCAAACTACGGCAATTCATCTCGGTCGTTAGTAAGATCATCATTGTATCTATCATCTTTCTACTGTATGTCCTCTCTTGTTCAGATACATGGGGAGAAATGTTATTTCACTTGTGAGTCAGGTTTGCCAACTGCACGGGACTTGCAAATGTGTCAACTATCCATGGTATCCGGCGAATTCTTTAAAGGGAAGGCAATGGCTCCCAGCTATAACGAGAGCCAATCGTTCTCAATCGTCTTAGGCTGTCTCACTAGGCGAATTTCCAATGATCGTATAAAGTGTAATACTGCCGCCAACTATAAGGTACTTGAGGAAGGGAATTGAAGCCAAACAGGTGGCACGCAGCAAACCCATCGTAAAGAAGATGGACTGTGCATGTTGCATAGCGAACGCAAGGGTATTTTTCAAGAAATTAAACAACCACGAGGTATAGCCAATTGCGACCAACGACTCCATGGCACACGAATCGACACAGGAAGTTAACTATGAAATCAAACTCCTTTCTCTTAAATATCATAATATCCGGGGTAATTTATGGTCAGATATTCCAACTTCAGTATGAGCTCATCGGCTGAAATCTTCATAAATGGGAGATCTTCCAGGTACCTGGTATCTAGTAAGAGGCTTGTTCCTTGTATGGAACATCCCAGGAATATATCCTTGCTTCATAGACCAACTATCATTCTGCCCAAGCCATTCTTCACATGAAGATGCAACAGAAGCTAGGCTAATCGGTACATTTCACTCCGTATGAACGATATTTTGTGAGCTGGCCATCATGTGTAAGAATCCTACACGTAGAAAGATCCCTATATGCAAGGGTTAATCTATAACTATTCAGAGCCTAGTGCATGCCTACTTAATATAATATTCACATCTTAACCCGTGGGTATACAGAAGGAATTTGCTGGTCAAAGAGAGAGCAGGTAATCCCTCCATTCCAGCCACTGCCACAATTGTAAAGACTACATGCTACAACTAAAACAATTTCAATTTTCTGACCAGGTTTTAGAAGTTCCGAAGTTAACTAACTCATCGTCTGGAAGATATACCCTCTATGTCTCGAGATCGGAACAAGATTCAATTAAGCTGTCTCGTCAACAGATTTAGATTAATTCAACACAAGCACAATCTTCTGTGCCTATCGTACCAAAGTAAGGCTTGACTATCATGACCATTGCTTGAAGTAAACTTCCAGTCGATCAGACATGCTTGCATTGTAAGAGGTCTGGCCGATCTGCTAGAGCCTTATGCAAATTCACTGTCCCGTGCACTGTCATGTCTGCTTTTGCAAATGAGGCATTCAGACAACCTCGGCTATTATTGGGGCCATTGGTTCAATGCGTGAATCAAGTTTTGTGCCTGATAGAGGATCCAGCCATTGAGGGAATGGGACACTGCAGAGTACCGCGGAAGTGAGTTGGCCGAGGATATTAAACATGCTTGACAGGATTGTGTTCTGGTCTGGAGCCGGATGCATCAAGTTATACGCAACGCAGATGAGCAAGCAAAGTCGACAGGGACGAAGTTGTTCCGCTGGTTGGATGTGTGAGGATATACACCCAAACGAATACAAGTCGACATAGCCTTATACGTCATCTCTAATTCCCTCGCCTGTGACACCGTGCGCGAGGATCAAGCCTGGGCGGTAGATAGTGAGAGGAAAGCCATGTGCGATTACATCCCAACAAATTGTTTCAGCGACATATTTGCTGAGGGGGTATCCAGCGTATTATCGCAACTTTCCTGGTGTTTTCCTGGTACTACCCCTGCTCCCTGGCTCTCTGGTATATGCTCTTGACCGATAGAAACCTAACTGGGCCGCATGTCGCAATAGAAGAGAAATAATGGACAGATTTGGTATGCTGAGTGCAGGCAAATCCTATGACACGGACAAGGCCAAGCACATTCACCTCACGATGTGCATCATCAGATAAGGCCCAGCTAACAACAGCTCCTAGAAAAATAGTGCTGCATTTCTCGGCTAGGTGGGCAAATTCTGCGGCCCCTAGGGCAAGATATTCCTACGATAAATCACCAGGAACCGCTTGGACTTTGTCTCGAGACCTGATGGCCAGATCGAACTTCCCAGAAGTTGCATCCAGCAAGGAAAGCATGAGTGCCCCCAAAAACCCAGTGACACCTGTCAAAAGAACATGACCTTCTGACTGGGAGTGCCATTTTGGCATTGCCCTAGGCATCGGATGCAAGTCCTGACCGAGCAACAAGTCTCGCAGGTGCGGGAATTCGGCTTCATTCAGTGAAGTCTACTCTACGTATAGCATTTCTACCACTGATGTTAAAAGTCACTGCTAAACTTGTTTATCGAAGTGGTCTACTGTATAGGTCACGTGCCATGCGTGCCCCAATTTCTGTCTGACTTTTTAGCTGGTGCCTGATATCCCACTGTTATAACTGTACTGTACTGTACGCCTGCCCTTCACAGGCTGAAGATCAAATTGGAAATGCCACAGGCATCTGGAAGCTTGAGTGTATGAATGCAAAACCCGAAATCTGCAACAACGGCTAGATAAAAAAAACGCCCATTCCCAGGGAATCTCCCCTCCCAAACGCGCATACATGTCTGAAAAGAAAAGCAATCAAATGCGATAATGTGCCATGTTTTTCTTGATCTCATCCACGATCTCTACAGCTTCACCCGTACTCCGAGCCTCGAAGTCATAGCGCTTCTGTTCTGTGGCATCGTTGCCGCGTACTATCATGACACGGAAGCTCTTGGGGTGTCGGCGACTGACCTTTGACCCGATCACGTCGCTGAAACTGATTGATCGTGTCTTGCCGCCGGAGGCTGTTTTGCCTGTATCCCCTGGGACGATGTGCATGTAGTCGTTTTCAAATGTGAGGATGCGGTGGTTGGATGCTGTGAATGACATGGGTTGCTTGCGGAATACGTGGTAGCGACGGTAGTAGCCGCCAAGGTGGTCTTGCTTCTGAGAAGATGAGGGTAGCATGCGTTGAGTGCCCTTCTTGGCTTCTTTCTTGCTCTTCTTGGAAGCAGCTGGGTCGGAGCTTTCCACCATCAGGGGTGCATTTGGTGACGAGCTGCCAGGTGATGTTCCTAATGCCAGAGGACCACCACCGAAGCGACGACGCACAAGATCAAGCTCTGTAATGCTACCCAATGCCTCCACAGTGCGGTCCAGCGGTGCAATCGTATTGGACCCCATCACTTTCAGCAAATAATTGCCCTTATCCTGGCCCCAGCGTTTACAGACAGTATCCAAGATCTCCGCGATGTAACTGTCAGTAGATGTGTTCAGGGTCATGACATGCGCGGAAGCTTCTGTATTGATGAAACGAATCTTCAATGTCTTGGAAACACCAAGGCGGGGAGTAGCATGGGAGATAGGTACCACAGGTCGATCAGCAGGGGTAAGAGTGCTGTGGTTGAGCGCGGAGGAGAACGGTTGGCCTAGGATAGGATTTGTGCGTGCTGGAGTGGGCTGGTTAGGGGTTTGCTGTCCGGGAGTTTGTGTTCCAGGTACTGCGAGAGTTGCTGGCTGTTCACCCTCATCCGGTCCAACAGTCGCACTGAAATGTGGGTATAGCCGTTCGTTATTCTCGAACTCAGTCTTCGAAGCCTCCACAAGTGCAAATTCGTCATACGGCTTGCCCCTTGACCGTCCTCGTGATTTGCCAGATTTGCCGTTGTTGTTGGACGTGAAATCCGACATTGGGAGTGTCCGCCCAAGTGCTGGGAAATCAAACTCGACTTCCCCATCCTCAACCATCCGTAGAGTCCACCGATTCACAGACAACTTCTCGCGCTCAATCGCTGGGCCACGAGAGTCTGCAGAATACTTCCACAGTGCAAGACCAATTGTCTCTGCAACGGTAACGAGGGCGGGCTGTTCTGCAAGTTTCGATTCGCGCAAAAGTGGCATATCTAATGGTTCTTCGGGGTCACTTGCAAAGGGGACGTAGATCTTCAGATACAACGGATCCTCTTGACCTTGCCCATAAAGGACCATAAACTTCTCCACAGGGTTGCTCGGTGCACGCTTCCGGGACTTGAGCTGACTAGTCAGTAAGCTGACCGGCTGTATCATACTGATAGGACGTGGAGGAGGGAGTTGTTGCAATGCAGGAGCAGGTGTTTTTGGCTTGCGTGGTGAAGTAGTCTGGGGTCCTGTCCCAGAGGGCAGCTTGTTCATCAACACCATGGGAGAGGATGCATCTAAGCCGTCCGCAACACCGGCAAGCAGTAGGGAACCAGAACCAGCTGTGTTATCAAAATCAGATGAGAGCGCAGACCCAACCGACTCCGCACCCGAGTCCTCGTCTTCTTCGTGAAGTTCTCCGAGAGCTATGCTTTCTGCGCCTCGGCTTCCAGTTCGCTCACGTCGCCTGCGAGTATATTCGACAATGTGATCACTGCCGGAGAATTGGACCTGTCCTGGTTTGTAGCCTCGCGAGTCCGCTTCATTGTCCGTTGATAAATCACTGCTAGTGGTTGTGTCTCTTCGAGGGCGTGTTGGTGCACGGTATTGGTTCGCAACGTTCTGTGTCGAAGGAGACGTGATCATCACCTCTGGTCGATCACGCTGGTCTTCGGAGCGCCTTGGAGAGGAATCGGCTCGATCTCGGCGAATGGGCATTTTGTTGAACTTGATTTGGTCAACAGCACTGCTCATTTTCATATCAGAAATTGAAATAGAATATCGTTAAGTATTTCACCAACCTGCCAACGTTGTCCCCATCATCGTCGCTGTCATCGCTCAAATCACTGCTGTCGTCGTCCTCAGCTTCCGCCTGTCTCTGGGCCTCTTGCTGCCTTTCACGTCGACTCTTCTTCTTTCCGCTGCGCGCATGATGTCGTCGCCCAGTCGTGTCCGCGTGGCTTTTGCCGGTCACCATGCCACCATCATCCTCGCCATCCTCCAGGCCGAGGCCTTGAACGTCGTCCTGCGCAGGTTTCGCATTTCGCTCCGCAAGCCTGTAATATTCGGATGATACATTTGCCGTGGTTGGGATCGGTGGGGAGTAAGAGCGCCTGAGGTGGGAGGAGCTGTGTGTGTTGGGGTACGCAGAGGTCGTTGACCAGCCCGCGGCGCGGAAGCCAGGCGTGTTCAGAACGGAGTCATTGACGGTGATGAGTCGGTCTCCGATTCCATCTTTTATTGTCGACAGATATGAGGAACGTAATTGCCAGATCGCAAAGCTATGCTTGGTTTAGTCCTAGGTCTTGCCGCGCTTCGGGAGACGGTCTGCGAATCCGGGGCCGACTTACTCTTCGTTGTGAAGGAGAGACATATTCACAGCGACAGGGAGATCAGAAATCCCCAGTCAGCCAAGAACGTACTGCGTAGTCTGTAGCGACCGAGGTTATCGTGCAATCTCAGCTTAAAGCCGAAGTCGCATGCTCACGTGGGGCATGCGGAGGGAGAGAGCATGCGTAAATAAAGTCTGTCTCATGCAGGACCAGCCTGGAAGCAAGACAGAAAGACACGGAGAGCAGGAAGGAGAGTGTGCTAGCAAGTGAGAGATCGTAGGAAGGGAAGTCGATCGGTGGTGGTTCTCCGCAGATCGCTTCCCCGCCAGGGGGCAGTGACTTGCCACTTTGAGAAATGAGAAATATCTACAACTGTAGTACAATGTACTACGGTAGTTAGAGTAGATGATTCTTTTAATTCTGTTTTAGAAATATATGATTGTGCTGCTAAACCACGCTAGCTGTCTCAGTCTTCGAAAATAAACAGTCGCTGCATGGCTAACTAGGAAAAGAAGCTTAAATCAACAAGAATGTAACTGGATTTTGGCAATGTATATAGACAAAATAGAACATTCATATTCAAATGCGCCAAGTAACACCGACAAAACAGACAATGCTACGGAGAATACAATGAATGGTATGATACAAAAAAGACTACATCTCAAGCCTTAGCTTTGCCCTTTGCCTTGCCCTTCTTCGGCTTCTCCTCCTCCTCCTCCTCCTCATCAGCCTTCTTAGCCTTCTTGCCCTTGGCCGGAGCCTTCTTCTTCTTAGGCAAGCTCACATACTTATCCTTCTTCAGATCGAGTTCGTCTTCCTCATCATCCTTAATCTCATTAACAACTTCCTCCTCGTCGGATTCTTCAATGGCATCTTCGAGATCGGGCTTCTCCTTCGGTCCCTTCTTCGGCGCAACCACGTTACTAGCCTTCATGAAAGGCAATGGATGCGAGCGCGAGTTGTATAGACGCGTGAAGGTGGCCTTGGTCTGTGTGTCCAGCTTGACCTTGGACTCGTCCATAGGACCCAGTCCTAATTCGACCATGGCATCAAAGTCATCACGGGTGAGGAAGTATCCATCCATGAAATCAATGACCGAGTCCACACTTTCCTTGCCCTCTTCCATCAGACGGCGAATCATTTTTTGCTGGAGCAAGGGCATGTACTGCTGGCGGATCTCGTCGCGGTTGCCAGTTGTGCGAAGGCGCATGTGGCCCTGAATTTCCTTGACATATCGGGACATTTTTCCTAATAATGATCAGAATCGTTGCGAATATTAGTGAAGAGGAGGAATTTACCATGTTTGCTGTTGTTCCCTAACCAGCTAGTAAATGAAGCCCGTTCACTGAAGTTACCGTACTGGTAGCTGGCCGGCCGGACAAAGCTGAAAATGGCATGAACGGGCATCAGACTCCACTGTTGCTGTGTTCCGTGAATCATACGGTCAACAAGGTCGCCGTCACTGATACTCGAGGCGGCATTGTCAAGCAACTCAAGTGACTTGAGACGCTGCTCCTTGCCCTGGTATTTGCCCGCGAGAGTGGGTTTAGTCTTAACATAATTCTCCTGGAGCATCAGATAGCTGAACTCGTGGTCGTTGAAATAGAGCTCGACCTTGTCGTTCAGCGTAGCGGTAGAACTGGGTGAAAACATTTGTGCACTAAGAATTTTGCTGACAATATCCCAGGGCTTAAGGATCACATGCTTCTCCCATGCCTTTGACATCTGCTTGCCTTCGTCGTAGTTGAGAGTCTTCTGATCCAATCTGGCGGTGGATAACATGTTGATAACCTGGCGGATATCGGCATGCGTTCCTTCAATGAGGCCATCGAGTACAGGAGGGGGATCTTCAGGCCCTCTCGGAAGCAGATGGTGGATAGTCTTGCTCGGATTTGCTCGGCAGTCGGGCGTCTGAATGGAATATCGAAGGTAACGTGGTCGAAGGGTTTCATCTTGGGAAGCTTCCGTTCATTGCAGACAAGGATGATTGGAATCCTAGTCTTCTTGACAACGGCTGCGACAGCTCCCACACCTCCACGGTCACCAGCAGACATACCATCCACTTCGTCCATGATGAGCACAAGCTTCTTCTTTTCGCCCTCGACCTGTTTTCCCTCTCCGGCGAAGTAACCTTGAAGAGACGTCGTATCCAGTACGCCCAGAGTAGAGCTCTCAACAAGCTTCTTGCTTCGGGTGTCACTGGCATTTGTCTCAACAATATCGTATCCCTCCAGCTTTGCTATAAGATGAGCTGCTGTGGTTTTACCAATACCCGGGGGACCGTGAATGATGACAGCCCGGTACAGACCTGAGCCATCCTTGCCACCCTTCTTGAAGTCGTACTTGGCACTGTTGTGCCAGTTGCGCAGCCAGGTTTGGATCTTCTCAACGGGGGCCTTATTACCACAGATCATGTTGAGAGATGTGGGAGCATATTTCGTCGTCCAAAGATCGCCGGCCGAAGTTTGCGGGCTAGACGACGGCTGAGATGCCTGAGATGAGGGCGCAGCAGTCTTGGGGGTTTTAGGAGTCGCGGCAACCTTCTTTCGCTTCTCCTCTGCATCAATTTCAGCGGCCATAACACGAATCTTCTCCTCGTCGGCCTTTTGCTTTTCGGCATACTTTTCGGCGGCCTTTCCGTCACCGCCGTTGGCGGGAAGTCGTCGGATCAATTCGAAGAGACCATCTTCATCGATGGTCTTGATGCCGTGCTTCGCAATGGTTTCGAGCTTCTTTGGACCGGCATCACTTCCAAGGACAACAAAGCTCGTCTTGCTGCTGGGGGCTCCCGTGACCTTACCACCATACTTCTTCACTAGCTGGGCGCCCTCCTCACGACCGAGGGTTTCCTGAACACCAGTGAAAACAAATGACAGCCCGGCAAGACAGTTTTCCTGCCCGACTGGCATCTCCTTGGTCCCAGCCATCGCTGGGTCCCGTGATGCTTGCTGTCCGAATTGCCATTTCTTTGGCTCTCCCTGGGGAGGCTCAGGAGCATCGACCAGAGGGATGCTGTCAAAGATGTCTTGGATCTCTTTGCTCTCCGGGGCATCCTTAGCCTTTTTGGGTGTAGACTTTTGCTTCTTTGCTGGCGATGCAGTCTTCTTCGGCGCTGCCTTCTTCGGTGCCTCATATTCCCCATCTTCATCCTCATCAATTAGTGCCTCCGCCTTGCGTTTGCGGCCCGGCCGAGCCTTTGGAGCGGGCTCCTTGGGGAGATCTTCCATGACCACATCGTCGTCGTCGCGGGAATCTTTCTTTTTCTGCGTCTTCTTGGCTGCAGCGGCGGGCTTTACTTCCAATACCTCAAAGTCACTGCCGTCGTCGTCGTCTCCCATGACATAATCGTCGTCGCCCTTGCCGGCCTTTCCATATTCGGTGGCAAAGATGTCATCGTGGCCGAGTTTCTCATCCTCAATGACCTTTGAGGCATTCTTCGTTGATCCGCGAGCGGCGGGCCGGCTCTTCTTCTCAGGTTCTGCGGCGGCCTTCTTGGGCTTCGGGCTTGCGACTTTCTCTTTGGTATCATCGGCCTGAGCCTCTGTCGTTTTGGCAGGCTTGCCCTTCTTCTTGCTGGAGGCAAAATAGTCCGACGAAGTTGTAGGTTCTCCCTTGGGCTCTTCGGTATCCCTGTAGATATATAAGCAAGTGCAGGCGGTGCAGATACCGGGGGGAGGCGCAATGAACATACGCTTGCCTTTTCGGCTTTACTTTAGGAGTCGGCTCTTTGGTGGGTGCGGCCTCTTCTTCATCGTCGCTATCATCAACGACCTTTCTGCTACCTGCGCTCAGGTTAGAGTGGTAGACTAGAAGTGGGAAGTAAGAAGTGCGTACGCTTCTTTCGCGTGGCGGACGGGTCCTTCATAGTTGATATTGAGTTAGCAAGGAACTTCGCTCGATTTTCGAGATATCCCAAGCCATATAGAATGGCACAGGCCTCCTGTGTAACAAGGCAGCAGCTTACCTCTTTTTTGGCCGCGGGCTTTGCGGGAGCGTCGCTGGAGCCTTGACTACTTGGCTTTCCGCCAAAGAAACTCCGGATGTCAGGCATTTCGAGGCTCAATCAATCACATAAATAGCCAGAACTGCCCAGCGGTAATCCAAGAGGCAATTTAAAAAAGAACCGAGCCTCGTAGTAAGGACTTGCAAAGCTGCAACAGTTGCTGATACTCGCAGTGACGCGCCGTCGCGAACGGGAGACGTGACTGCTGATATAAGCACTCTGTCCATTTCGGGACTAGCGCATCAATCGAAAAGTGCTCCGGCCGCAAGTAACGAGCAGAGCAGTCAACGTCGATATATCCTGATATCTCCCTCACAATGGGCCCACAGACTAAGATGTTCGCTCGAACACTATCTGCCTGCACGCGGCCGACCTGTACGAACTATCAATTCCCTGCACAAACGCTTTTGGTCAACGACTAACAATGTGATAGTGTCGGCGCCGCTGGCCACCTTTTCTCTATCACGATGCTTCTCCACCACCTCGCCTGCCCTTGACTGGCTCACTCCGAAATTCCAAGAAAAGTCCAAGTCGCCCAAGGGTCGTCCCCATGTCGCCACTGGTGGTTCGACTCGCGGAACAACAGTTGTGTGGGGAGATTTCGGATTGCGCATGAAAGACCACGACCGCCGTATGCCCGCCTCGGCGTTGAAGATCGCTGAAGAGACTATCAAGCGGCGGCTACGAGGAATGAACTACAAGCTCTACAAGCGTGTCAGTGCGAACATTGGTGTCTACACTAAGGGTAACGAGCAGCGTATGGGTAAGGGTAAGGGAAAGTTCGACTACTGGACTGTCCGTCTGCCCGTTAGCCGAGTCGTCTTCGAATTGAAGGGAGATGTTCACGAGAAGGTTGCCCGCGAGGCATTCAGATTGGCGGGTCACAAATTGCCAGGTATGCGATGGATTGGCTACAATCTACTGGAATATGTGTATGGTTTGATGCTCATTTTGTTTCATTAGGTCTCTGGGAATTCGTCAACAAGGACGACCCTCCTGTTGTCGGTATTACAAAGCTCGGAAACGGCGTGACTCTCGACTCGCTCAAGCGGGCCCGCAGAAACCCGCCCCTCGGTACCAACGACCTCGCTTCACCACCGAAGAGCGTCTCCTCCAGCCCCGACTCCCCCCAATAAACAAATCGTGTTCCCCTGCATGATATCCTTTTTTCCCTGCCGGTGTCTGTTTGTCGTTTTCAATTCGGCTAAGCGCCCACTCCGGACCCAGGCCCATACCCCTGCAGTCTGCGGGCCTTGGCCGCTGCATCGTCCTCGTCAAGTGCTATATCTTTGTACATTATCATCAGCTGTTTGCGTCTCTTTAGAATCCACTGAGGCACGGGCTCCTCTGTTGGATATCTTGTCTTGATACTAGGAGTTTAGACAGAAGGAAAACATATAACTTATTTACCTTTGCTCGAGTCACGGAATACCCCCATGCCCAAACTCTGCGCCTGGAGCTCCTCGTTTTGCTTGGATGTTGGAGTATCTGTTCCCAGAGTGGGGCTCACTTCGCTTTTAGTATGTGGTTGGCCGACTGATGCCGATTAGCACTGGTATAGGACACAATGTTCTTGGTGGGAACACACCACCCAGTTGTCCGGTCTGCTTCGAGGGACTGATAGTGTATTGACGAATTGACTCATATCTTATCAAGATGTTAGTCCAAAAATATGGGGAGAACTGGTGGTGGTCTCCATACTGAGTGCTTTCTCCGCCAGGTTCCATATCAATTAGTCTGGGGTCTGTCATCTTAGTACTTCGATATGTGATATATGAGCTGTGATCAGTCAAGGTATTATCCTGAATCAAAAAGACTGACAGAAATGCAATGATATAAGAGAAATTCACATGTGGCTCATGCCGGGATGTGATGACGTCGGTTCGGCCTAGAACCGTGGAAGGCTTCCCCTCAGATCTACAAGTTGATATACTTCATAGAAGTGGCATTGGTCTCTTACGTGAGTTATCTACAGTGCCGAGATGCTGTAGAGGCATGTGATGGAGTTATGCAAGCAAGATAGTTCCTTCGGCTTCCGCGTACTCAATGATAAGTTATAAACGCCAGAATCCTCAATGCCTTCATGCGCCTGTAAAAACCAACAAGAACCGGATGGTCAGGGATTTCGAAGGTAGCACAGCATAATAGTAGACCATGAATTCTGAATCCCATGTCCTTCACTAGAAGCCACCTTAGTGTACAAATCGTCATTCATCTATTGTTTTGTTTTGTTGGCAGCTACGGTCTAGAAGTCCATGCCCATCAGGTAACTATATAATTGTTAGCATTAATCTTTAATTGTGTAGTCAGTTAGATCATACCTTTCATAGATGCGCATGAACTTGGCCACAAATGCTTCCAGGTGGAAGATAACTTTCTGTTCGGGAGATACGTCAGTATAACGATAATATGGACAATGAGAATTTAAGAGTGACCTACGCTTCCCAGCTTGATGCGGTGCTCATAAAAGGCAGACCATTTGATAACGTCAGGCTTCAGCGCATCGTCAACTCGTGCAACAAGCTTGAATGTTAAGGTCTATAATCACGGGTTAGCATTTGAATAAGCTCCATGTTAAAAGGAATATACCTTCAGAATAGTCGTGGGGGGGATGCAATGGGTCAAAAGGTCATAAAGACGTGCGCGAACCTGCAGCAAGCGAGCCGGTGATCGTTCCGCCAGGATCTCATCGGCCGTAAGAGTAACAAGTGCCTCCCAGTCCGGAGGCGGGATGAGAGTCTGGTCAGTAACCTTTTCACTAAATCACCACAGAAATAAGTATCAGAAAATCAAGTTAAGAACAGAATGGCAACATACTTCTGCGCATGAATTGACTCAAACATGAGCAGCGCTCGACGCAGATTCCGCCCACTCTCCTTCGCAATCCTCAAGTGAAGCCCCTCCGCCTCAGTCCACCCTTCCCTCTTCGCAGCACCGTGAAGCACAGCACAAATATCTTTTTCAGTTGGCGCAGCAACCCTGACCAGCAGGGTTCGAGAACGAATAGGAGCAATGATATTGGAAGTACTGTTGGCCAAGAGAATCAACCGCAAATTGGGACTGTACTTCTCCATAGTCCGTCTGAGGGCTGCCTGAGCATCGCGCGTCAGATGATCCGCCTCGTTGATTACTACGACCTTGAATCGTTGCTTCGCGCCAAGGTCGACCTGCTGCGTCTGTGCGACTTCCTTTAGCAATTCTTGCACCACGACTCGGTCATAGTTTCCGACGTCGGCGGGTGTGATTTCGAGATGGTAGACTGAGGAGACGATGTTGAATTCTAGCTTGCGGTTGCTGGTTGTTTGGAAGATTCTGGAGTCGATTTTAATCTTCTCGACTCCCGGGCCGTACAGTTCTTTCAGGGTGGCTATTATCCGTGTCTTCTTTCCGGCTCCTGAGGGTCCGTATACTAGTAGATGGGGGAAGTCTCCGCTTTGGGCCTGTTTGTTTTAGCTTGTGTTAGAGCTGTCGTGTTCCGCGGACGAGGTTCTCTTACCAGTGAGCGCAGGCGATCGGAGAGGTCGGGGTGGTATGTGAGGGCATCGAGGGTACGTGGCCGCAGTTTATCAACGAGGAGAGCCATTTTGAGCTCTGTGGGTATGTCGAGAGAATTTGGAAGTGTCTGAAATGCCGGGCGGTTTTCCGATAGAGGATGTGGACTGGAAAACGCGTCGGGACACGCGCCCAATTAATGTCTGGTCCGTGCACGCTAACGCCATATGCAAGAGCTCCAGCTAGCATTAGATTGAATACAAGTTGGAACTTGCTGTTATACTTGAGAATACCGAGAAATATATACAGTCAGGTATATTTTGGCATCTAATTGCCTTCCGCCAAACTCCGAGATGTATAATACATGCAAAATGTGTTCCAAGAGATGAGAGGGTACAAAAAGCCAAACACAAGATCATACAATATTCAAATGCTCAAGTATATGCTATATCGCAAACCTGATCAAATATCCTCAGGATCTGTTCGTCATGAAGCAATGGGCTTGAGAACACCATTGTCATCATATTTCGCTTCTATCATGGGGTCAGTCCAGCCAAAGACATGAAGCAATTGTAAAACTCACTGAAGAATGTATATGACAGGGTAATAGTATCAATACCCTTCATATTAGGGTCCGTCGCAAAGTCAGGATCAATGAAGAAAAAGACCGGCATATCAACCGACTCTCCCGCATTGAGCTTCTGCTCCTCAAAGCAGAAACATTGGATCTTGCTAAAGTACGGGGCAACCTGTCCCGGCGTAACACTGTACGTTGCGACTCCGATGATATCATTCGGGCCCTTATTCGTTGCGGTATAGAATGCCAGAGCTGTCTCGCCAGGTAGCACGCGGACCTCGCGCTGCTGGGGTGTGAACTTCCAGGGGAGAACATCGGATACAGAGCCGTTGAATGTGATGCGGAGACGGCGGGAGTCTGTCACTGGTGTCACGCGCCCCGCGGTATCACCGTCGCCGTTGCGGTGGGTGAGGATGGGTTGGCCGCCCCAGCCGGTTTGTTGGCAGATCTGCAATTGGGTGTTACTATGGCTTCTACTAGTATGTGATGTATATGAGCGATTGGGTCGTGGCTTTACGCACCATTTTGTAAAGAGGGACGGATCCATATGCGAGTGCAACGGTTCCGAGGATGAGACTGACGGTATAGTACCTGGTCGGCAACTCCGTTAGCATACACCATAGCTAAAATTCAGCATCCAATATGTTCTCACAATGTAGAGGTATTGCGCTTTTGCGATTCTGGGGTATTAAAAGGTGCCGATGATCCTTGGTGCTTTGTTCGGAGCAGCGAATTTCTCGAGAAGTACCTCCTCTCCATGTCGAAGACGTTCTTCCGGAGGTAAATCTGTCGCTGGGGAATTGCCCCCATTAGCGTTGAGCGACTCCATAAGGGGAGTAATCGTGAAAACATGGTTCTTGGAGGGTAAGTGCAATCGGATGTTGAATCTCAAGATGTGCAGGCATCCCAAACACGTGATAACTCTCTTATCGATAAGCCCTCGATGGTGCCATATTTGATGCTGCATTTATGTTGATTTGCATCTACTGTATGGATGATGAATTGGATGAAGTGGCTCTTGTTCTGAGATGTAATATGTCGGTCTAATCATAGTGGCCAAAACTGCAAACTCTACAAGTTATTCAGTAGCAAATCTGGACATTTTGGGATGAGTCTTACTGAATATATTTCAGCCCTTTTTTTTATTTTACAAGAGATGATCTATTAGAAGCCGCTCGATACAGACAAGAAAAATACTAGAAACTAAACTAAAACGATGATTGATTAAAATTAGCATCGATTGAATATTGAAGATCCCGCCCATGATGAAGCATTAGAAGTCATAGGAATTAAGATGAATGATAATACAGGATAGTACCCAGAAAAGCAGTCTGAAGTCTATAACAAAAGAATAGTCGTAAAACAATAAGGGTATGGGCCTCCTTGAGGCCTAGTTCAAAACGCTATTAGTGATGCGGCCAAAGACCCCTCGAACCATGCTGGGCCGTTCTCGAAGGCAAGTGATAAGAATAGCGGCGCTGACAGCAAATGCAACGCGCTCTCGGTATTGATACTGTATACAGGTCAGTGAGCGCTCATGACTCTGGAACCCGTCACAGGCCCAGTTTGGGGGCGTCGAGAAGGGGGGCCGGAGGTGTAACCCTGCTGCGAGGGTCCGATGCATACATACCTTTTTATCGTACAACCGTGGCAAGACCGTGGCAGCTGCCCGGGGTGCCACAAATAGCGCCAGCTCCTGTCTCTTCCGCGCCTTCTCGACCAATGCACTCCAGCCACACATGAGACATCCCACTCCGACACAGAGGCCGGAGTCCCACATCAACGGGGTGACAGTCTTCGGATCGAAGATCTTAGGGCCGAGTCTTGTTCGAGCAAGACAAACAGAGTAGTAGAAAAGGCTCACGAATGAGGCCAAGAAGGCAGAGGATCGGGCAGCATCAAAAATAGCCCGCCGAAGAGCTGCTGTGGACTTCATCCCCCCCAGACGGAGAACAATCTGTAGCGGGATGTACGTTGCACAGGCAAATTTAAAGGTTCTGGCAAAGCGGTACAAGGCGTGTTTCTCACAGCTAGGGCCGCAGCCCATGTGGACCATTTCGCAGGGGATTGGAACGGTTTTGGCTGGGTCTCCCCAATCTTCTGGCCAGTTATAGTCCTTGCACATAGGCTTGAGAAGTGGTGCTTGTCCAGTATCCTTTCCGTATACAAAGACACCTCGTCGAGCACGGCGCAAAGCCTCGATCAAACGCGAGTCAACCTGAGCGGCTTCCCCGATCCATTTCTCGTATGTCCTGGGCAGTCTCTCTGGGAGATAAAACCATGCCCACATGACGATAGCTGCGCTCATGGCGAATAATCCTGCATCCGCTAATCCAGGTACGAAGCGTTCGGCAACAGTCCACCGGTTCTGGGCCTTGCGGTGGCGGGACCAGCGATTCCATGCCACACACGCGATGACATCCATGGCTCGTGTGACTGAGAAGATGGTAAGGTCCATTGTCCTCCCTGCCAGCTCTGGGCGGTGATTCTCAAGCGGATTGGCTGCAACTTGACTGGAATCATATTTCTGGCCTGTAGATTCCCGCTCAGTCGACTTCCGCTGAGCCCTGACATCTTCTGTCGGAAGACAAATGCGGTTTCTGTTGATAAGTTGGAAACTGAACCATCCTGATAGAAAGGCTGCAGCGAATCGAATCAAGCGATCGAGCCTTTGAGATATGCGAATGTCGCCTCTGGTAAGTCCTGCAGTGATCAAAGCACATAGGCGATACAATCCTATTGGTAGCAAGGTTGAGCCGCCTACTAAGGCAGCACAAAATGTTGGGAAACTGTTAACTCGCAACGGGCCAGTCAAGACTTGAACTAGCTGATCTCACGGTCAGCTACAGCTCCAATTGCACATATTGGTATTAAGAAATGATCACAACCCGACGCCATGGTTCACATCTGCGTACTTCTTGAAGTTTCTGCTTACCTCTTGAAGTTTCTGCTGTGCAGTCCAGTCTTGCCTGTCCAGTCGGCGTACATACGACACCAACCTCGGGGTGACCGATGACAGGTACCCGAGCGCGTAGGCGCGAAGAAGGCTACAGTAACAGTCAGCAAGGGATTTATAATTTAGGGTAACAGATTGCACTCACGGGTTCACTGCCCGGTCCCTTCTCGGGAGCACACGTTCCATACTGGAAACCTTCAGGTCCGGAAGGGGGGCACCATCACAGCCGAACTAATGAGGAGGTCAGCCGTTGAAAAATAATCAGACACAATCAAGAAACCCCGGGAACCTACAATTGTGCCTCCCGAAAATTGGGTAGTATTCTCCGGAAACCTGACACCTGCACGATCGTTTTGATCGCGGAGCCGTGTAACGTCCCTTAAGTGTTGTGTGGGCTCGTTGGACCTCGGTTGACAGAGAGCCCCAGTTCCCAGGGGAAAGCAAAGCAGACGATCATCCGGCTTGTTCGGACGATAGTCGGGATTGCGGGGCCTGAAGGGCCCACGGATGATTTAATTACAAGGCCAATGGGGATGGACGAGACTGCCAAAAACAAGAACCGCACTGACCCAATAATGGGCTTTTCTGCAGGAAACCGAGATGGATGTGCAGATGTAGCATGCAAGTAACCCAAACGGTTGAGGGACACGCAGAGTACAAAGAAGAAGTTCGAGGCCAGTCAGGCACAGATCACGGGGAAAGTTCCCCGGAGGTACAGCTCTCCCCAGAGATACATGATCAATACATGACTAATACCACTCAAAGCCAACTGTTGACCCATCGGTGCGGCTGTAATTTCCGTATTTTTGGTACTGTTACGTCACGCGGTCAAATTTTGCATGTGATCCAACTGCTTTGAACCTCCACTTGCTCTTTCCCCGGAGTCTCTGTTTCTCTACACATTCTCTTCTCTTCGCTTTCTCTTCACTTGCTTCTTTCAACTCTTCTTGTTCTTGCGCAACTACTATCGCTTCAACCCCGATACCCAAACTCCCCCTCGTTAGTGGAGTCGACGATCCTCAGGAACTTTATCGCATAACGCATACTTCAGACTGGACCGAGGCATGCCACTTGCGTCTTGGTCCGCGCTACTCTTCATTTGAGAGTAGCAAGAAACCCAATATAAAGACAACGGATAGCGCTCTTTTTTAAATTTTTACAATGGAGGGTCATGGAACTGAAGTGCAGACTGGACGCACATCACCCCCGTCTGGACCCTTTGGATGTGAGTGGTTCTGTGAATGCACCATGAAATACCCGTTAACATGACTCAGATTCTTTTCTCTCCCCCATGGACACCCCATTCGAACAAGCACCCGCTCTTCCCCCGGGTCCCTCACTTCTTGATGATAATGAATCCAACATGCTTGACAACTTCTTTACTACCATGAATGCGAACCACTTTACGAATGACTTTTGGATGCGACAAGAACATAAATCCGGGATACCAAATTTCGACTGGTCTGGTGAACTGCCTCCGAACTTCGAAGGATCGACGACTTCACTGTCTCAGCCATCGTTTCAGCAGCATGGACTTGGCAAATCAAACGGGGGGTGATGGCAGGAAATCCTACAGGTCAGGATATATTTGCAGCAGCGTCCATGCTATATCAGAGTGGCCTAAACGGGCAAGATATCGGGTCCTCGCTAGCGCAGCAGGCTTTTGCAGGACACCCTATGCCACAAAATGGGACCCACATGAGGAATGATTCACAAGCCGGAAATGTCGGGCAAGGGCCGAGTACCTCTCCGTCTCGGGCTGATGTGCCCACTGGATATCATACATCCGAGATGTTTTTTGACGTCCGAGATCCCATTCCAGCCGACCAGCATCCATCAAGAAAGGTCCGCAGTCTCCGCTGGGGGTCAGATGTCAGTTTTATGGATCAAGGCTACCTTCGCCCACCCGACCAACCTGATGAGGAACAGCGGACAAAGGAACTGCTAGATCATCTAGGATGCTTTGAAACACAGAGCAGTGCAGCCAACACACGAGCTCCCAGTCCGGAACGGATGGTCGACGGGGCTGTCCATCGGAACTCCTTCGCATCACAATCCATTGGTTCAATCCCCGACGACAGCTTACAGACACGGAAACGGTCGCGAACTATGAAAGAAGACGCCGACCTCTCCGACGAAGAGGATGGAAGACCCCATTCCAGAAAATCCAGAGGATCCATAAGTAAAGGACGACGGGTGTCAACAGATATGTCTCGGAAAGCTCGTATACAGCCAGGATCCAAAGCTGCACGAGAGAACCTCTCCGAAGAGCAGAAGAGGACCAACCACATCCTTTCAGAACAGAAGCGCCGAAATCTCATCCGTCAAGGTTTCGAAGATCTATGTACGCTTGTGCCAGGGCTCAGAGGCGGCGGGTTTAGCAAGAGCGCAATGCTCACTTCCGCTGCTGATTGGCTTGAAGATCTTCTCCATGGAAATGATATCCTCCAAGGCCAACTACATGAGCTCAAAGGCATCAATGGCTTGGTAATGCCAAGATAACAGTCTCTGGCAACCTTCTAAACATATAATTTGGATGGCCCTGTATCTTTCTAACAGGGATTGCAAGCGTTTCAGCGGGTTGAGGAAGACCGGCGCGGTTGGCGTTCATTTCGCAGTCCTGGCGACAAGATACCATTTTTCTGGTCTAGTGCATTCTCTCTGACTTTCTATTTGCTACCGCTGGTGATATTAGATCACTTTCGGTTGGTCGGCATCGATACCCTAGTGCATAACTCGAAATCTTATTAGCAGAACAATATCTTGATCTTGATATATACCATAGACTTATTCCGTTAACTTCAAGTGTAAGACATGCAATGAGGCGGGACATGCAACAGCTCCTACCATCTAGATCCATTCTATGAGCATTAGCCGTAAAGACTAAGTGAACTTTTATGTTACAAGGAGTGGCGTTCTACATTATGATGGACTTCAATAAGTTAGCTCACCTATATTACATGTTTACTACCTCGCATATTTTATAACACATTGACCAGGCTGATCTTGTCTTACGGTATATCATCCAGTTCCAACTTATGTTTAGATTCTTGAAAAGAATGTGTGGGATTGTATTTAAAACTAACTTATAATTTTACTGTTTCTCGACGGTCGTTTACTACGGCACTTCTGTTAAGGTATCCACGCAGCAGTGTTGCATCGGATCGAAATCTTTGTCGAGAAATAGCTTGGCTTTGTCGGTTTGGCCTCTCTGGACGAAATAATTGAATGCTTTTTTGACAGGCAATATCTGTGGGCACCAAGTTCATCTCTGGTCGAACGAGTACCAGTTCTATGGATTCGTAATTGCAGTGTCCAATTGCACATTCGACCAGGGTTATGCTTGGTTATCCGAGGCGTCTCAATCCATGTCCAGTTATTGTCGAGTTCATATTGTGATCGAACATGTCTATAAGTCCCAGCCATGTGTTTAATGTTAATTTACTGGAACCCCAGCAAGCATGTATGAGATACTTTTTCACGTGCTCTGCACCGATATGCCCAAGAGCACCTAATTAATCATGAAGACATCCAGCGATTCCTTGTCGATTCTGAACGCAAGCAGTTTTGCCACGTTGGTGCAGTGATGTACTTGGCATACTTCCGGAGGTTTATAAGAAAGGGAATGTCTTGACTTTCTGAGCGTCAAACACCACTTCTTCTAGCTTCGGGAATATGTGCGATGATATCTGCGGGTATCTATGGCGGAAGATCTCGAAAAGAGAAATGTGCGTTTTCATTGTCGCCTCACAAATCTGAGCCAGCAGATGAGCGGAGTTCTGAGCGATGCAATCAAATAAAAACAGAAGGTCTTGGGGATTTTCCTTGACCGAGAAGCTCAGTTGGTAGACTTAGAAAGAAGACATCATGGTTGTTGAGATGAACTCGGGTTTAACCGAACATTGGACGTTCCCCGGGCCCTACGGAGTCTTAGCGCATCCCCTTTGCAATTGATATCACAGATCTCGTGGAAAAAGAAGATCATAAACATGATACAAATGAAGTGAATAGATCAACAATGATCTACATTGAGGGTTGTATCGCCGTCATGTCCCACCGCTTTGTGTTTTGCCGTGTTTAGACGCGTCGCCCTCACCAACGTTATCTCCAACACTCCCCCCGTCATGCCTCCAAAACGAAAGCACAATGATGATGAGGAACATGATTCCAAGCGCTACGCCTACCTTAAACCCCGCGTCCGCCGTGTCCCCGAGAAAACCATCAAGTCGAAATGGATAACTCTACCAGAGCCGGTTCAAGAAAGAGTCCGGGATATGTTTCATTCCCTTGAGCGACCGGTCATCATGCGAAGCCAGAATGAGCGCAAGCGCATCGAGGCGCAGGGTGCTGTGCAAGCGGTGGTGCGAAAGTAGGTCTACACGATACTTCTGGAGGCTTTCGCGCAAGTACCAGCACCTCGAAGGAACCAACACGCTGACGGTTCTCTCTGCGTGATTCCAGTCTAGGCAAACGACTCCCGCGGATGCCATTTCCACCCGCGACAAAGGACTCGAACTTCGACTACGAGTCTGCGTTGAATGAGCACGTATGCAACCCGCACCGAGTCAACAACAACCCCATACTGATTATGCTTTAGCGGGCATTGGAATCCAGCCTGGCCACCATGACCGATAGTGTCGATCTCTTGAAAGCCGAGATTGCAAAAGAAGAAGCGGCCCTGGTGCGTGATAAAAAGTCACTGCAGGAAATGGACAAGAACGCCAAACGGGCCGAGGCTGAACGGAAAAGACAGACGAAGAATGTATGCGACACAATACCTTGGGTCTTTGGTGTTCTCAACTGACTGTGTCCCCAGGAACACCCCGTTCTCCGGCAGCTGGACGCGCTTCCTCAAACCGAGGGCTCAATGTCCTCCGGATTTTCTCTTCTCGGCGCAAAGGATAGCCAAGCGACTCTGGACGAGGTATGTATTACTTTGATCTGCTACTCTGGCCGTAGAAACTTACACCATGCTCAATTCTAGTTGGACAACGACCCCGAAATTCAAGTACTTATGAAGCAACTAAATGGCCATCTTCAATCCATGCAAAGCAATACTGCGCCATTCGCTGGGCTAAGTGAGGCCATCACTCGTTCACAAGCTGCCTTGGACCTGTACTCACTGTCCAACGACTGATCGCTGGACATTTCCGCACCATACAAATATCAACAAACTACACGCATTTCAATGCGCGTCGACACATGAAAGACCTCGGGCCAGGGAACTTCGCGCTTACTGAGAGAAGCCATTCGAGTCCCGAGTACGGCAGTCCAGGATCACCCAGACACCCCATGTCGCGTGCTCAGATCCCAACACATGCGCTGAATAGCTGCATCGGACGGACACCGTGCGCGGCTGGCCGCCTATGCTACTAAGGACCAATACAGGGGATCAATACTTTCTCAGCACCGGTCCCAATTATAAACCCGGAGAGATTTGCGACGCCAAACACGGGGCTCAATATCGAGAATAATGGAATAAGCCATAATACAAGCTGTTGTACACAGAGACCATTTGTAGCACTAAGAATGTAATGCCTCGACCGAAGTGGCGGAAATGCGGAGGAGTTCGGAGGGGCGACTCCGCTTTCTCCATCCTGAACTTTTTGACGTTTCCAACCTCGCAACCACAGCCATTTCACCCTGGTTTCTGGGGGATTCTTGCGCAATGACCGAGATGTCGCTGGCCAAGTCCAGGTCCGGGGATGCAGGGAAGGATAGCCTCAAGGAACAAACATCTGCGACCAAGGCCGAAACGACCGGCGCGGGGAGTCACTCCAGTCCCAAGAAACGCCGAAAGGTGAATCACGGTAAGTTGCCGTTGCGCAGCATTCGACAGGGGTCTGCGCCCGCGAGAACACTTGACTGACCGGCTTTGCCATTCCAGCATGCGTTTATTGTCGCCGTTCGGTAAGCTTCATCGAGGACTCTGTGGATTTGCTATGCGACAGTTCCGGCACTGTCTTGGGGAATATTCGAGGAAATAGTTTTGCTAACTGAGTCTTGTTCGCGTGGGACAGCATATGACCTGCGACTCGGTACGACCTCCTCCGTCCGCGACCAAACTCTTGAGTTGCGAGTTGTGGAAACAAGCATCAGCTGACCTGTATGAAGGAGCGTCCTTGCACTCGGTGTATAAAGCGCAACATTGGCCACTTGTGCCATGACGAACCGAGAGAGACTACGAAGCGCGGACGTGGCGAACACGAACATTCGGCTGCAGACGAGGAGGGCTCGAACAATGATCTAGCTGTTCAAGGCATGCCTAGGAGTGTCGACGTAACCGATGCTGCGGGTCAGCAACAATTCCCTGAAGCTACGGTCGGAATTGCGCCCTCGGCTGTGAATCCGACTTCCACCGTGCCGCCCGGAAACCTCTCCACGTCTGGCCAGGACCTCGAGGCCAATCCTCAGCGTAAGCTCGTCACAAAACTAGTTCCCCCGGCCTCAGTTGACCTGTGATGACAGTTATGCCGTACAATGACTGGGTAGGAGGCCAGAATCAATTCCAGGATATGCATTCGCTTCACCCGTCCTACATGTTTAATGCGCCAGAAGTGACCAATGAATACAACTTGCTCGGAGACTTCCTCAGTAACAGTCTGTTGGATGATGGGGCAATGTTCCAAAACCAAGACATGCCCGGGATCTACTCTGACTCGACGTTGATGAACTCTATGAATGGCATAGGAATGTCGAATGGCTTACCGCCCCCGGCGCAGCTTCCACCACCAGCGCAAAGTCATGCGCCACAGGGAGACACAATTCAACGACCAACCTCAACTGTGGGCAATGACAAAGCCCGGGAAACGTACTACATGACGGCCGCCGATCCAGCGGGAACTGACCCACCAGAGGAGCGGATGAACAAGCTCCTCAAGGCCAAATATGACGCCGGGTTATTGAAGCCGTTCAATTATGTCAAGGGATATGCAAGATTGAATCAGTACATGGAGAAGCACATGCAACAAATATCCCGACAGAAGATCCTACGACAGCTTGACAAGTTCCGGCCAAAATTCCGAGAACGCATGCAGAGTCTGACTGATATCGAATTGATTCTTGTCGAGATGTGGTTCGAGCGGAGCCTGATGGAGTATGACCGTGTGTTTGCTAGTATGGCTATTCCCGCCTGCTGTTGGCGCCGGACAGGGGAGATTTTCCGTGGCAACAACGAAATGGCCCAGTTGATTGATGTCCCCATTGAGGGTTTGCGAGATGTGAGTATCTACCTACAGTTGCTATCATTAGCTACGTCATATCTTACTGATATGTTTCTTTCATTAGGGCAAGCTTGCTATCCACGAAATCATTGTTGAGGACCAGCTGGTGAGCTACTGGGAAAAGTTTGGTGCTATCGCCTTTGACAATACGCAAAAGGCCATGCTCACCAGCTGCACCCTTAAGAGTCCCAACCCTAACTCAACGGGTGATGGTATCACTTGCTGCTTTTCTTTTACCATCAGACGTGATAACCATAACATGTAAGTCATCCATGCACACCCTGGCTTCTGTGCTGGCTAATGAATTTATACAGTCCATCTCTTATTGTTGGCAACTTCCTCCCTATCGACAAATAACTGCTTTCGGTAGGTACTGGATCATGGTGTTGTTTTTTATTTTTTCTTTCGTTTCTTTCTTCTTGATTCCCCGAGGTTTGGCTGTGTCTTCATACAAAATGTACAGTGCTTGGTATATGTACCACAATAAACAGTCTATTTGGATCGATTGTCATGATAAATTAGTCACAAGCAATTATCCACGTTTATTTTCTATGCTTCCTGAAACAGTATTGTCTTGTGAGTCATCGTGTTGTATGCCCAAAGTTCCGACCTACGAAATAATCATGATTTTAGAGCAAGTCATTCTAATAGTCAAACCTTCTACTAACGGTCACACGTAAGGACAGTAACGAATTTATTCTTTGTAGTGTGATCTAGGAGGTAGGAGGGGTGAGTAAGAGGTGTGAAAGAAAGGGGCTTATAATCTTGATTATAGCGAGACAGCCTATGGCCGCTCACGAGAAGGTAAATATGGGTATCATCAGAAGGTCAAAGATCTCTAGGAAATCAGGAGAGATAAATAGAAAGAAAGAAATCGCCCAAGCCACTGACCACACAGTGGATGATGCAAATATGCAAAGAAGCAAAGAAAAGAATAATAATAAAAAAAGGAAGGAGAAAGTTTCCAGAGAATGCGATGGCAAACACGCCAGTAAATGTGAAGGAGAAGATCAAGTGAAGGCAAAAGAAAATGTCATGATAAATGCACGGCCTTGGTGGGAGGACACCAGCGGGACAAGGCCTCTTTCTGAGGCATGATAGAAAATTATTGCAGGACGCATGCTTCACTCATCTCCATCTGCTGTGGCATCGTATGAACGGCTCCGTGAAACCTGGCGTACCACCTTGTGCCGCAGCGATGGAGTAGAGGGCATATGGCGGGGCATCTGGGGCGACTTCAATGACCGAGATGAATGACTGGACCTCCGATCCATGTCTCTGCCACTGCTATCGGTTTCTGTTTCTCCGCTTTCATCGCTACTTTGGCCACGGCCAGTGACAACACGGAGAGTAAGACTCAGCTCCCGCTCAAGCTCCTTTTGTGCTTGGATGCGTTGTGTGGAACCGTTGAGTTTCTTGCGGTAGGCCCGGAGTGTGCGGCACACCTGCTCGGTGGACATATCAAGACTGCCAAACTCGCTTCGTGGCGTTGTTTTGGCGCGGGTTCTGAAATCCATAGATGTCCGGCGGTTGCTGTTCCTTGAACCGTTCGGCTTTCTGGGCACCGAGGCCGTGGATTTGGGACTCACGGGCGATGGTGACCGACGGCTCCTGTCCGTTGGTGTAGCAGGTGAGGGAGAGAGACGATTTGGGAATGATGAGGTTTCTGAGACAGAGTGGTTCTTCAGGGAAGACGGTGCTAGAGATAGCCTCGACATCTTTCTCATTAGAGTCGGCGAGCGCTCGCGTATAGGTGTTGGAGTCGCAGGGTTAGGACTGTCGGGACGTTGAAAGCCAGCCAACTCGCTGCGAGAAAGAACTTTTCTGAGAGGGGGTTTAGCAGCGGTGTTTTCTTTGGCAGGGGTATCGTCATCATCTCTTGTGTTCTGAACGAGGTCCTGTGATATTTGCTGCAGGACGGACAGATTCCATATCATGAGAATTCCATCCATGCCAGCACTGACCACAGTGCGCTTAGGTGCTCCTTCAGACTCCTCGCTGCGGTCCTCCAGAAGAAGCACATCCGTTACGCCCTCTGTATGGCCAAATTCGCCGGTGAGAAGTTGATCTCGCTCGAGATCATAGACGCGGAGAGACTTGTCAGTGGTCGAGACACCAATGAGAAGTTTCGGGGTCTGGCCTGGGATCTCTGATGCAACTGTCAATGAGCCCATGATAACTGCATCAGTCGACTCTGAATCTGATGCCTTGAAACAGTGCAGATGGCGCCCTAAAGGGATGTCAAACTTGGAGATACAGCGGTCCATCGTAGAAACATATAGGATGCTGGAGTCATCCGGGCAAAGCGTCATTGAGACAGGGGATGCTTTCAGAGTAATGACTCTGGAAACGAGGTAGGCAACAGATGTGCCACCCTCCACTTCTCTTGTCGCACGATCTCTTATAAGGACAGTGCGGTCTGCTGAGCATGAAAGCAGCTTTTCGCCGTCGTTGATGAATAGTAATTTCCCAACGGCACCGACATGGTCATCCATGGTTTGAATCAGTTGCAATTCGGCGTCTCTTTTCTCGAACAGTTGTACCATCCGATCACGACCGGAGCTTGCTACCAACCAGGAGTCTGCAGTTTCTTGGAGGGCCAGGTCTGTAATCTCCCCACCATGGGCGCGGGCTTGGCTGACACAAGTCCATTCGGCATTTGAAAGGAGTCTAGGTTTCCGAGTCAGTCGAAAATCACTCGTTATATTCTCAAGTGCCACGTACCTCAATACACCGAACTTGTCGCCTGAAACAAACCAGTTCGCATTTTCTGCTGTTCTCAACACCTTGAGTTCGTTTGCAGCGGCATCTTCTTCGTTTCCCGAAAATTGGTCGAGATCGATCGCTTTCGATGCCCGGCACTTCCCCTGGGCATCCCAGAAGTTCACGGAGCCGTTTCGAGACCAGGAAAAGAAGTCCGCGGAAAAGTCATTGGGGAGCTTCATATGACAAATTCCGAGGATCGGGTCTCGATGTGCCTGCATGAAAGACTCACCATGCTCCTGCTCACCCTCCTCGCGCAAAGTGCTGATCGGATAGATGTGTATTTCACGGGTGGCTTCAACAGTGACCAAATGCGAGTTCAGAAAGCCCATGCAGGTAATTGCAGGAGCCTTGTTCTTCTTGTCAATCACGCTTTTATCGAGGCGGGTAGGAGAGCCCGGTCTGTTTGAGCCACAAGATCGCAGAGTTTCAAAGGACAAGCGCTGCATCTGCCTTCCACGCCCACTGAGCCAAACTGATTCCTGGTCGAAATCAACGGCCAGAGATGTGATGCTAAAACCAACTTGCTTGACCGTGATCATCTTCTGAGAATTCTCCCGATCATCGAGAAAGCAGACTGCGCCGGAATCTGTACCGATCACAGCCTCGTGGTCGGAGATGCTGCTCACACAGGTGAATGAGCTATCGCTGAGTGCACCCAGTAGACAATTCCTCCCAGAAAGCGCTTTTGGGGCAGGATTGGGTGAGGGACCACCCCCGTCGACGTTCAAACGTGATTTGGTGGGAGATATAGGTCGCATTGATGGAAGACGCCAAACCTTGACATGTCGCACGCCGGTCCTGCACAACAGTTAGTCGAATACTAATTATACTTATTATCAAACATACGTGACCAGCGTTTGGCCAACCCAGCACATGTCTTTGATGTACGAAGTGCACTTGTTCGCGGAATGCAGCCTGGCCGATCCATTCTTGAGGTTGATTGCCCAGATGAAGAGGAACCCATCGTTCGGGTTGCCAAGGGTCGCCAAATACTGGGAATCCGGACTGAATGCGAGACTGCATACACCGAATGTATGCTCATTCAATATAGATAGCGGTACATCTGGTAAAGCATCTTTTGCTGTCGAAAAGATCAGAACTCGAGGGTTATAACCAGTCTGGAAGCTGTCAGCTGTTTGTTGCACGCCCTGGTCGTGTATTATCTACGTACCTCTCCTACCGCAAGGAATCTTCCATTGGGGCTGATCGAGACACTCGTCACTGCTTTGATTCGTTCTCTCGAGGACCACCCGCGGGGGCTCCCACTTTCACCGACTTCGCTGGACGGGGATCCATTGTGAACATTGATATGCGGATTGGATCGAATGTGGGATAGAGAGCGTGCCCTCGGGTCTGGAGTGACCGGTGGAGTTGATTGATTGTAAAACGAAGTTGCTGGATTGACGCTGGTCGCGGAGGGCCGTGCTCGGAAGAAGCGCTGGCAGAGGTTGGCGTCCTCGTCTAGTTCTGCGAGCACTGCGGCGGAGCCAGCGCACAGAGCAAAGCTCTTGCTCTGGTCGTGACTCGAGAACCCATTGGGGGTCGTGGTGGTTGTGCCGATGACGGTTTGAAGGGACAAGGAGGAATGGTGGGAGGTTTTGCTGGGAGATCGTGTACCCGGTCTTAAGATTGGTGAATTCGAAGGAGTGATTTTCAATGATGCGCCTGGACCCGCAAGCTTGCTTTTCGCGCTGAGGGGGGCGGTGGTAGCCATGTCCTTGGGAGCTGAGGTCGGTGTTTCAAGGTCCCCTGTGCGCGCGGGGTATTTTCATGTCAGAATGTAGGCGCATTCGTCAGGCAACTCCGAAGGCGCCAGTCAAATCGGAGGTTTGCGGGTTACAGTGTTGAAGGAGCGTTCAGGAGAGGTTGGCGAGGTTGGCCCAGTGTGGGAAGATGGGAGTTTAATTAGTGGGGGTAGCTAACATGGAGCTTTGATCAGCAAGGCCTCATGCAGGTCCAACAGTCTAGAACTCACTTCAAAAGAGTGTAAGGGACTCCGTCGTGGAAGGTCAGAAGAAGGAAACAAACAACAAGCTCATTCCGCACTAAACAGCGGATCATTCCAGACGATCTGAGGAATCCGAACCTTGGTTCTCCCCCTGTCAAATCCCGGAGATCTCAGGGCTTCCAGCCTTGAAGTGCACTGGAGTTGAAGTGTCTCACTGGTCTTCAATCAAGGAGCTGAGAGGACTTCTTGCTCAACTGAGACCTCGCTTTCAGACCCTCGATCGGCGAAAAATCGTGAGATGAACGGTGGGTCGAGTGCACAGGTCGCTCGCGCTAAGTCGGACCTTCGGCTCAGCTCTAAATGTAAGTATCCTAAACCGTGAGGTTTGTAGGAGAGTGACTCCGCACAGGGGAGGAGAGCTGGAGAAGATGATAAGTCTCGAGGGCCTATTGCACGTGCCTTACCCATACTTCCTCGTGCTACTCCAATCAGCCCTTGGACTTCCTCTGGGGTCAACACTTGATAGTATCAAATATATGATGTTCTTTGCTGTCACTTTCTAAAAGCTATTTCCTTTGTCAATTCGACCTGTCTTTGTGATACAGCACTTTTCTTCCATCGTCGACGAACAAAGCCCAGCTATAATAAGCATTTTGACTTGACCGGCTGGGCCAATGCTATCAGGTCTGCTCTAGACATTCTTTATGTCAATGAATCTGTTAGATGGATCAAGTGGCTACTCTCGGGTATAGACAAGCAAAACTCGCGCAATTTGCCGTGATAAACATACCAAATCCGGATCTACAAACACGCCCTCAAATATACCTCAATACCTTAAGTAGGCCTCGAATACATCGCCAAGCGTATCACTAATACGTCCTTTGAGACCGTCACATCAAAGAAATGAAGCAAGTCGACTGCGGATTTGAGAAGTTTATAATCAAGTTACCAGATTGGGTTTAGCGCCAACTTTAGGATCTCGGTGCCTGAACCCTCGGGCCGCCATAATTAACGTGGTCTGCAAGCGAGTGGGCCATGTAAGCGAGTGGGCCACCCAACCACTTTTTCGCATCCCGGTCTATCTATCTATCTTCTATCAACCACCATGCCTCCAATTCGCTCTCAAAGCTCTCGAAATCGTATAGAGCAAGAGGGTAGGATCTTATTAGCCATCCAGGCTATTAAGAACAAAGAAATAAGCACAATTAGGCGGGCCGCAGACCAATTTCAGGTCCCCCGCAATACGCTCACGCGTCGACTACGCGGAACTACAAACCGCGCTGAATCTCGCGCAAATGGTCATAAAATGACACAAATTGAAGAGGAACTACTTCAGCAGCGGATACTATCGCTAGATCTACGTGGAGCAGCCCCTACACAAGCTCACGTACGAGAAATGGCGAATATTCTACTCGCGAAGCGTGGTTCTACCCTAATTCAAACTGTCGGCGAAAAATGGGTATATAATTTTATCCAACGCCATCCAGAGCTTAGATCTCGCCTTTCACGACGATACGACTACCAGAGGGCACAGCAAGAGGATCCAAAGATTATTCAAGAGTGGTTTAACACTATATATACCACAATTCAGCAATACGGTATCCTTTCGGACGACATCTACAACTTTGACGAGACTGGCTTCGCAATGGGCCTTTGTGCGAATCAAAAAGTGATTACCCGCTCAGAATACTACGGTCGGAGATCAGTTCTACAGCCAGGAAACCGCGAGTGGGTAACCGCAATCGAGTCAGTCAACGCTTTAGGGTGGGCGCTTCCACCGACGCTTATTTTTAAGGGTAAGCAATACAATCAAGCATGGTTTAAAGACCTTCCACTCGACTGGCGACTCGAGGTTAGTACGAACGGGTGGACGTCCGACAAGATAGGCCTTCGCTGGCTTCAAAAGCAATTTATTCCGTCGACAAATAGTCGTACGCATAGAAAATATCGACTCTTAGTCCTCGACGGACACGGAAGCCATCTTACGCCAGAATTCGATCAACTTTGCGCGGATCACAATATTATACCAATTTGTATGCCAGCGCATTCCTCGCATCTTTTACAGCCTCTTGATATCGGGTGCTTTGCGGTTTTAAAGCGCTCGTACGGTACCTTAGTCGGCGACAAAGTACGGCTCGGGATCAACCATATCGACAAGCTTGACTTCCTCGCAGCATATCCACAAGCTCGTGTCAACGCATTTAAAACAGACACTATCAAGAATAGCTTTCAGGCAGCAGGATTAGTACCATTCGATCCTCAACAAGTGCTATCAAAGCTCAATATTCAACTTCGGACGCCGACGCCACCCGTGAGCCGTGGTAGTGACGCAAGCGCTTTTTACCCACATACACCCGCGAACGTTAACGAGCTTCTAAAGCAAGCATCCTCAATTAAAGAGTTTCTTAAGCGACGCTCAAATAGCCCACCCTCGCCTTCACAGGCCGCGTTAAACCAGCTTATCAAAGGCTGTCAAATCGCAATGCAGAACGGTATACTTCTCGAGGAAGAAAACAAGCAGCTACGTGCCGCTAACGCCACACAAAGGCAAAAGCGCGCTCGTGTGAATAGATGGATAGCCCACGATGACGGTCTATCAGTACGAGAAGCATTAGAGCTAGAGGAAGCTCACAATCAGTTCTTTCAGCCAAGAACAGGACCGAGGGTAGCGCCAGCGCAGGCTACGCAAGCACCGGTTACGCGGCGCCTACCTAAATGTGGTAATTGCAGCGAGATAGGGCATAAGAAGAATGCCTGTCCAAGAAGAGATTAATCAATATAATAGCGTTGTGGTTGATATATACGTATAAAAGTGTAGAAAAAGTGGTTGGGTGGCCCACTCGCTTACATGGCCCACTCGCTTGCAGACCACGTTAGATAAGTTAGTTATCTTATCGCCACCAATATTTTCCTGACTTCTTTTCAAATCAAACCTCTGTTCATATCTATTTTTTTACTGTCATCATGGTGATTACATGCGCTGCCTCGGCAAAGCTGGCTTTGCCTGCCCTTATGCGCAATGTATTTCGCTCACAGTACGCCAGTGACTTGGCCTCTTCGACCCCCTACCAGTGTTTCGCCTCTCGCCCTCCCTTTTCCTCCCAGATTCGACGACCTTTCAGCTCGATCCCGTACTTGCGCGATTCTCAAAATGAGCAGTTAGGGCAGGGAACCCCTGAGTCTCCGATCACCGAGGCCGCCACGCCTTCTGACAAGCCGAGGAAGCAATCTTCCGGCCCTCCCGCAACAAGAATGGATGGAAACCGATGAAGGGCCAGCAAAGAAAACCAGAGAACGTCCACAAACGATCGGACAGAGAGCGCAAGGCATTTCGAACAGAGGCTCGGAAAGAAGCCCATAAGGAAGCCCGAAATGACCCCCGGAAGGACTCGCACGGGAACAAAGACGCAAAGCCGAAACCGAATGGAAAGAAGAAGAAGCCCGAGCCATGGCAAGTCCAAAAAGCCGCCCTGGAAAAGAAGTTTCCCCAGGGTTGGAATCCACCCAAGAAGCTTTCTCCTGATGCGCTCGATGGAATCCGTCATCTACATGCGAAAGCCCCTGAGCAATTCACAACGCCTGTTCTCGCACAGGAATTCGAGGTGTCCCCGGAAGCTATCCGTCGGATTCTAAAGAGCAGATGGCAGCCATCGGAGGACGAGCAGGAGAGTCGGCGCCAGCGATGGGAGAAGCGACATGACCGAATCTGGAGTCGTATGGCTGAGCTTGGTCTCCGACCCGAAACCAAGCGTACGAAGCCCATTTCGGATGCCAGAGTGTTGTATGATGACAAGGGTCGACGGAAGTAGTCTGTCTCCTCTCTGTTTGATATAGTTTACTTTGCGTCACTGTACAATACATAATAGCGCTTCTTTTTGGAAATATGGACAATAATAATTCAATGCAATTCAATTGATTACTGTAAATTTTATATTCTCTTTTGTAATTTTTGATCTTTTGATACCCCAGTTGAGACATTGACGTATGAAGTTCGGGGGTGGAGCAAGGTCCGCCACGCAACTTGATCCTCGGCAAGGAACCTTCAACTCTTCACATCAACCAACATGCATTCGGGTTGACAGAATGCTCATGTCGGCCTGTTTTCTAAAGCTTCGACTGAACTACAGCTCATCGTGCCGACCTGCAATTCCCTAGATCTCGTGGCCCGACTGCCCACATGCTGACACGCCATGCCATCCAACATCCAAGTCTTCGTGAAATGGAAAGACCAGACCATATTTGCTGGAGAAGACGTGGAATGTACCATCACGTTCAAGAACGTGGCTGATACGGGGGTCGATGCCAGTGGGAGCGAAGGAGGTCAACATTCACGAAAGCTCTCTCGAGTCGCAAACCACACGGCCAACTCGAACTCGGACTCTTTCTTCGGACTCAAATCACCCCAGGGCCTGTTCTCTGGTCGACGGTCATACTCCATCAGCTCGCAGCGAAAGCCTTACCACCGAACAGCCTCGTCTTTGAGCACACCGCATGTCGGCTCACATAGCTTCCCTCCGAACAGCAGCCCCTCTACACCGCGCACTTGGCAACCAGGTCACGGCCACAAACGATCTGTATCCATTCTCTCTATTGATAGTGAAGGTCAGACCGATCCGACACCTGCACCACATCAATACAACCTGCCCAAGCCAGTCAGGGGTCATGGACGCTCGGCGAGTCTTCAGGTTCTGCCAAGGCGGAACAATAGCTACGAGGACTCCTACAAGAAAGGTAAAGCCGAATAAGCTGAAACGGCACGAATTGAGGCTAATGGTCATCTCTCGTCAGTGAGGTCCCCCACCCATGCTTTCCCTTTTCCCTTGGCAGAGGCTCCAAACGAGCATCCCAATGGCAACTTGACTGTGGACACCTCCAATCTGGGGCGTCGCAGTCGTCCTGGATCTCTAGCGACAAGTCCAATAGGACCCGTGGAGTCAATACGACCACCTGCGCGACGACCACAACCACCTCCCATGGAATTCAAGTTCCCAGCCGCGCCTCCACCCGAACCAAGCGCCAGTTTTTCAGCGCGCACTCCATCTCCCAAATCGGCAACGACAAACGGTACTTCTTCTACCGGGGGAAGATCGAATGGCAAGGATGCATCATCTTTGACGGCTCCGGCACACCAACAGCTGACTCGAATCATTTCGGCCACTAGCGCAAATGGGAGCGCTAGGAGCAGTGGAGAGTTCTTCTCCGTCAGTGACCATTCCACTGAGACTCTCGGGTCGGAATATACAGCCTATTCGACACAAGCTGCACGGGTGCCCCCATCTGTACGACATGCGCGGCATCATTCGAGCGTGGTGACGTCTCCCTTCAAGGCCCCCGACAGCCAGGCGCTGCTCATGGGCTATGCTCAGGTCAGCGCCTCTTTTACAGTCGATGGGTCCCTAGTCAACCAGTCGGCCTTCGAGGACGTCAAACGCAAAGGAGTTGTCGGTGGCCAAGGCCAACCGGGCCCAGGAGGGGTTCCTGGCCGTCCAGCAACCCCCGAGCGTCCACGCAAAACCGGTGGGTTTTGGGGAGCGCTTAAATGGAATACAATCGAAGAATCCATCAATGGTCTTCTCTCCAACAACGAATTGGATGGTTTACGAGAAATGCGCGGCGTGTCATCCTCTCGTTCCATTCCACTGTTATCGACTTCGCAGTCGCTACTATTTGTCGACCTTCGATTAGCGCCAGGTGAGGAGCAATCATATTCCTTCTCTTTTGCCCTCCCGAAAGGTCTCCCGGCGAGCCACAAAGGAAAGGCAATCAAAATTTCATATAATTTAGTCATTGGAACTCAGCGGCCAAGTGGAGCCAACGAGCCTCAAAAGGTTAACCGCATCAATATCCCCTTCCGTGTTTACAGCGGTGTGAATGGTGAGTAATATCTCTAAATCAGATCTCCCCAATTCGTTCTAATACTTCTCAGACAAGGGAGATATCCTTGGGCATGACCTGATGTCACCTTACGTGCTTCTACGAGATGAGGCGAAGGTGCAAAAAGTTGGATCAACAACGTCAGTTGGTTCGAAGAACCAAAGCATCAGCAAAACTCATCATTCTGCAACGGATTTCCTTGAATATGTGGATGAAATTCTCGAGCAACGTGCGCGTTCCAATACGCTCTTCCCACCTGGCGCTCTCCCTTCGAGACGAGCCAGTGTTGAAGGTCTCCCGCAGATGCTCACCTGCAAAGATATCATTGATTTTGCCATCCTTCGCAGTAACCAGGCAATCAATTCTCGACGCAGCCCCAATCGCTTTGAGATTGCCCGCGAGGGACAGCGCATTGCAGTAGTGGTCTTGAATCGGCCAGTTCACCGGCTTGGAGAGACCATTATCGCTACCATGGACTTTGGCAACGCTACAATTCCATGCTATGCAGTACGAGCTTCACTAGAGACATCTGAGAAGGTCACGCCCACTTTGGCCATTCGTTCCAATGCAAGCATCCACCGAACTACACGGAAGATCCATGCGTCTTTGTTCGAAAACACACTCCACGCTACTCGAGTAGCCTTCAGCCCGGCCATTCCCATCGCGGCCACACCTACAATCCTCACCAGCGGTGTGACCCTTGATTGGGAACTGCGATTCGAGTTTGTGACGTCTAATGGTCGGGGCGATCAAGGTCCCCGCCCATCGGGCATTCGCTTGCTTGAGACCCTATCCTCGGATGATCGTGGCAAGCTGTTGTCTGCCACGGATCATCTAAACTGCGAGTCCTTTGAAATTGCCATTCCATTAACAGTCTACGGAGAGACCGTTCGAGAGCGGCAGCCCGAAGAGAACGAGGGCTACACGATTTAGCACTCTGGACAGATGTACACGTGTGTCCTGCCGTGCAGGTATCTGATTAGTTTGATTTTTAAATATTCCCCTGTACTGAGACTAGCAAATAATGGCCTCTGGGACCAATGTATAATTGAATTGAATGAAACCAAATACTGTAGCATCATATACTCCGTGTATACTTAGGCGGTCACTGGGGCAACCCGACCACTTATCAGCTGAACCCGATAACACTCCTTTGCGCGTTCATCTCATCTTAACCTCGAATCATCAGTTAACGTTATTGTAATTATTTCAGAAGGTACACCCTGGAGCATTCCCGAGTGCATATCCCGAATCTTGCAACACAGCAATTCTAACACTGGAATGCAGGCACGTCGTGATCAGCGCAGACCCCGCTGAATCACCCCCTACAAAAGCGCCCTCTACTGAGAAGATGGCTTCGTTCATCACCACCATGTCTGTCCCCGCTACCCCTCCAGCTGTTCATTTCTCTGCCTCCGAGCCTGCATCTCGGTCCCCGCCATCCCACTCCTCCGTCATCACGTCTTCCTCCTTGTACCAAACCACCCGCACTTCCCATCTGCCCTTCTTGGAACCCCCCTCTTACCTTTCGCCTGCCGTGCGCGCTCTCAAACAAGGCTGCTTTGGACTAACACCTCCCAGAAATGCTCGCACAAGGGCCCCCTTCAAGCCCCGCTCTGCTGCTAAGGGCACGAGCAGTTACCAGCTCCGACAGTTCGCTGAGGCTACCCTTGGAAGTGGTAGCTTGCGCAAGGCTGTGAAGTTGCCCGAGGGCGAGGATCTCAATGAATGGCTTGCAGTTAATAGTGAGATATGCCGGTTAGGTTGAATTGCATGCAGTCGCTAATGTTTTGGTTTATCTAGTTGTCGACTTTTACAACCAGATCAACCTTCTTTATGGCTCAATAACTGAGTTCTGCTCGCCGCAGACGTGTCCTGAGATGAAGGCGACTGATGAGTTCGAGTACCTTTGGCAAGACTCGGAGAACTTTAAGCGGCCCACTAAGATGTCGGCGCCGGAATACATCGAGCATTTGATGGCCTGGGTTCAGAGCAATGTCGACAATGAACAAATGTTCCCCAGTCGAATTGGTACGCTCCAAGAGAAAAATAGCCGATTTTGTGTCCACTACTTACCACATTGTCAATTTAGGCGTCCCATTCCCCAAGACCTTCCCCAGTCTCCTCCGCCAAATCTTCAAGCGTCTGTATCGTGTCTACGCCCATATCTACTGCCATCATTACCCGGTAGTAGTACACCTCGGCCTCGAACCCCATCTCAACACCAGCTTCAAGCATTACGTCCTGTTCATCGATGAACATAAATTGGCCAGCGGAAAGGACTTCTGGGGCCCACTGGGTGATTTGGTGGACAGTATGTTGCGCAGTGACTGAGTGTGCTTTCGGGTGGAATTCTGTTTGCATCTGATCTCCAGAGTGTAACTGATACATGAAAATTGGGATCTCGGCGTTTCGGTGCGGTGCATACATTACGATATTTCAGCTTGGCTTGTTTGGCGTTTCGCGCTTGTCCTAACGCTGATTTCGAATTCATGAATGGTTTTATGATTGATTCATTGTTGCATATTCTAAACAAGAAGAATGTTTGAACATGGCGTAGTAGTCGATTGTAGTCAATGATGTACACCTGGGGTGTCTAGGGTGCGTCTAACCCAACACATGCAAGCAGTAATCGAATTAGTCTGTTGATATTTCTGGATCTTGGCTGCAGCTTCTAGCCACGATAGAGCTTCCACCACGTGTAGCGAAGTCCGTCGAAGCATCCAAATCCTTGTCTGTGGCTGTACGGGCTGAATATTTTCTGGTCTAGAGGTGATGGATGATGCCACCATGCTTATGAAATTTTTCTTTATCTTAGGCACGTATATCCTCAGGCTAATCTAGCCGATGCCAAGTTAGCGGGTTTCGGTAATTGTATTGGTTGTTGGTGTTCTTTAAGTTTCTCTGTGGTGTATAATATACAACCCCAACTTAGTTAGCAAGAATAATCGGAAACGGGGATTATAATTATTAGTTGGTAGTCTCGTTCACGGAATATATATATACATTTATTGCTAAGCCCAAATACTCTACGGACATCAACATATTGGAAACCTTGCAATAAAACAGTGTGAGAATGGTATGTACCACATTTCCTTCTGTACTAACTTGATCCTGTTGTTTCCACAATTCTCGCTTCTTGATTGTACCCAACCTCATCTCTAGATATACTATCAGAGACAGTGAAGCTAATCTACAACTGAAGAAACCAAAACCACGTATCTAGCCTCGTCAACAAATAAAATCCCACCAATGTCATAACGGCCAAGCCGGAGTAAACCAGCCGCAGAATCACTATCACGTCTGTGCTTCCCTAGAACTCGATGGTAAATCTCTCAACATAGACACCGTACCATCAGGAAGCGATGTATCTTGTTTCAAAGTCGTTAGTTGTACAAGCCGAAGCAGTCCTTTCGCAAACTGCCATCGGCGAGCAAGTGCCCGAAGAGTGATTACAATATCTGTTAAAGCCCTTTGGTTTTGGACATCGTCCAGGTCCTCGAAAAGGGCGAATAATGCAACGGTTGCGTACCGCATTGCCGTCATTGGCATACATTCCATCGGCCATAGTGAGCGGAATTGACTGAGCATCGTGCCGATATGGCGAGCCGAAGATGTTCGCAAACTCTTGATACGGTCTTTCGTGGTCGACTCACCTTCTTTTGTGATTGGTGTAACGAAGCCGAACATGACCAGGATCGCGTTGTGATAGCGCATACTTTACATGATTAGCTTTATTCATGAAGGGCGGTACTGTACTCACTGCATTTCCATGACGCCCGGTGTGGACGCATATCCCAGCTTGATGCATTGCGGGAGTTTCTCAGCCCAGCTTTCAAAGCGCTGGTGGAAAGTATTGATTATTTCGGGATCAACTCTTGTATTGTTCTCATCACCAAACAGATAGTCGCATATCTCCCACATAATCAGCCCCTGATCGAATAGGCCATTTTTCAAACAGTTCGTATGAGCCGCGATAGGTTCGCCTTGACGAGGATACGGTGTCCAAATGTCATCGGGGTCGTGAATTTCAGGGAAGTATTTAAGTGTTGTAGGTCTGTTGACGGTAGCACCCTTTTGAAGGTTTAGGATAGCAACTCTGTAGAAAGTTAGTACAGTTAGGGGTATAACTATTGTAAGCTCACTAACGAATACTGACTGAACAAGCCGAAGATTGCAATATCAATAGATCTTGCCATTTCTGGGGCCTGTTCATTGGCCTCTGATATCATTCGCTGTCGGTTGTTCATGACCTGACCGATGCAGTCTGCTATTCTTACCAGGTATTGCGAGCCAAGTCTATCTTTGCCCATGATACAGGCGCTGGGAAATTCTGTTAGAGCGCCGTTTTCCAAAAAGATAAGTCTTAGCTTACATAGTATAGATATCTCCCCATGCCTGAAGAGTGGTAAGGCGCAGGCGATCTTCTTCCATTGCCAGGTGCCGCATTGCCTCTTCGAGAAAGTGTTCTCCTCGGGTGCTGGGGTCATCAGGTTTGGCGAATACTTCAGGGTAGTCGGAATAGAACTTAAGAAAAGAGTTGTTAATCAGTATTCGAGGGGAAGAAATGAGATTTACAAACACATGCACAAGCGAGTATAATGTTGACCAGCAAAGGCGAACAGAACCGAGAATCCAACTTGCCGACTCTCATATCCGCTAGAAACAGGTCCCGATCAATCCAATTCAACGTACTGTGCTGCCAGGTGAAATAGTGGGAGACCAGGTGCGAGACAAAGGAACCATCGGTTGTAACAGACGTCCATGGCTGCGAAGGTACCTCATAGAGAGGGATGTCTGAGATCCGTCTCACATCCATAAATCTTTTCGAAGAGGAAGTTGGGCTCTTCATCGGAACATTGTGCGAATGGCTTGTACTCTGGCTCTCAGTCAGATATAACCGGATCTCGTCCAAGGATACATTACTCCGAATCATGTTGAGAATCTCGGGAACCTGTCGCTCTTCGTCATTTCGGATACCTTCCACTAGTCGTTCAAATAGGTTGCGGTCCTGCTCTAGGGATTCGATTTTGCGCTTGAGGGTGATTCGTCGACGGCCATCATTGTCGGCGTTGATCACACACTCTGTGTTTGCTTTTTGACAGGGCTCACAAGGCTCGCCTCCAACACACTGTGTGCGTCAGCAGAGGCTTCAGTGTTTATAACGGGGCGCAGACTTTTGATTTTCGTTTTTGGCAGGCTTGGCAGGCTGTTGTTGCTTTCTTCGCTCGAGTTGAAGGAGTACCCTCAGTCTGATGTGAAGTCGAATCGGGTGCCTGTGTAAAAAGCATTCTAGAGCCTTTCGAATCTCTGGGGGCATCTTGACCGAAAAAAAAAGACCAGATATGTGTTTTCATGGAAAATGGCCCAACTTATCATTTACTATATAAGAGCCGGAAATGTGTATCCGGCCCGTCCCGCCAACCAAGCGCCGCACAAGTTTACCTGGCGTCTAATGCATTACGCTGTGCATTAGGCTCGATTAAAGCAAACAGCGAAGAGGGCCGATCAGACTCCAGTGCTGCCAATGTGCGACGATATGGCCCACCCCTGACTGTCGTTAAATGCGAAAGAAGCATTCTCGTCACGAATCTAAGACACCATGACCCGAGCTCGACTTCTGTTTCTTTTGTTTGGGCGGATGACCCTGAGACTAGCAGGGATATCGATGTAAAAAATCCGGATTTTGATTGACTGATCGGGGATCGGTGATTTTATACCCTGCTAGCGGCCACGGCACAACTGTTTTCACCTCACCTGGTCCATACAGTAAGCCTGGTCCGAATAGAGTTCCCCTAGTGTTTAATAACTGCCATTTATCATGCGCCTAGACAATCAGCCATTTCATCTATCATTGCAAGCACATTGGAGAAGACTACTGTCCTGGGGATCCTTCGGTTGGGGATGACATTTTTGTGCGAGGTTAATTTTTTTGTTTGACTTGGTCCGTGCGATTACACAGAGATGAGATGGGCAATTATATGTATCAGCCGCGTTAGAATGCTCCAGGTGGCCCTGCATCAGGGCGGCTCTCAGTTGTGAGCGGAAGCCTAATCCAACAAGCTCGGAGTGATACCACGTGATCTTTAATATTACCTCATCCCTGAGTCAGCTCGGGCGTGGAACCACGTGATCCGGGAAGAAGTCGGACCTCGTCTCAACCTGCATCTTTGACGAAGAAGCACTCCGAACGTCGGTATCTCCATCCACCACCTTCTCTCCCACCTCCCCGAGGCTCTTCTCCCTGCCAATTGCACAATGATGTCCGCTCGCTTCGCCCGCGCTGGCCTGCGTGCCACCCAGCAGTTCTCCGCTCCTCGCACAGCCGCCGTCAACGGCTTGCGGTCCTATGCCACCCCGGCCCAGGAAGTCCGCCCTCCCGTCGCCCTGTTCGGCGTTGATGGCACCTACGCCACTGCTCTGGTATGCACCTCCATTGCCTTTCAGCTTTCCCTCGCGACCGTGCCTTCTGTCGCGATATCCGTCTTCCCCCGAAGCCCCTCCCAGAGTTTCACCCCTTCTGTGTTGAATCAATCTTCAATCTTCATCAAAGCGCTATTCCAAAACATGATATCCCTCTAACCTCCTTCTGCTTAGTACACCGCTTCCTCCAAGTCCGCTGCCCTCGACCAGACCGCTCGTGCCATCGCCAGCCTCGGCGAGACCCTCCAGGCCGACAAGAAGCTCGGCGCCATCCTCGGTGCCCCTAGCCTGAGCAATGCCGACAAGGCCTCCATCGTCGAGGAGCTCGCCAAGGTCTCCGGTGACAAGGGTGACATCCTCAAGAACTTCCTCGAGACCCTTGCCGAGAACAACCGTCTCGGTTCCCTCGGCGGTGTCTGCGAGAAGTTCGCTACTCTCATGAGCGCTCACCGCGGTGAGATCGAGCTCAACATCACCAGCGCCCAGGTGCGATAACTTCACAAACTCGGACTCGAGTTCCCCACAAAAAAAAAATAAAAGAATGACAATTTAATTGTTTACCTACAGGAGCTCGACACCAAGACCATCAACCGTCTCGAGAAGGCCGTCGCCAAGTCTGAGTTCAGCCAAGGCAAGAAGCTCAAGGTTGTTGCCAAAGTGCGTTACCACCGAAAACAGAATTTCCATCGAATACCACTAATTCCTCATAGGTTAATCCCGACCTCCTCGGTGGTCTCGTCGTTGAGATCGACGGCCGCAGCATCGACCTTAGCGTCTCCTCCAAGATCGCTAAGATGAACAAGGCTCTCACCGATGCTTTGTAAATGTAAATTAGCCTGTGTTTGGGGGGATGGTTAGACTATAGCATATCGTCCCGGATGAACGGTAGCGTTCGTGGAAGGGGTAAAGGGGATTCTTAAGATTCCCTTGAATCCTTCATTTTATTTGTTCTCATTACCTGTCAATTGCACAAATTCATCCAGTATTGATATCCTGCGTAGTGTGGGAGTGAAAAATAGATTGTGCTCATTTGACACAGTAGCCATCAATCAACTCCCTCGACTATAACTACAAAACTGATCCAGGTGACAACATTTGAACTATCACATTGTTGAACTCGTCTACTTATTGCTGTCACATGCGCAAGGAAAGACAAGCCTCCGAGAATATGAATCTGGTTGATAGAAAATGACGAAATGCAAGCAAGATGTAAAATGTAAATGTATAGCGGAAATTCATAACGGAATCATTAAATCGTGTCCAAACGCAACCAAATGGGAACATGACCAGTCAACAAAAGTAAACAAAAGAAATGAATATTAGAAATAGGAAAATGAGAAAGGGGCAGCAAGAAAGGCACACATATCTCGATTATTTGTGACCATTCTGACCATTCCCAATCTCCTTATCAGCCTTGGTCTCGAACTCATCCTCGTACGCGGCAATCGAAGCAGAGCTGCGCACACGCTGCAACTGGCTCTCTACGTATTGGTTGACATGTTCTTCGTCACGGGGGTCGGCAGTACTCCCACGACGGCTGCTTGCACGACTACCCCCACGGCTGACTCCACGACTGGCGCTGGGATCGTCGTCATCGAGCACAGTTGAGGCGGTGGGGGTTGCATCGCCTGAGTAGAAGTCGCTACGGTTGCCTATGGAACGGGTTGTCGATGAGCGGCGGACGGATGGACGGCCTGAGCCGCGAGGTCTGCCGGAGCGGGAGAAAATGTCGTCGAAGTAGTGGGATGCTGCGGCGAAGGGAGAGCGGGGTGTTTGGGGGAGACGGCAGTTGACACCAGTATCGTGGATGATCTTGGCAATCAATCCGGTCCAGCCACACTGGTGCGATGTACCGAGACCGCGGCCGGTGTCACCGTCGAAGAACTCGTGGAACCAGAGGTGATCCTTCCAGTGCTCGTCAAAGTCGAGAAGGTCTGAGCCCCCGTTGACGGCACGGCGGCCCTCATCGTTGCGAGCGAAGAGATGCTGCATACGGTGCTGTAGCTCTTCGGCTACGTGACCCAGGTGCATGTAGTCGCCTGAGCCCTTGGGACACTCGACTTGCAGGGAATCACCATAGAACATGTAGAAGCGGAGGAGGGATTCGACCAACAGGAAGTTGACGCAAAGCCAGATCGGTCCGCGCCAGTTACTGTTACCGCCGAATAGGGAGCTATCTGAATCTCCGGGGACATAGCCGACCTTGAAGGTTTGACCGTTGACGTCCATGGAGTAGGGGTTCTTTTCGTGGAACTTGGACATGGAGCGGATACCGTGCTTGGAGAGGAATTCAGTTTCGTCCAGCATGCGCTCTAGGATCTTGACGAGGCGCTCTTTACTGACGAGTGCCAGGAGGAGTCGGTCGTCTTTACCGCGGCGCTTCATACTGGCGATGTTGCGTTCGGCTACATCTGGCTTGTTCTCAATGAACCATTCCACTCGTCGCTTGAACGATGGGAACTTGTTTATGAGCTCTGGCTCAAGAGTGAGCACAGCGTATAGAGGAATCAGACCGACGAGAGACCTGATAGGCAGCTGCTGGGTCCACGGGCCACCGTATGAGATAGCATCGTAGTAGAAGTTGTCTTCCTCATTCCACAGCGACTGAACAGTGTCATCTCCATTGCGGAAAGTCATGGCATCACTGATGAGCAGGAAGTGCTCAAAGAACTTGGAAGCGATGTCTTCGTAAATGCGACGGTGCTTGGCTAATTCCAAGGAGATGTTCAGCATGCACAGACAGTAGAAAGCCATCCAGCCAGTGCTGTCTGCTTGCTCAAGAACACCACCGGTGGGCAATGGCTCAGAGCGGTTGAACAAACCGATGTTATCCAGTCCCAAGAAGCCACCCTCGAAGACGTTCTTACCACCAGAGTCCTTGCGGTTGACCCACCAGGTGAAATTGAGCAGCAGCTTCTGGAAGACACGTTCCAGGAAGTCCAGATCCTGGCGCCCGTACATCTTACGTTCGATCTTGAACGTACGGAACACAGCCCAAGCATGCACGGGCGGGTTCACATCTCCAAAGTTCCACTCGTAGGCGGGCAGCTGGCCGTTGGGGTGCATGTACCACTCACGGGTGAGAAGATCGAGTTGCTTCTTCGCGAAGTCGGGATCCATCATAGCCAATGGGATGCAGTGGAAAGCAGTATCCCATGCAGCGAAGAACGGGTACTCCCAAGAGTCCGGCATCGACAAGATATCATCAATGTACAGATGGCGCCACTGCTCATTGCGAATGCCCTTTCGGCCCGGAGGAGGGGGATCTCAGTCGGATCACCGTTGCTCCATTGGTCCCAGACGAAGTTGTAGTACTGCTTGCACCACATCATTCCGGAGAAAGCTTGACGCTGGATGTTGCGGAGATCTTCGCTCATGGGAAGAGGGTTGATACGGTAGTAGAAGTCATCGGCTTCGGCACGACGTTGCTCGATCACATCGTCCAGAACTTCTTCGTCGACAAACTCTTCCTTCTTGCGGGAAACCCTGAAACGGACGACGGCACACTCACCGGGAGGAACTCCCTCACCTTCGTTGAAGGCATACCACGCGGCAAACTTGGTACCCTCATTGGCCGGGTTGATAGCACCCTTCTCCTCCTCGACAATGTGACGATGGAATGCGTCCTTCACATACGGCGTCTCGTTCTCAGTACCCCAGAGCTTCTTGTGGTTCGTCTCGTTGTCAGTGAACAACATCTGAGGCTGAATATCGTCATCGCTAGATCCGACGGGAGGCGAAGGAGCAAAGGAGATGTATCGCTCGCCAATCTTGTTGTGCTTAGACTTGGCATGCAAAGCGCCATCTTGCTTAATAGAAGGCTTCTCGTTCTTCTCATCACCCCAGGACCAGTTGTTCCGGAACCAAACATGAGGAACAATATGGAGCTTAGCCGGCTCCGGGCCACGGTTGTATGCAATGACACGGAAGATCAGTTCTTCCTCGTCATCGGCCTCCTTGGCTGTCTCGATGAAGATATCCCAGTAACGGTCCTCTTCAAAGATACCCGTGTCTAAGATCTGGTACTCGGGTTCCAAGCGCGAGCGTTTGGCATTCTCATCGATGAGGTCTTGGTATGGGAACTTTCTCTGGGGGTATTTGTAGAGGAATTTCATATACGAGTGCTATCCAGGTCAGCATGGGACACAGGAATCCGTGAGACATGAACCTACAGTCGGGGTATTGTCCAGATGAAAATGGGCTTCCTTGACACTCTCCCCGTGGTTTCCCTGAGGGTTGGACAGGCCGAACAAGCGTTCCTTCAAGAAGTCGCTAATCCCCACAGTTAGTTTCTCCAGATCTGGACCCACCACGAGCTTGGACTTACTCTTCTCCATTCCAGAAAGCAAAGGCGATATTCTGCAGCGCATGGGTATCCGATACACCGGCGATTCCATCCTCGCCCCAGCGGAAAGTCCGCGAGCGCGCATGGTCGTGGGTGAAATCTTCCCGGTCAGCGGGCTTTCCATCTCAATTGCGGACTTTACTCACAGCTCCAGGCATCACCATCCTCGGAATAATCCTCTCTCACTGTCGCCCACTGGCGCTCTGCCACGTAGGGACCCCATTTCTTCCAATACTTGGTTCTTTCCCGGTCTTCCTTGAGCCGCTTCTCTTCCTCGGTGAGGAATTCATGTCCATCGATCAACACCATGGTGGATGGTTAACGACGGTAATTGAGAGAAAGCGACCTGACAAAAGACAAACTACAGAAAAATGGGGAAAAGTAGAAAAGCTAGAGGAAGTGGAAGAGAAGAACAGGAAATGGGGGAGGGGCAAACTACTCCACCCTCGAGCTGCCCAGAGGGTGGTGACAGCTCCACAAGGAAGAGCTTTGGGGACTTTGAACAGGCGAAAAACAGGAATGACGAAGTGGATGGTTTTGATAGGCCTGTGATTGGTCGAGCGGGAGGTCCATTGCATTCTGGGCTCGGGTCTGCAGCGGGTGTGTGAGATAGCCCGATAGTTACACTCTATACTCTATAGCATACTATTTAGTATGCTCTATAGCTAGTACAACATAGTCATAGTTATAATACTATAACATCACATTCAACATAATGGCAATTACGCGCAATTACGCCTTAGGGCAACCTCCAAAAGAGGATACAGGGGGTTCTCAAATGCAAATCAAAGCAATCAAAATCATCCCAAACCACGCCGACTGGAACCGCGTCTATCAGACGCGGCGCGGGTCCAATACATGTCTCATGGATCCCTGACGCTATCCCAGCCTTGAAATCTATAAGGGGTCTGTGCAGATGCATCAGACCGGATCAATTGTCTCCTCGCTGCTCAGGCTGCTCAGGCTGCTTGCTGGGTCCCTGGGACGCTGTTCACAGTCAGATCCCGCAGAACATCCCGCCGGCCACGGGGCTATACATGATCAGGTCGAACGCTCACCGGCTGTCTGACCTTCCTCCCGGTGTCGGGAGCTGTTGCCGGTCGCACCCGCCTGCTGCGACTGAAGGCGCTTCTCCGCTTCGCGGATCCGCGCCTGCAGCTCTTCCAGTTCGCGGCTTTGGATCATCATTTGCTGCTTCCTGTGGGTGGGGCGCGATTAGCGCCCGGTAATCAATGTCGCTGAAGTCGCGACCGGAAGCTCAAGGGAGCGAACACGCGCGACTTACTTCTGGTCGATGGTTTGGGAGAGGTTGTTGACGTCCGAGTCAAGCATGAAAGCGCTGTCCAGCGCGGAGGAAAAGGCTTGTGCCATGGTCCTAGGTCACCGTTAGTGCCATGTTGAGAACCAGCGAGCGGTCGAGGGGTACGAACGACTGTGGCCGGACCTTGGGCTTCCACTCTCGATCCATCTCAGACATGATGTTTGATGTTTCTGTAATGTTCCACACAGAACGGGCCGCTATTGGGACCCCAGAGGATGTAAGATGATCGACCGAGGGGTGATGTGCAACCTTGAGGGGGCACAACGCGCGTTGAGTAGAATATTAAGCTGATATGTCGAAACAAGGACCAGCCGAGAGTCGGGCGCACGGGTATACGGGTATACACTTGCGCTGGGGAAAAAAAAGGTCAGTCTTTATAGTAACTAGGTATGCGCCACGATCGGGTGGGGAGGTAAATACCGGAGGTATAGAGACGGGGCGGAACGGCTCCAGTAGCGTGAAAATGGCGAGACGAGGTAAATTTGGAGTTGAAGCAGAGAAGAGGGGAGGATGAAGAAGGAGGAGATGAAGTTGAAGGAGAGATGATCCTTGAGCCCACCGACTATGTTACTAGTCGCGGTAATTCGAGTCCCATATCCACCGCAAGGAGACATGTAAGTGTTACGGTATTCGCCTTACACAGGGGTCTGATATGCCATGAGGTATAAGGGGTTCAGGGGTTAGCCCCTCCTAACTTGGAGAAAAAGGGGGAGCCATTTACATGTAATGTAACGAATGTGATCCATTCATTTTATTAGAATTTATCTAAATTCTTAAAATGAATAATGTCCCCAAAAGGCTCTACTTTCCAGTCAAGGAGAGCCGTCCAAATTGCCTTGGCTGTCAAGCTGTTTCCAGGTACTGTAACGAGATGACCACGCACGTGACTCTTTGCGGATGACGTATGCCTAAGGCGACTGCCAAGACCATCGACATGTATCTGCTGCCTTTTTCTTTTCTTTGTTTCTCTTTGAATGCACTCTTCTCCTATTGATTGGCTAATGGCCATACTCATATGACCTAGTATTAAGGGAGGCTTTGCGGTCAAGCTATCACTCTTCCAGATGATTATCTTAGCTCATGGCACTCTATCAGTTTTACTACATCCACCGCCATGAGCAGGAATACAACACGTTTACTGAATACCAGATTGCTACTGATAGATGGAATGACTACGTTACAGTAGGATTCAAGACGGAAGGTGCAAATGATCCACTCGATTATACCGCAGCTCTGACCATGTTAGATCATGTTCCCTTACTGACCGAAAGCGAGAAGTATATCAGCGCTTCTGGCTTAGCATTGAATTATTCCGACCTAGGTACCAGCAATATTTCGCTGTCTGCGCTGACGAGGTCACCCAGAACGAGAATCAGCACGTTTCATGAAATGGACCTGAGAGATTCGCGATTCTACGCAATATCTACAATTGCAAGCCTCAATTCGAGGTTTGTGAGAGATCGACGTCTCTGGCATTGTATTGCGGGATATTCGAAGGATCGGAACACATACATATGGCCCATAGGACCCAAGCACTGTGCTCTTCGGAATTGCTAAAGTCGAGTTAGCCATATCGAGTAAATATCGTGTTTGAGTTTGTGAATCACCCGAAATCAATGGTGAATGGTGTCCAATGGCTATAGGGTATTAGCCCGCCAGTTTAGATTTCAGAAAGAATCTCTCAGGATTTGCTAGAACCGTAATGAATGTAAGAAAGTAAATGTGAGTAGCAAGTATATAGAGAAAGACTGGATTTCTCGTGACTTGATCACGGAACTGCATGTGAGGTGAACATGCCCTAATGCGGAGAGGTAAATGTGTTTGGTGGCTTGCCGTGGCCAAGTGATTTGTCGACGGCCTATCAGAGGTTCATAGAACACAGCTCACCTTGTTTGCACAATATCAACCGCAATATTCAAAGAACTGAATCTATAGAGTGTAGATCTGGCATTCTGACGTCTGCCCGGCAACCAGCCCTGAAAGAGTCACCTGACTAACGGTCTCAGACCTTGGCCAACCTCCCACTTCCAGATCTCTCGCATTCCATTTCATCAAGACTCATCGGTGGTTTTAATTTTTTAGTCCTGTTTTCCTATTGGAGACGCGTTTTCTTGACGTGGCCTGTTGTGGGTGCCATTTTTGAAATTTTACTCCTTTTTTCCCTGGATGGATTAAAGGCTCCGCATACAGGGGATCCAGTCTGTCGCGTTCGCCTTTCCTTTCCAGGCTACCCCCGATCTTGATACCTGATCCGACCGACGAACACCGGACATTCAACACCAAACACCTCCCCGTAACCTATTTCGCCGGCCACCGTGGCCCCAATCCCGAAAGCTCTCTCCCCCAGTGGCCGACCGGACGGGCAATGGGGGATGCCTCCTCTATCGGCATACACTTCATTTGAGTCGCTGCTCTTCTTCCAGTCGCTAGCGATCTCCGATTCCAAACCGACCAGCTTTGGATCTATTTCAACATTCCTGCGCAACAACCCGTTAGTGCGCGAGAACGTAGAGTTCAATGCGGATCGCCTGACACCGGAGGCGCTGGAAGATCTGTATGCGACTTTGATGCGCGATGGGTTCAATAAAGACGCGGTACTCCCTGTCAATGGTCGATCGACAGATACCTCCAGCCCTCCCAACCCGAAGAAGCGCAAGATCTCGAGCCCGCGACCAGAGGGATTAGTCGATGGGGTCACACATGCCATGCTTATTCCAGAGTTAGTGGCACACCTATACGCTAAATACAGAGATCTCGTGACCAGAGAAATCAGGGATGATGAGAAGCAGTATACAGAGATCAGGGCGGAGCTCGAACGGCTACAGAAGGAGGATGACCAACCCACAGAAGCAAAGGCAGCACGCACGGAGCCCACGGATGTTGATGTAAAGGAAGAAACGCCTCGTCAAAACGTACAAGATCGGACAGACAAGCCTCTAGCAGCGACAGTCCCACACGCGCACGGCAAGCCAGCTCCGCCAGAACCACGGCCACAGCGTGTCGAAGTGAACGTGCCTCCGAGTCAAGAAATTCCGAAGACACAACCAGCTCCTGTTGGCCAAACGCACCTTCAACCGCAAGCACAGACTTCTGCGCCCGAAGCTCCAGGAGCTGGACAACCACAACCGCCGGCCGCCAACATCCAACCCTTGGCAAAACCGCCTGTCCAGCCCCAGCTTGCTCCCTCTGCCCAGAAACCACCTACCACACCCGCCGCAGCGCGTGTCACACCGGCTCATCCCTCGCAAATCGCACCCCGCGCCCATCCTACGCCTACACCCCTTCCCGGTAAGCTTGGGCCTGCACTCCCGCCGGCCCCTCAGCGCACTCCAGCTCAGCCAAGCTTCCAGCAATGGCAGCTAGACCCTTCTCCCCACTCCACCTATCCCGCCATTTCTCCGGGTGCTGCTACTCCACAAGCTGCCCAAGCCAATATCAAACGACCTGTACCACCTCTCTCTACCAACCAACCAGCACCGGGGTCGCAAGCTCCCGTTCCATTCCAATCTCCTGTCCCAAATACACCTGGTGCTGCCTCCGCGGTCCAAACCCCTGTCCCAATTGGCCGACCTCGCGTCTCTCAAACTCCAAGTTCCACATTCCCTTCATTTTCTGAATCGCGTGCTTCTCATCCACGACTGTCAATCGACACACAAGGTTCCTCAACGCCATGGAAAAGGACGCCTCGTTTGAGCATTCCAAAGTCCCCACCCTCACCCCCACGGCCACTACCAGAGGATGTTAGTCCGATCAGTGAAAGGGCACAATCGCCAATCGATGCGATGGACATGTCACCTCCCCCGAGGATGAATCGAGGTCAACGAGCCCGATCCCCCGAAGAGAAGAAACCTCGGCGTGGCCGTGCCGACAGCAAGTCTACTGCTAATGTCAAGACCGAGAAATCTGAGAAACCAGCTTCGACTCGAAGGACACGTGCCGTAAGTTCGGTCTCTTCCCAGAGTCGTGGACGGTCCCTGGCTTCTCGTGGTGAATCCCCTGTGCCTTCAGAGCGAACAACAAGCCGCCGGAAGGGCGCAACTGCCACTGCCGGTGAAGAAACCCCCAAGGCTCGCTCCAAACGCAAGCGCGGACCAAGTGAAGCATTAGAACAAGAACCCCACCCTTCAGACATCCCGAAGTTTGACACAACTCAGTATGTCATGGCAACGCGCAATTTCCACCGCACTGCCGCTCCTATTATGAATGATGTGGCTACCCACAAGCTTGCGTCCATCTTCGGCAAGCCAATTGGGGAGCGTGACGCACCTGGCTACCACGACCTCATCTACCGTCCACAAGATCTCAAGTCTATCAAATCTGCCATTCATCAGGGAAGCAAAGCAGTCGCCACGGCTGCAGAATCCGTCAGCACCCCTGCTGGAGATGGAGAGTCACCCGCCCCCGGTGGTACACCGTCCAAGAATGGCGTCCTCATGCTGCAGAAGAGCGAGGACTTCGTGCCACCAAAGGGAGTTGTCAACTCCGCACAGCTGGAGAAAGAGTTGATTCGCATGTTTGCCAACGCCATAATGTTCAACCCCATCCCCCAGCGGGGATTTGGACCCGCCTTCCCCATGACAAGTGACCGTGGCTCGCGCGAAAGTACACAAGTCGGCGATGGCGATGAGGGTGGTATCATCCAAGATTCTCTAGAGATGTTCGAAGACGTCGAACAAGCCGTTACCAGGTGGCGCGCTGCTGAGCGTACTGCGGACGAACTGGCTAATAAGAATATTCTTTCTCTTCGTCGTGGCAGTGCTAGTGATTTCAACACTGACAGTGCGGACGACGTGAAAGGGTGATTCTTCATTCCCTCTTGTATTATGAACTTTGTATTTGATTAGGATTCTGTCTGTCTTCTGACTTATTTGGAAATGAATTACCATGATATCTCCCGCCGGTGCCTTCGATAGCCCGGCGGTTATTAATAACTGTTTTCCTTCGGATCTCTCTGTATTCCTGCGTTATTTATCTTGATAACCCCCTTGCTAACCACACAGCCAATATGTGTGAATTTTTACTGGGACCTCTCTTAAAAATGAGGACTTTGAGACTCTTCTTCATAGAGGAGCACCAGAGACAGTATATCTTCCACAAAATGTTCTCATCATAATAAGAAAACCATGTATATCATTGTCGTGACTTCTCAAGCCAGAGCCAGTCCTGCTGCCCTGAGTCTATCTATGCGGGGGTATATACTTTCTAAGTTTTTCGAACAAGTCAAAAGGCACACGCACTGGAAACGATTCAGATCAAGCAGCCTGTTCTGGCCTCGTCCGACCAAGTCCCTCCTTCGCATAGAAGTCCATCGGATACACGCCCTTATTTCCCTTATCCCAGTTCTCACGCACTCCCAACGCAATCAATGCCTCGTATGGTGTCAGCAATGGCCGCGGGAATGCATATCCCCAGTCAATGCTTAGACGCGGACAGGCGATCTGGACCCAGCACTCCACATCTGCCATGGAGGCTAGCTTGCCCGGGAAGATCTCGCTTAGTAGGAGGTTCACCACGGGAATACCGCGCTCGCGCAGGTGCCGTTCGATCATCGCCATCGTGTTGGGGTTGCCCTGTCTTCCGAGGGAACCGAGGATGATACCCCACTTGCGAGCGGATTGCGCGGTGGCAATGGCGTCGCGGCGGATAGTGTGCATTTCCTCGTGCTCGTAGCTCTCGCGCGTGAGGGTGCGTGAGTAGGGATCGTAGCGGTAGGCTGGGATGGTGGGGTTGTGGATCATGGCTGATTCGAGATGGAAGCGGCCATCACCGAGGTAGAGGATAGCGTCAATTTCTGTATCGGCGAGTTGTGGGGATGTGCAGCCGAGGATTTCGCCTTTGGAGAGGGGTGTGATTTGCGGGATGACGACGCGGAAGCCGGCGCGTTCGAGAACTGGCTTCAGGCCGTGCAGGGTGGCGTTGAACTGGATTGTGCCGACTGTTGCGATGCTTTGGCCGGGCTTGAAGTTGCGCTCTAGTGTGGCTAACAGGTGGGTTGTGTCGATGCTGATGTCCACGAAAATATATAAGGTCTTGATTTTTGTTACGTCCACTGGTATCAGGCAACTGTGTGCGTAGTGCACGAGCAGATCACAGCCCAGAGCTCGGGCGGTGTAGTCATCGATGCAGCATGCGCCGTATGTGACATCGCCCATGATTAGGGTTTCGATGCCCGGGCAGAACTGGGTCAAGATATCAGAGATGGTTGTCGCAAAGATCAGAAGTCCCTCTGGAAATTGGAGGGCCACGCGCTTTGCACCTGATGTGCGGACTCTGTGGATTGTTTTGGGGATCTCGAAGGAGTAGTTCTTGGGGAGAAGCTCCATTGCTTCTTGGATTTCGGGATCGTTCAGAATCTCTGGTGGGACTTGGTTGAGCGTACGAGGGGTTCGTCGCGGGGCAGCTGGAAGGGAACGGGGGTTAGTATATGAGTTCTGACCGACTCAAGGAAAATGCGCATACCAGTCTGCACCGCTGTAGACTCGACATCCTTGCCCACAGTGTCTTTCTGGGCTTGGGCATCTGCGGTTCGCCGTCCAACAAATCTTTTCTTTGGCTGGCGCAGTTGACTAGCAGTTGCCTGAGAGACTTCCTCTGTCGAGGGAGTAGGAGGCTGTGAATCCATGATATCAGGTACAGGATGTGAATATCTTCTGAGATTCACAGATGATCAATGATTTATTGATCATCCCACTTCTTTTTTTGCTGAGTCAGGAGGTGGGGTGATCGCTAGTCCCAAAGAGGTAAGGCGCTCTCCGCATCTCGGCCTTCCATTCCACAGCTCACCCGCCTCCTCCAGCTATTTCCTGTATAACTGTTGCTTTGCTGGCTATATCCCTTGGTTTATTCGATACAATGCTGACAGCTCGCCCCCGATTGCGTCTGTTCTCAGCTCTGCGTGCTCCTCCCTCCGCACGCCGCTTTGCGACTGAGTCGCGGTTAACCTCGGACCATGTCCGCATCGTGGAAGTCGGCCCTCGAGATGGACTGCAGAACGAGAAGAAGTCCATTTCGATGGATACGAAGCTCGAACTGATCAGGAGACTGGCTAAGACGGGTGTAACGACTATCGAGGCCGGTTCATTTGTACCTGCCAAATGGGTACCACAGGTATGATTGCGCCGAGTATCACCGTACAGCTCAGCAGGGATCAAGACTAACTCTGGTACCTCACAGATGGCAAGCACATCAGAGATTTGTGAGCATCTGCTTACTAGGCCACCGAAAGCGCAAGATACGATCGCATACAACTATCTTGTCCCCAACATTAGAGGATTGGAGAACTTGGTGAAGATCATGGATACCACAGGCGTCCCCGCAGATGCAACTGGGTCAACATCAAAGGCTGCCACAACAACGGAGGTCTCTCTTTTCGCAGCAGCTACCGAAGCTTTCTCGCAAGCTAACACCAACTGCTCCATTGCCGAGTCACTTGAGCGCATCAAGCCCATTGTCTCATTAGCAAAGACAAAGAATATCCGAGTGCGCGGTTATGTCTCTGTCGCCCTTGGATGCCCTTATGAAGGCCCGGACGTGGATCCCGCCAAGGTCGCTGAGATCACTGCCACCCTGCTTGAGATGGGAGCGGATGAAGTCTCGGTTGCTGACACCACTGGTATGGGCACTGCGCCGCGGACCATGGAGCTCCTTCTTGCGCTCAAGGCAGCTGGCATTGCAAACACAGATTTGGCTCTGCACTTCCATGATACATATGGACAGGCCTTGGTGAACACAATCGTTGGTCTGGAGCATGGTGTCCGCATCTTTGACAGTAGCGTTGGAGGTCTCGGTGGCTGCCCGTATTCCAAGGGTGCAACTGGAAATGTGTCGACAGAGGATCTTGTCCACACAGTTCATAGTCTGGGTATGCACACGGGTATCAGTCTGGAGGAAATGTCGCAGATTGGATCCTGGATCAGCGGAGAGTTGGGCCGAGCTAATGAGAGTCGCGCTGGCAAGGCGACTATCTCTCGTCTCTCGGCAGAAAAAGCATCACTTTGATCGCTGTAGCATAGGCTGTTTAACCATCACACCGTGAATGCTTGTTAGTTTCATGTTTTAGCATGTATGGTAAACATCGCAACATCCGTATAATATGCTTTTGATTTGACAGTGCAGGCCATCTTGTTATGTACACTGTAGGCAGAGTTATAACTTAACCACCCACTCCTCCAGAAATGGTGACTTATATCCTTCAAGAAATACCAACGCCGGCATGATGCAAATCTCCCTGATCAAGTCGCCTTCACTTAGAAATCAGTGACGCGACCTCCGTAGCTCCAGTCACCAGCAGATCCCCAGCGGAGGGGCTCATTCTTGGGTCCACCGACCTCCCCAGTCTTGGGGTTCGTCTCGCCCTCGAATTCGGGCTTCAGTCCCTTCGGCGCATCGGGGTGCAGCTCGCCACCTTTGCCGTCGGCTTGGATCTCACCCTGCGGGGACTGGTTGACCTGAGGTGTGCTGAATGCACCAGTTGATTGCTTCTGGAGCTTCTCAAAGATCTCTTGTTCCTCCTTAGGGAGGCGTGGGGGAGCCGGGGAGTTGGAGAATGGCATAGGCTTATCGTCCGGTTGGCGCAGGGACCGGGTTGTAGAGAGTTGCCGGATAGCGCCCCGAATTGGGACAGAGAGAATTGAACGGCGAATAGCGAGTGAGAAAGACATGGTGTATGAGCAGTATGATATGTCCAGTGAGGCGTAGTTGGGGAAGTTCGGAATGTTTTTGAGTCACTCCGAGTGACTAAGAGCCGATCCCGATATCGCCTTTTTTTCTCGGATCTGATTAGGCTGTTTGAACTTCACCTCTTTGTACATTCGGCCTTTTGTTTATTCCTCTCTTTTTGAATATATTAGCCATGTCTGCTCTTCGCATGGCCGCGCGCCGACTGCCTCGCGCATCTAAGCTGGTCCCTGCCCTTGATTCGCCAGTGCAGCGCCGATTCACCACTTCCAATGTGGCTACGGCCCAGGTATGCATGGGCAGCGAAGTCCACGATTATGTTTAGCTTAAAAGCTAACAGTCATACAGAAGGAGGCGGCTCTCCCTAACCCCGACCCCTCGGCGGACTCAATCACTGCGTCGTTTATCAATGAGCGAGCCCCGTTCATGGTCCCGACCTACGTTCGCCCAGCACCCATGATGATGAAGGGACAGGGCTGCTACCTGTGGGACATGGAAAACCGCCGCTATCTGGACTTGACAGCAGGAATTGCCGTAAACTCTCTCGGTCACTGTGACCAGGAGATCGCCAAGATCATTGCGGAGCAGGTGCGCTACAGTGCTCCATTTGACTCTAGCGATCAATTGCTAACGACGATGCTCAATTGCAGGCTGAAACACTTATCCACGCCTCCAACCTTTACCACAACCCTTGGACCGGTGCTCTGAGTCAACTGCTGATCGAGTTGACTCACAAGTCCGGTGCTATGCGCGATGCGTCCCAGGTCTTCATTTCCAACTCCGGTACTGAGGCCAACGAAGCCGCCATCAAGTTCGCCCGCAAGGTCGGCCGCACTCTGAACCCCTCCGGCGAGAAGCACGAGTTCGTGTCCTTCAATGGCTCATTCCACGGCCGCACAATGGGTGCCCTCTCGGCCACTCCCAACCCCAAGTACCAGACTCCCTTCTCGCCCATGATCCCCGGCTTTAAGTACGGCGACTACAACCAGATTGACCAGCTCCAGACTCTCATCACGGATAAGACCTGCGGTGTCATCATCGAGCCCATCCAGGGTGAGGGTGGTGTCAACAGCGCTACTCCCGAGTTCCTGGTTGCCCTGCGCAAGCGCTGTGACGAGGTCGGCGCTGTCCTGATCTTCGATGAGATTCAGTGCGGACTGTCCCGTACTGGCGCCCTCTGGGCCCACGCCCACCCCTCTCTCGCTCCGGCTTCTGGTGAAGCTGCCCACCCCGATATCTTGACCACCGCCAAGGCTCTTGGTAACGGTATCCCCATCGGTGCCACCATCGTTTCCGGCAAAACCGTCGGCCAGCATATCAAGACTGGCGACCACGGCACCACCTTCGGTGGTAACCCGCTGGCTTGCCGTGTCGCTCACCACATTGTCGAGCGTCTTGCTGAGCCCGAACTCCAGCAGTCCGTCAAGGACAAGTCTGCTCTCTTCGTGTCCGGCTTCGTGGCCCTCCAGAAGAAGTTCCCCGATGTGATCTCCGAGATCCGTGGCCGCGGTCTCATCCTGGGTCTTCAGCTTGCCCCGGCCTACACTACTAAGGCTGGTGATATTATCACCGCTGCCCGTGAGCGTGGCATGTTGATCATCACTGCTGGTGAAGGCTGCATCCGTTTCGTCCCTGCTTTGACGATCACTGAGGACCAGATTCAGACCAGTCTGCGCATCCTTGAGCAGGCAATGGATTCGGTCGTGACCAAGGCATAAACGCCTTGACCTGAATGCCGCCTACGACTTTGTTTTCGTGAGATATACCATGGATGTTATTAGTTTCTGTATAGACATTTAGAGCGAAAGAAAAGAGCCTTTGTTACTGTATGTGTTTAGGCGTTGGGGGCGGAAGGCGGTGGAACCCGTGGAGCTGTGGAGATAAGGACTCGTCAATCCAGCTGTCTCCGATTCTGATACAACCCCCCTAGAGCCATGGACTTCTTCATGGCTTCTCTGTAGCATCTTTTAAACGCAACTCTCGAATGTCTCATCCCATGTCCGACGAGGACGCTCCGACGCTTCCCTCCCAAGAGCAACCATCCCTCTGGACCCGTTTCAGCACTCGCATCAGCGATGCATTCAGCGGCGCGGACCCACGAGTCTGCGTTGCTTTCTGGCTCTTTGGTGCGCACTCTCCTTATGCTCTACCTGCCAGCGCTAATACTTACACCTACCAGGTCTGATCAACAACGTCATATATGTGATCATCCTATCTGCTGCTGTAGATCTAGTCGGACCCGATGTGCCCAAAGGCGTCGTCCTCCTCGCAGATGTGATCCCCTCGTTCGCGACCAAACTCGTCGCCCCGTACTTTATCCACCTGGTCCCGTATTGGATGCGCATATTGATCTTCGTCTTCCTGTCCTCCGTGGGCATGCTAGTCGTCGCTATGAGTCCCGGCTATACTGACGGAGGAACCATATCGTCGAAGATCGCGGGTATTATCCTGGCTAGCTTTTCCAGTGGTGGTGGTGAGCTGAGTTTCATGGGCCTCACGCACTTCTATGGACCGTTTAGTCTGGCCGCGTGGGGGAGTGGAACTGGTGCTGCTGGTTTGGTGGGTGCTGGTGCCTATGCCCTGGCGACTTCGGCGCTGGGCTTCTCTGTTCATGTCACGCTGCTGGTCTCCTCGTGTTTACCGGGAATTATGGCTCTGAGTTTCTTCGTCGTACTTCCCAAGGTCCCCCTGCGATCTTCTGAGGCTGGAGCCGATAGATATCGTGTTGTTGAAAGTGGTGAACAAGTCGAAGAGGATGAGATGGATGGGGAGAACGAGGGACTCCTTGGCTCATCGCAAAGTGACACCAATATCCCCAAGTTAGTGCATGTTCATGACGAAGTTCCTTGGCAAGACCGAGTTCTCGCAAATTTCCGCCGTGTCAAAGGGCTTTTCATTCCATTGTAAGTACTTCTTTTTTGGGTGTTTCAAATTAGAACTGACGGCTTTATCTAGCATGGTCCCAATGCTATTAGTCTACATTGCGGAGTATGTGATCAACCAGGGGGTTTCCCCTACTCTGCTCTTCCCCTTGCGCGAATCGCCCTTTGAACACTTCCGGTCCTTCTATCCCACCTACAATGCCATCTACCAGATAGGGGTCTTCGTCTCCCGCTCCTCGACCCCATTCTACCGCATCCACCATTTATACATTCCCTCGCTCCTCCAGGTAGCCAACCTCACATTGTTGACTCTCCACGCCCTGTTTGATTTCATTCCCAGTGTGTGGATTGTCTTCATCATCGTTTTCTGGGAGGGTCTCCTCGGTGGAGTGGTGTACGTCAACACCTTTGCTGAGATTGCTGATCGCGTCCCCAAGGAAGATCGTGAGTTCTCTCTGGGCGCTACTACTGTTAGTGATTCTGGTGGTATCTGTATTGCCGGGTTCCTTAGTATGGGATGGGAGGTCTGGCTGTGCAACTGGCAGGTGGGCCATGGACGGGACTTCTGTCGACAGAAGACATAGAGTGATTGTAAACCTATTAAGAATACAACAAAGAACAAACAATTAAGCATACAAAGTAACAAGCACGTGCAAACACATGAACACATCTCGTGACGTGATGTCACATGTGATTGTGGGGATATCTTCACATGTGATTCTATCAACCTCACCAAGTTGATTGGACTCAGGGCTAAGCGGAAGGCGCGCTCAAGTGACGTGCTGACTGACTGGGACCTCAGGGCTCAGCTGGGCTTTGTCTCTGTCCTTTGATGTTAACTCTACCTGCATTTTGCTTACTCCACTTATAGACTGCATATTACATTGATGATACTTCAGCTTTAGATTCAGATATGATAGGTATGTGCTCTTCTCCCCCTCCCACCACCTTGGGAGACATCAATCTAATGCATACCTAGACCACGTTCTGGGAGGCCATCCACCCGTTTCCGCAAGATCCAAGTCTTTGCAGTGGTCTCCTTCTGGTCACTGTACTTATTGAGGTACGATCACAGACCTGCTTTCCATACCACCCAAATCTAACGAGCAACATGACAGAGCAGATAGACATGGCCCACCATTTATTCGAAGCCTCTCCTCCCGATTCACCGGCAAGTTGACAACATGGCAGACAACAGTCATCATCTTCCTCTGGCTATACGTAAGCCGGAATTTCGCCAAGATTGTCGGCCTGGAATGCCCTGAACCGCTAGCGAATATGTATTCGCGATCCTTTTTCCGAGCGACATGGATCACCACAGGCTTAGATGCTGGTTTTTGGACTGCGATGAACATCAAACCGAAGTGGTTGCGAGATATTGCATCACTTGTATTCACGGCTTACTATCTCATTGCTGCGGAACAGGCAGATGAGAAGGTCCGCCGGGTTCGAGCGACGTTGACCCTTGAGCACCTGCGGGTATCTTGGAACAAAGCTACCAGCCCATATCTGTGGACTCTAGCGAAACTACTCCGGCCACGGCTCGCTCGGTATCCAGCCCGGGCAATCCGGATTCCCCGTCCATCTCAGTCTGTATATACCGATCCGGTGGGTGCATGGTTGTACTTTGATGGTCCGTTAAGTGCGCTACGCGATCAGACTTGCTTGGTACTAGATGTGCCTGGAGGTGGCTTTGTCGCTATGAGCCCCAGAAATTCCGAAGACAAGCTCTTATCTTGGGCTGGGCGGCTAAAGGTTCCAGTTCTTAGCGTTGATTACAAGAAGGCGCCCGAGTTTGCATATCCGTATGCACTGCATGAATGCTACGATGTTTATCATAGCATCGTTGCCACGAATGGCCGGTGTATCGGTCTCAATGGCAAAGACCGTCCTCGTATTCTGGTCACCGGTGAGAGTGCTGGTGGTAATCTAGCTGTGGGAATGACCTTGATGATCTTGCAGACTGCAATGGGACAAGGATGGCGTGGAGACGATGTACTTCCTAGTCCTGATGGGTTGGTTTTGGGGTACCCAGCTCTGAATATGAAGGTTGAGAGCTGGATGAGTGATGAGCAAATGTCACTGATTCAAGACAAGAGCTCGCGCCAAACCAACCGCGGCGTTCTTCAACGGAAGCAAGACCAATATCGCAAACTGACGCCGTTTACGTCGCCAGGACACTCGGTTGAAGACTTGACTGCGTTGTCACCACCGGAGCAGAAGAAGACATCTGTGAAGCCGAAGGTCCAGGAAAATACAAATGTGGCTACCGAAACTGCGCAATCTTTGGAGAAAAAATTACAAAAGAGTGAGGATGTGGCCAAAAATTCCGCTGCCAAAGGGGAGGATGAAGTTGCGCCCATCAAGACCCGACTTGCCGTCTCATCGATGATTACTTATGTCCATGATCGGATCCTCACCCCTGAAATGACACGCGCCATGATAATTTTGTACATTGGACCTCATCACCGTCCAGACTTCAATACCGACTTCTTTCTTTCTCCTGTCCTGGCACCAGACGCTCTTCTTGCCCGGTTCCCGAAGACGTACATTATGACCGGCGAGAGAGACCCTCTGGTCGATGACACCGTCATCTTTGCAGGCAGACTTCGCCAAGCAAAGCTCCACCAATTCCGTGAGCGCCAGGATCTGGGATTGGAGAGATCTAAGCGCCCTTTTAACGAAAAGAACTATGTCGAACTCTCCCTGATCCCTGGGGTGTCGCATGGGTTTATGCAAATGGCCGGTTTCTTCCCTGATGCATGGAAGTATATCAATCGCAGCGCACAATGGCTTGAGACATTGTTTGAGAATATGAAGGCCGACAACTTCCATTCTGATCTATTGAGCCCTGGGAAGGTTCCCAGCGGAAGTAGTTCTCTCAAATGGTCTCGCTCGACGAACGAAGAGCCAACTGCCAATCACACTGGACGAAACCACCATCGTAGCTTCACTGGAGAATCTTCAGCCGATGAAGATAGACCATTGGAAATGGGGTTGAGCAAGATCACGCCGCTGAATGATAACGAGAACATATCAGCATCGAAACCTGAGCATCGGACCCGCCGCAGGAGATCGCGATCATCTTTCGCCTCTTCGCAATTAACCGGATTCACCTCGTTGGGGGATGACAGCAAGGCGAAGGATGACTTCATCGCCAAGCTCCGGCATCTGGAAAGAGCTAGCCGTCATGATACTTTTGATCCAGATGAGACAAACAGTGCGCCTGAAAGTCCGGGCGCGTTCCGGCCCCCGCGGACGGAGTATTGCCTCTCTTGACAGTGAGGAGGATCTGTTGGATCGACGGATGAACGGCCTTGCCGGTGGGTTGATGGGGATAGGAGAAGGGGCCCAGACGCCTGGACCCTGAGACAATATAGAGATAACGATCTATGACCCATCTATGAATGATGCATGTTAAAGCGAGTTAAGAATGCATATTTCGAAGAATATAACCCCCAAATAGCTACTCATCTACTGCACACGGATTGCTTCATCTGTTTTGTTTTCTTGTGTTGTAGCTGGGGTGTAGGTCAATTTTTCTCCAAGTGCGTGCTCTAGACCGCCAACGCGGACCTTGAAGTATGTTGCGCAAGATTCGTCCACACAATAGGCAGATGTGAGGACAGTTTTGGAGCTAATCAATGAACCGCCACAGGTGTAGGCATTGCCGAATTCCGGGTTGGAGGAGATGGCGACTGCGAATGGTGCACTCTCGGCAGATGCATCGCTTCCTCCAACGATTGCATTGACGGGTTGGGCAATCAAGGGAGCGAGGCACAGCAGATCGCTCAAAACTTGTGTAGGCTTCATGGTTGGGAGATTTTTGAACGAGGTACTGGCAGGACACCTCAGAATGGTGGGATGGACGAGTCTATAGAGAAAAATAAGAACACTGCAGTCAATCGTTCTTACTAGCTTTATAAGAATGACGATGACCGGCATAGGTTACTACTTCTTAGGGGCAGGGCAGACTTTAACCAAATCGAAGCCGATATGTCCATGGTTCACAATGTGCGTGGTATAATAAACAGAACCCACCCTATAAACAGCCATTGAAGACAGTACAAAGACCCCTGGCTACAGTACATTGTCTCAAATCCAGATGAGGAGGGTGCGTAACGCTCTCACTGAGATTCTCCGCTGATGCGGACCTACATAGTTCCGTGATGAAGACTTCATAGAAAAGAGTTCCATGAAGTTCATCGATTATCAATTGCAATATTCGAGAGAACCCCTTCATTCACCGGGTACTAAATGGCCCTCTATGCCAGCCACTTCATTCGACCCTGTCTACCGTCAAGAGGAATGGTAACTTCGAGTCGTGCCCACATCGCTGCAACAGTTGCGCCGACCAAGAGCACACCAACCATAATGCTGGTGTTTTCATAGCTCCGAGAATCCACAATCTTATGGCTGCTCCGGATCAATGCACCTGCCACCGGCGTTCCCACAAGCGTTGCGAATCCTCTTACCATGTATAACAAGCCGTTAACACTGGTAAAGTTTTGCACGCCGAATAGTTCCATCAGACTTGCTGGGAAAAGTGAGATGTAGGCTGATGCGAAGATGCCATATATAATAGTGAACGCGATGAACAGGTTGCTTCCGTTAGATTGCATGTCAGAAAGACAAGATGGAAGCCACAGGGCAAGGACGGAGACTGCCGAGATGAGTGTTGCCAATGCAAGCGTGTTCATTCGACCCATGCGATCTGCAATGTGTCCGATAATGATCTTTCCTACGGCGTTGGCGGCGTTGGAGATGGCGATGAAGTTTGCAGAGGTTGCTTGTGAATACCCGAGTGTGCGCGCATAAGAGGCAAAGAAGAAAACAGGTGTATAGTATGCAGCCGACTGGAGCGCTGCACCGAGAGCGTGAATGAGGAATTTTCGAGTACGAACGACACGCCAGTTTACCAGTGGGATGCGGAGGAATCCAGATGATCGAGCGGCAGCTGCATTTTCAACTTGAATGCGAGCGATCTGGCTAGGTGGCCAACGCATAAATGTACCCGGGACACATATCAGGATGAACGAGATGCCGGCTGTTATGCGGAGGGTGTTGCGGAAGCCCACACGGATAATGAGATATCGAAATGCCAGGGGCCACACCACTCCCCCAAGCCCCGTTCCGGCCATGATAATTCCCATTGCAAGGCCGCGATGGTGAGTGAACCATGTTGGGGCAACGGTCACGGCTGGCATGTATCCAAGACAAGTGGCTACTCCTAAGAGAAGGCCCTGGGTAAGGATGAATTGCCATAGTGCCTGGCTGTAACTCGCAAGAAGCAAGGCCACCGGGAAAATAATCCCACATGCCCAAGTGACTGTTCGTGGGGAGTAGTGTTTTGTCCATGCTGTTGCAATTGGGGCGCCGATGTTCATCAAGGCGATGGAGAGAGTCCCGATCAAGTCAATCTGAGCTGGAGTGGCACCGGTAAACGGTGTATTTGGGTCCTTGGACATTGAGTCATAGAGCTCTTGGTAAACTCCAAAGGAAAAGTTAATTCCACATCCTGTGAAAATCACAGCGAGTGAAGCGATGACGATGATGACGGGGTCTCTGCGGCAGTGTTATTCCAGCTCGACATGAGGAGAGATACTGTACTTACAAGCGTGTTCGAAGGGGCGGCGGGCTGCTGGTAGCAACATTCATTGGCTCCATTGTAAATGATTTGGCGAATACGGGAATGATTCTGGTATTCGAGGACCATGTAGATCGAAGAGTGCTGGCGATCAGCTCAGATGTGAGGAAGTTATAGATGGCAACCCGATCACACCCATCCACACTAAGGCTTATTTTCTTTGTAATTTGGCCGGATATCACCTCAGGATACAATTTTGTGTCCCTGTTGACAAAGTTTTACGAGGTTAAGTAAATATCAGCCCGTGTACTATAGACGTATATGCTAAGATTTTCCGCAGATGAGTCATAGTTAAGATGGACGGTCGGATAATCAAGAAGTCAACACAACTTGGTTTCTGGTATATAGGGATAGTATTAAAACGAGAAGTATCCAGTGTAGACCAAAGAAAAGGAAAAGAAGGAACGAACAAACAAATGGCGGGCATCAAGCAGCCCTCACTCATTCTGAATTCATAGCACCGTGGAAGCTTCTTCTTGCACACGTTTTCATATACTTGGCCACCGTCAATTGAAGAAATGCTCGATTGATGTCCTATCGACTTATCTTGAACATTCGCTGGTCGTTGTATGTCTCTATGTCTATCCTTCTGGGAATTTCGTTGCAGTCGTTATCACCATAGCATTCGCCTGTCGCCCATTATCATACTTCTGGGAACAAGATACCAATCCGGAGACTGAAGGAATGTGCATTGATATTTCTTAATTCTTCTTGGTCAACGGAATTGTTGCCGTCTTGATTGATGTGATGATTGTGTCCCGACTCCTATCATCTGGAGGTTGCAAATGCCGAAGACGCAGCGACTTGCCGTAATAAGCATTCTACTTTTAGGCGGCTTGTCAATGTCCTTTTTTCTAAAGTCCCTAAGACATATTCTAACTGTATCTCTCCCAATAGTATCCGCGTTGCTGGCGTCGTACGCGTTGTGTTCCTCGACAAAAACTTACACTACAATGCTCGTCGTGGACTATGGCACCCGTGTTCGTGTGGTCCTGCGTCGAGCTATTTATCAGCAATGTGCACGCCTGTCTCCCCACATTCTCCTGCTTGTTCCGTCGTTGGTGGGCTATCCTGGGAGTCAAGAAGTCAGCTTTAAACAAGAGAGAGTACTATGATACGGGCGGCTCCAGAATTCATCGTTCTAGGCCACAAGCTACTGAGGACGAAGAGGACGATAAATCTCATGGCGATGAAGTCCAGCTGACAAGTTTCCCTGGCTGGCCATTGAACCTCCTGCGTGGAAAGGATAGTAGGGATGATATCGCAGCGTCGCGATCTAGGATCCAGGTCAAAGAGGAGGTCACAATTTCGTGGAATTAAATCTGCAATATGGGGAAGCAGGTTTTATATTATTCATTTTATGTATTCAACCTTGGACGCATTTTCCGCTGGTTAGGCTCCCGGCCAACTTACAGCTCTTTGGTCATGATTTGTGAAGATCCCAAGACAATCAGCTGGTTCTACCATAGGCAAGAGACATATGCAACTTTCCTATAGGCCATTGAGATCATTATCTATGCCTTGGCGTACGATAGGAATGTGTTCTGCCGGAAAGGACCCGTTTGTGTCCTGTGTATCCTGGTCGTTCGGCAAAGCTATACGATTTGTGCGTGTGACTTATATAACAATTAGTTTTTTATTTGTGTCTTAGGCTTATTGTTGAAGTTGGACTATTCAGGTTGAACTTTTGTCTTATAAAGATCGAACATCCCTCTTACTTATCGACTCTTTAAGCAAATAAAGGCGTAATATGCTCTCACTTAATTCAAACTTTTCCTCTTGCTTCTCTCCTCATCTAGCAATGATAAAGCTAGAATTTTGCTTATATAAAGTTGGGTTCTCTCTCACTTAATCCGGAATTTTCTCTCAGTTTGATTTTATCAAGCTATAGCTCAAGCTTAGAACTTCACACTCGCTAAGTACTCGTTTGTGCTAGGTGTTTCACGGTTCCACTAACATCCCACAGCCCTATCCTACAAGAATATTAGACACTAAGGAGAACGCAGTTGGATCATAATCAAACAAATGAATTCTTTCTATATATAAATTCGAAAAAAAAAAACAAATTGACTAAGGGCCGCTGCCCCCCTTCCCCCCTCCCCCCAACCCACCAAACAACCGACCCCACGACTCTCCTCATAACTTATCAGAGGTCCATCCCCTCCATGCCGAGCATGATCAGGGCACTGGCGCCATCGGCGCCATGGACCTCAAGGTGGCCGTTGGCCACCGCCACCAGGAACTTGACCACCCTGACATATAAAAGTTAGTGAAGACGCTCAAATACTGAGAGGAAATAACTCTACCTCCTGTGAAGAGGGGTGGGAAACTGACACTTCGGTCCCCCCGCACCGCGAGCATGGCTCTTGATGGCGAGCCAGCCCTTTCGGATGCAGGCCCGCATTGCCTCGTTTGAGGCGTCCCAGGGAGACCCTCCTCTCCCCCGGCCACGGCGTTGATCAACACCCGAAATTCCGCAGTTGGGGGGAAGAGGCCGGTTCCGACCATTGGTAGGCCAGTCTTGAACGCGGCGGCGCGGAGGTGACCCTCCAACACCCCCGACGAGGTGAGGGCCTCGTCGAGCTCTCCCACACCCAACATGCGGATTCCAGCCCGCTTGAAGTGGGCATGATAGAGCTGAAAGTAAAGTTAGAAACTTATCAGTTATTGGAGAACCTTGAAATGAAACATACTTCGTTGACGAATTCCAGGATCCAGTCTACCAGCCTGGGGTGACCGTTGGTGAGGTCGAACACATACCCCCTCGTGGCGTTGTCAATGTCATACTTGTCGCCCATTTTCTCGAGGTAGAGGTCGATGGCCCGCATACACTCCCCGAGATCATAGTGAAGTGACAGATCCTCGGGGAATGGGATGATAGGGCGGTCAATGTTTCCTTCGCCGTTGTTGGGAGATGTGACCATCGCACTTGGGCCGTAATTGCTGAAGAGCCAGAAAGAAGGCGCCATGAACCCTTCGATATGGTCGGCGTTGCATTTGTTGACCACCTGCCAGAATTTGTCGCAGCCATAAGACTTATGGGCTTCGTCAATGATGAAAATGATATTGTCGCTCCACAGAGTATTGGACGATGATCGAAGTCCTTCAAATTCAACATGCCATAGCAAGTACTCGGTGATGTTCGTGATGTTGGTGAATCCTGATGGGTCAAAGTTCCAGATGAAAACAACCTTGAAACATTGAAAGAGTAGGTAGTTGTAGAGTTCCCTTGCGAGTTGCGACTTTCCGGACCCTGGGATACCAAAGAACAGTCTGTTTTGCTGTCCTTGGAGATTTCCGGCAAGTTCCCTAACGGTCTCGTCTCGGGGGACCGTCCTAATGGGGATGGAGGAGTTGTACAACTCTAAACAATTGTTAAACAAAAGTCAGGCAAATAGGGGGTTAACTATACCTCTAGGAACGGAGTGTAGTTCAAGAGCGTGACCACAGCTATTGCACAGCGAATCGGGGTCGCGAATTCCGTTCTCTCGCTGGCAACCTGTGCAAAGGCACATGTTGCCGGTCTCACCAAATGCGGTGCAAGTCATATTGCAGGCAAAGCGAGTGAGACAAATTAATTGAAGAGACTGGTGGAGATGGGATGGAACGAAGTAGATTGGATGAAAAGAAACAGACTGTATGGACAAGATACAGATGGACACGGGATAGTAGCAAAACGATATGAAGGGTGAATGCAGGATGCAAGAGCAAGCAGAGTATTCACGAAGAAGTTGGGATTGTCGAAGAAGAAGGAAATACTGAAGCGAAATATCGGCTTAAAAGGCTAATAAAATACGATGCGCGACGATACACGACGATGATGCGATGGGCTTTTTGGGATGGTCTTTAGGTATGAGTCGCTGATTATACGACCTGCGACAATACGCTGAATCGGGAAGTTATGAGTCGCCAGCTATGATTCGCCGAGATGAGTGCCTGTCCAGGCACTTGCACTGCTGCGTCCTCTATAAGCTGTCTACCCAGGCACAGCCAGGCCACCAGTCCGATATACTTCGACCTGGGGCTTGCAACACCACGTGACAAGATTAAGGTTGTTCTCGAAGCCGTCGAAGGCTTCGCCAACCATGATTATCCCGTCCCAAAGGGGAAGGAGCCAGGTATACTAACGACGGCCTTTGATTGGTCACCGCTTCCCCGCATGATAACGAACTCGGACTTCGTCTCTTGGCTTTCTCGTCATCGATCAATTTATATTGCTAAGATGAATCCCGCTAAGCGCAAACGAGGAGAGAAGAGACGTGCTTCATTGGCGTAAGTGAATTTCTGCCCTGGTTGATGCTGGAGGCTGACAACTAGAAGCTGCGAGACCTGCCGGAAGCAAAAGGAGAAATGTGAGGGTGGTCCTCCATGCTGGCGATGTGAGCGCCTTGGCCGACCATGCCATTTTCAAGGACAACAGATTTCGAATCTGTCGACGCCGGGTGTTTCGACCATACCCGTTGTGTCTGTTCCCAGAGAGGATATCCAGCGAGTACAAAATCTAGAGTATATCGTGAAACACTTCCTCGGAGATGTACCTCTAGATCAGGAGAATCTTGGCCGGGTCGCCGACAAATTGCAAAACCAGGCAACAAATTCGACTCAACCTGAGAGTTCCCTGAATGTGAACGAGTCATTCGATGTGCATTTCGTGTCGAGTAACATGGCGCATTACTCCGGAGAATTCTCGCATTGGAACTTTTCGCAAAAGATACGTCGCAAAATGAGCTGCCAGATTGATCAGCTTGATACCAGGGTGTGTATTGCTCTTCAAGCCGTGGCGCTTTTCTTTAACGCGGTACAGGTCAAAGAATACTGGCGTCCAACGCAGCTCCAATCATCTCCCGAAGTCATTACAAATTCTATGACCCAGTTACCACCGAGGGCCATCGCCGACTTCCTCGTCTGTATGTTCTTCAAATACGCCGAGATCAATTCCTTTTACATGGAACGAAAGTGGATCGAGGAAAAAGTGGCCCTTTGCTACGACCATACCACCAACTACAGTGCCAGTGATTTCCCATGGGTGTGCTCTGTGTTTGCTGTCCTCGCAATTGGTACTCAAGTGGCACACATGGAAGATGAAAAGCCAAAGCCAGATTCCGAAACAGCTGATGATCTGACTCTTTGCTCCGAGGATTCTGTCGGACTTGTATTCTACCATGTGGCCTGCAAACTCATTCCGGATGTGCTTTTAGTTGCGTCTCATGAGAGTGTGCAAGTGTTTCTTCTTCTTGCAACATACTCCTTGCCGGTGTCGACTGGGGGGCTGGCATACACTTATTACGGGCTTGCAATGAAAATGGCTATACAGAACGGTATGCATCGCAAATATGTCGGTGGGGACATTGATGCTCGAACAATTGAAACGAGGAACCGTTTATTCTGGACTGCCTATACCGTAGAGAAGTATGTGAGTGGGCATGACTTCTCGAGGATGAAAGCTAATTCTTCACAGATACGTTAGCATTATGCATGGACGCCCCTTATCTATAGCTCGATCCGAGATCAACGCCGATCTTCCAACAGACAATTCTACATTTGAGTCGCCGCGGTTTGCAAATATGACCGCCTTCCATACCTTGATTTCATACCTAGGCGAAGTGGCAGAGACTTTGTAAGTGATTGCTTTTTTGGACTTATAAAAATGGAGACAAGGGACTGATATACCATTAGATCTCAATTCAAGAAATGTCCCAAGAGGCTCCTATCCGAATACTCCGAGCGACTGCTACGATTGAGGACTAGCATCAAGCAGTGGTGGGATTCACTATCTGCCACTATAGAATGTCGAGATCTATGCTCCCAAGGCCCGCTTTTCCGGCAAAACTCGCATCTACGACTGTGTTACCTACTCATTTACGTTTACATGGGCCGCCCGTTTATATTTGTCGACAAGAAGGATCACAATAACGAAGGTGGGCCCAGTGCAGATAACGACGCAGGGCAAGCACGCCGATCAGTTCTAGTGGATGACTGCGTATCTAGCGCTTTGGACATTCTCAACACTCTCCAGTCTTTATCAGACCACGTCGGTCTTTGTCGAGCCTCCTACAACGAATTCGGGGCTTGTCGAGCTGCTCTTCTCGTGATACTTGCGGAAAGTCTCAATTCGGGAAAATCTCAAAGGCTGCAAGATGGCTTACAACGTGGAATGAGTCTCATACGTCAAATGATTGGAGGAAGCTCTTCCCAGTCGGAGATATCGTACATCGAGTCTATCGAAGCGGCTATCAGTCAGCTCCTTGAAGCTCCTGAGGGAGATGTCGCTTCTCAATCAAACACAGAACACAGCACCATCTCCGCCTATGCAAAATTCAAAGACTGGACGCAATCATTAAAGAAAGATAAGGGCGCAGTTGGTAGTAATATGGAGATATCATCTTTCAGTCCACTTTCGCATCTTACGCCTGGGAGCGGAGGCTTTGCAAATCCCGATCTCAATGACATGACCGGATTCTTCAATCCTGATTGGTCGAACAACGATATGGAATTTGATTCAAATATTCTCTCGCTACTGTCGAAATGATTCACACTGTTGAGTGGCCGGAACTAATAAAATTCATCCAAATACCATATACTGAGCCCGTTTGATCCATGTCGTCTGCTTGCTCTTCTCTGTGTTCCTATCTGCGTCCTCGGTGGCAATGGCGTTGATAATATCCTGTTCATCAAATTCTCGTGCGGGCCCAAAGTCCATCTCCATAGGCTTGACTATGTTTGTTTTGTAATACCACTGCTCAAGTCAGATAAACGCAACAATTCACGACAGACGGATTCCTCACTTTGTATACGAAATAGTCAAAGAAGAATAGCGGAGCGGCAAGGTAAGCAGAGAAGAAACTCTTCACTGAGCCTTTCTCTCCGAATGGCCAGCAAGCCAGATAGAATTCACAGCCGAAGACGAATAGGACAATGATAAGACCGAAGTACTGTGCCCATGGGGTAAGGAGGCCCTTGAATGGGAGACTTCCAAGGTCCTTGCCTTGAGCTTTAAGACCTTGCCGGAATCGAAGGTGGGCGATATAGATCGAAGCCCATTGGAAAAGTGTGGCGATCGCAACCTGAGGAAATAATCAATACTGAACGCTTTTGTTTCACACCAAACTTCTCACCAAAGAAGAGAACCAGCCGTAGACCAAAGTTCCAACACTGTTGGTGTTAAGATAGCACAAGCCACCACCAATACCCAAACTGATAATGAGCGACACATAAGGTCGACCTTGTTTATCTTTCCTGCCAAAAAATGGATGAACAATATCGAGATCGGCGAGAGCCGTTAGGCTTCGACTGGCAATATAAGCACTTGTAATCCCGCAGCTGATAACGCTTAGGAAAATAAATCCGTTGATAGCGTGCGCGAGACCGTATACATCTGCTCTTTTAATGGCAATGACAAAGGGACTTCCCAGTGTGCCGCTGTTCGACAGATCTGGGTCGTTAGATGGGATACACATGCCCACGAGCCAGATATTAACAACGAAGAAGGTAAACATTCGCCAGAAGATTGGTCGAACGGTTTTCTTGATAGTTCGTCGTGGATCGGCTACTTCGCCGGCTATTACTGCGATATGTTCACCTGATAAACCATTAGTTGGCTGTTCCTTAACGCACCTTTTAATAGAAATAACATACCACCGCCAAAACTGAAAGCAGCCTGCACAAATGCCTTGGCGATACCCTTGATGCCATTATTGAAGGCACCAGGGTTTTTCCAGTACCGGAACTCGATGGGACCGTTCGTTGCAGCAATGCCTCCTGAAGTCATGATGAACATGAAAAAGATCATCAAGACAATTGCAAGACACTTGACAAATGACATGTAGTATTCAATGTAGCCGTATACTCGGACATGGAACATGTTAGCTGCGGCAATTACTACCAAAAATATTGTGATATATGCTGCTAGGGGTATGACGTCGGTTTCGGGCCAGTACTTGAGGACGGAGATCGCTGCTGTTATCTCTGCTGGGATTATCATCACCCACTATGTAGTGTCAGTATATCGAGCCTGCCTTGGGATAGGGGATTAACATACCGCAAACCAGAAGTTGACACCAATTGCAAAGCCGAATGCCGGGTCCACGTACTCTGCGCATTGTCGAATGAAGCCACCGTGGATAGGCTTGTATGTGGTCATCTCTCCAACAGAGGAGTATTGGGCATAGACGATCATTCTTCGGATATGTTAGCGAGTCATCCAAGGGTGAAGGGTTGTTTGGTGCCATACGCAGTAATGGTATAGGTAACTGCGGTTCCCGCAGGTCCAGCTGTATATGGTCAATCTTCATTCATATCTTGCAACTATTCGCAATTTTGTGATGTTAGACTTCACTCACCATAGTACAGTGCCTGTCCAGTGCCTACCCAAAGACCCGTCCCGATACCAGCGCCAAAGGTCATCATCATGATTTGGCGCCTTGTCAAGGATCGGTGATACCCAGCAGTATCTGCTGGGGAAATAATGACAGTACTCCCATGATGCTCTGTTCCCGAAGTAGCTGTGCGCTCCAAGTCGCTGGCATCGCCCCCTTGACCTCTGCGCCATCTTTCGAAATATCTGGGAATTGACTCATTCTCCGTTGGGATTGAGAATAATCCGAGGGATACTTGACCGCCCATAAAGTGTAGATGTATATAGTTGTCTATCCTTATCGTTATCTGTCCTGTCTATCAAAGTTGCCGGTGGACTTCCCGCCGGGACTGAGCGGGGTATGCATGAATCACATACTTCGATAGCTAGCAATGATTCGCAGATAATGCTGATAAATGAATGGAGGTGACTAATTCGCTGCTATTTATCTGATTGATTCGTTGCTTTTTATCGCTTCAATTCCTGCTTCATTGCCAGGCTATTCCAGATTCAACCTCTCAATTCAAGATAAGCAACCTCAATTACAAACATGTCTTCCAAGCACGTTGTATTCGACATTGTGGGAACCCTCGTGGCCTATGATCATGTCTTTGAGGCACTCGATACCCGCCTAGGCGACCGACTGCGCGCAGAGGGCATCAAGCCCCGTCTCCTGGGATATACATGGATGGAAGCCGCTGAGCGGGAATACACCAATCTCAGTTTGTCCCAAAGATATGTGCCATTTGGGGAAGTCTTCCGCGCCCTTTTCTACCGTATGCTCTGGATGGCAGGTATTGCTGAGCCCCGGTCTTGGGCAACACCCGAAGATCTGGAGTTCATCATGAAGGAGTACCAGCTCCTCGAGTTCCGGCCTGGTGCTGCGGAGTGTGTCCAAAAGCTCAGGGATGCCGGGTTTACCGTATGGGCTTTTACTGCTGCAGATATCACCCGCGTTGGGGGCTACTTCAAGAACGCCGGCGTGGAGCTCCCCGCCGAGAACTTATTGTCTTGTGATGATGTCGGTGTGGGTAAGCCTGATCTGGCAGCTTACCACCCCTTGCTTGAGCGTCTCAAGTCCGAGAGTGATGGGAGGATTCCATGGTTTGCGGCAGCCCATATGTGGGATGTTTCTGCAGCCAAGGTAGCAGGGTATGTATTTTATCCTAAATTGTTGGACAGTACTAACATCTCCTACTTCTAGATTTAAGGGCGCCTACTGTCATATCTGGGAGAAGGAGTCTCTATCTGAGCTGTTTGGAGAGATGGACGTTATGGCTGATACTTTGCCAGAAATGGCGGACAAGATCATTGCAAACCAGGCATCGATTTAAGTCAGGATAGATAGTCTTGTAAAAACTGAATTCAAATGAAAATACAACTCTTAAAACAAACTCAATCTTGCATTTTGACAGTAACCTAGTATGTGATAGTCAATTCATATGACTATCGTTGTATAGACCGGCGTCAAACATGGCTTGTAAACAGAGTAGCTTAGTGCTCATCCCGTGATGATAACCAATTAATCCAGCTTCTTTGTGACTATATCTCTTGAGTCTTCTTCTACGATATCTAGATTGTTCAGCTTTCCGTGCAAGGTAGCCTATCTACAGTGTGGTGTTTATCTCCGGGACGATCCCGGACCGGATGCGATGCCGGTGGAAAAGCCGGGGGACAATGCATTCACCTCTTCAGCCCTACCAATGACAATAAATAACAAATTGACTTCGATTTTACCAAGACCCTAACAACTTCGATCATGGCAACCAAGCATACCCCCGTTCCAAATGGCATGACATCATTCTGGAGAACGGAGCCACATCCCCTTGACAGCCACCGGTCTACTGAGTTCCTCCCGGAGGAGTGCGATATAGTCATAGTTGGAGCTGGCTATGCCGGGTCTTCGGTTGCGCATCATATCCTCAGCCAGACTCCTGTTGGAGTCAAGCCACCTTCGATTCTGATTTTGGAGGCGCGTCAGGCTTGTTCAGGTGCCACTGGTCGAAATGGTGAGATATACGATTTCCACACAGGAGGCCAATTGACTGAAGATTAACACCTGTGTTTAGGTGGGCACATGAAGCCAGATCTTTATAATGGCATCGCTGGCTTAGCAGCCGGCCATGGCGTTGACGCTGCCGCCGAGGTTGCAGCATTTGAAGCCAAGCATGTTTCGTTTCTCAAGGAATTTATCGAGAAAGAGAAGATTGATTGTGATTATTCCGTCACAAAAGCGGTTGATGTTCAACTGAGTGCAGATCATAGCAAAAGACTCAAGGATGGGTATGAGAAATTGATCAAAGAGGGATGCGCTCCGACGACAACGGCGAAATACATCGATACCAACGAGGCAGAGAAGGTATGATCAAATTTATTGCGCCTAAAATACTTGCAGGCTAACTTTTCAAAGTTCTCAGGTGTCAAAGGGGCAAAGGGGTGTTTCACATACGATGCAGGCCACATTTGGCCGTACAAATTCGTTCTGCATCTCCTGGGGAAGGCGATTGCCCGCGGGGTGAATCTGCAGACGCATACTCCAGTATCTGAAATCACGGAGTCTAGTGCTGCGGGATCAAGCCATCGCTGGACAGTGATGACTGCCCGGGGCTCCATTTCTGCCAAAACCGTTGTTCTGGCAACGAATGCCTACACCTCCTCTCTGGTTCCGCAATACAAGGACAAGATCATTCCCGTACGAGGGACTTGTAGTCGAATCATTGTTCCCCCAGGTACAACAGCTCCTCGGCTAACGAACACGTATACTCTCCGTTGGAACACCTGGAACTATGACTACCTCATTCCCCGCGGCGACGGTAGCATTGTCGTTGGAGGAGCCCGACCGACCTTTATCGACGACCTGGATAGCTGGTACAATGTCAGCGATGACAGTCGAGTACTCGAGCCAGCTGTTCGTTACTGGGATAACTATATGCAGCGCAATTTCATTGGCTGGGAGAATAGTAATGCTTATACTGACAGAGTATGGACTGGAAGTATGTTACACCATCATGTTATACTTGTTGCAACTGACTAACATCGAACTTTCTAATAGTCATGGGCTATTCATCTGATGGTTTACCACATATTGGCCCTGTCCCTGGACAGCAGGATCAGTATATCATTGCTGGCTTCACAGGGCACGGGATGCCACAAATCTTCCTTGCAGCCGAGGGTTTGGCGAAAATGGTACTCAACGATGTTGCATTTGCGCAAACTGGTCTACCGCGACTGTTTGAGTCTACTTCAGCTCGCTTGGAGAGCCGGGAAAACAAAATCTTCGCCAGTACTCCGGGAGGTGGGAAGCCGCAGGCTCGTTTGTAGTCGAACCTTATAGACTAGTATTAGCTCATCCATGAATTGAGCTTTCTTCCCGCCAATAAATACGTTACCTGAGTAACTATTTGCATTCGAACACGAGTCTAGCATTGTGATATCGTTTACTGCATGTTTTATAGTTCGTGGTGCTATCCCGCAAAGCGGAGGCGGGTTATTCCCGACTAGGGTATGCTCAATATTTGGTTTACTTGGTTTAAATCACTCAGAAAGCTGCTAACCGCTAATGCATAATTGGGCAGAAGATCCTTCTCGGTTGAGAGTACAACCGTCTATACAACCGCAATTGGTTCGGTTCCTAAATTGTAGACAGGATTGAACCCAAACATATTTTTCCACAAAGCGTCACTCCATAGATACTTTCTTTCCGTATTCACCTTCGCTAATTATTTTGCAGCTTCTGCTATGCATGTAATCTGGGTCACGTGTGGCTGGGTCAGTTGAACAGCCGAACGTCATCCGCCGCTTGACCAGCTACGAATGCTTGTTTGACCAAGTTCTTGTTCGCACATCAATTTACCGCTTCGCCAAGTTCGACCCTACATCCATTCCTTTGTACACCGACAGCGATACCTAGAAAATGGAACCATCAGAGATTGCGGGGTTCCCGCCTACCAGCATTAGAGAGATCGCCGGTGAGGTCTCAGCACTGTTAAAGGAGCAAGGGGCGACTGTCTCAGTTGCGGAAACGGTTTGTTACTTCTTTTGCCTCTGAACTCCTTAGTCAACGGGCGCACCAGAGGCTATAGAGCTAACAACATCTTCCGAAGGCGGCCGGAGGTCTCATATCTTCAACTTTGCTGGCGACACCAGGAGCAAGTGGGTTCTACCGGGGAGGCGTGACGGTGGGTAACACGTAAACTCCTCTGGAGCTGCGATACATATCCTCATCCGCTTGCTCATATCAACTTTCAAGGTGTACACCCTGGAGTCCCGCATCGCATTCGGTGGTTGGACTGAAGAGCATATTAAGAACTACAAAGGGCCTACCCCCGAGATAGTAGCCGGGTTGGCAGAGAATGTGCGCACTAAGCTTAGCTCAACCTTTGCTATCAGTGAGAGTGGCACTGCTGGACCCACTGGTGGGACTACGAGAAACAGGACCCCGTGCGTATCTGTCTTCATAACATAGAGCTCTGCTAATATTGCCTTTGATATTTAGTGGTTATGTTGCTCTGGCCGTTAGCTCAAAGGCTGGAACTGTTACGCGAGAGGTTGAGACAGGACTGGGCACCGACAGAGAAGCAAACATGGTTGCATTTGCGATCGAGGCTTTGAAGCTGCTTAGGGATTGTCTCACTGGTCGTGTTCAGGCTGAGCTGTAATTTCACATGGCTTTTCATGGAACGGACTGGACCTTTGGTTTGACGTCTGATAAGAAAATGGTGTTTCAGCCTCATTACTCACGCGTACAAATGAGCTCAAATTGGCTTATATTGGGATATCGACTTATAGTCTCACAAGACAAATTGAAGAAGAAATACAACCAGAAACGAGAAGACTTATGTTTTCAGACAAATCATTGTCATAAGACCACTTCACATACATAAATTTACAGCTTGTGAGTAGTTCGGGCGTAATTGGTCGGCCAGATACCATTCTTTCCGGGAGCGAGAATACCCTTGGGGTCCAAAGCATTCTTTATGGTCTCGTTGAACCTCATCAGAATGTTGTTGTTCCAGTTATAGGTCCCTGCAATTTGATCCATCAGTGCGAGATGAGTCCGGTATTCTCCCCAACCATGAGCGGCACAATCAGCGATCAGAATCTTGATCAGGCTATGCGCCCTGCGCTTTGCGTCTTCGTCCTTACGGTTAAAGACAATACAGACAATATGGTCTATCTCAGATAAGGAAATTAGTATCTTGAGTTGACAGCGATTGAGGAGGGTCTTACGCATTTCTCGCATTCCCACTGTGAACGTGCCAATGAAATCGAGGCCTGATTCGATGACTCTCTTCTTTGTGACAGAATATTGCAACATGGCATCTTCGCCAGAAACCTTGCTAATGGGCGAGAAGAATAGATGGGCACCATTTGGAATCCAGTCAATCCATTTAAGTTCGTCGAATGTTGGGATTCCTTGGAGGGTCTTGTGTCTGGTATGAAGCACACAGTTCTCTTTGATGTCTTCAGGGAAAAAGAACTTGACTCCTTCAATTGATGAGAAGGCCTGCTTGATGACGCCCCACAATGCAGTCCTGGTGGGCTCCGGTCCCTTTTAAGAAAACGTTAGTCCTCGTGCATACTTGCAGCGGAGAGAATATATTTACGTAGAGGGCTCCATAGAAGTTCCAACGTCCCAGGTTCAACTTCTTGGCGATGGCATCTAGCTCCTCGTCGCCAAGAGGCCCTTGTGTTGAGGTGTAGCTTGCCTTTGATCCCAGCACAGCTGCATCTAACAAGATATGTCGGATAGTGGGAACGTTCTGGAGTACCATTTGCTAGAAAGCACCGTTAGCGATGATGGTCAGAACTTCATGGTTGATGTATCTTACCAATCTGAGAGGTCTGATGATGTCGACGGCTTTGCGGAGATCCTCCTCTTTCGGGACTGTGATCAAGTATGATTGATATCCCCCAGGATTTGGCATGAGCTTATAAGCAAAATGGTTAGCACCGAGCTTATGTCACCTCAGACGCAATGTATAGCGCATCAAACTTCTTACCCAAATTCCCATCTTCGTAGCGATTCCGAGATTGCTTTGCGAAAAGATGCCATCGTTATACGGACCAAAGCCATACGGAAATAGCTGCCAGCATTTGTTGCCAGGCTCTTCATCCAAACGACCAGGTACAGTGCCGGCCTTCCGAGGCTCTGGCATTGCGCCCATTCCAGTGCGCATCAATTCGCCGTTCGGTAGGACAACTTCCATGCCACAATGCATCATCCAGTGATCTGCATTCAATGTCAGGCGACTTCCATGTGGTAGCAGTGATATCAAGTTGAAATGGCAATACTCACCTCCGTATGGAGTGTAACCGACACCTCTCTCCATCGCATTCCCCAATACGGATCCGCCGCCCAAATCAGGGACCTATCAAACAATTTAGACCGGCTCATGCCATATTCGCTAGGCAGGGTTTGAAAATCTCACATCAATCCACAACTTATCCTTCAAGTTATGCTCCACCAAGTACTGATGAAGATCCGCAAAAGTCACTCCGGGCTCAACGACGGCGTAAGCTCCCTCAACGTTGACCTCCAAAATGCGGCGAATATGTTTCCCCAAATCCACAACAATGCTACCACGGAGTCTTGGTGCCGCACCGCCATATCCGGAATTGCGTCCGATCGATACTGGCCAGATCGGGATGTTGAACTCATTGGCGAGCTTTACCAGATCTTGCACCTCAGGCACGGATCGGGGGCAGACAACGGCCGATGCGATAAAGTGATCCTGGTCGAGGATGTGGTGTGGATCATGGGTATAGGGTTGGTTGTGGTAAGAGCCATCCTCTAGTTCGTCTTTGCTGGTGACAACTTGGATGTTCTCACGGCCAACTACCTCGGCTACTCTGGTTAAAAAGCGCTTGAAGGTGGCCTGGTCGGTGGCCGGAGGTAGCGCGAGTGGTGCTTCGAAAGTCATGGCAGGTATATGCAACGCGAATACGGAGTGAATAGTAAGTCAGACTCAGGAGGGAGCCTTTGCCTCATATTTATAGGCAGCCGACCGATTCCCAGAGCTCTTCTCCGCAGCTGTCCCGTCGTGCATATTTAGCTGTTTTACCTGTGCTTAGCTACATACAGTATTCATTGGATGATCAACTATCCTCTAATTAGTCGGAAATATACTTGCCAAGTCCGAGTGGGTGAGGTTCCGCGGCATTTACCCGCCCCCGCAACTTCCGATATTTCACTGAGCTGCGGTCACTGAGATCATAAACATCAGCTACTCGACGTCTCTGTCTTTTCATGTCTGTTCCGTTCGGCCTGCGCATTATCTCAGATCTGTCGCCTTTCAACAGCTCAACAGCTCAGGGGTAACAACACGTTGTTCATATAATGAAATGCAATCTATGTGATGCCCAGTTCGTTCGCCTGCAGCATCTACAGCGCCACATTTTATCTCGTGAGTGGCTCCTGCTCCAGTAGCTATGCGTATCCCACAAGTGGGCACCATCTTCGAGCAACTCGGTTAATCCCAGGGGCAGATGAAAATGTCCGACCTTTTGAATGTCAATTTTGTCAACGATCCTTCAAACGTCGGTGAGTTTTGGTGTCTTTTCTCATGATTCTAACTACTGATCCTCAATCAGTGATGTACTTCAAAGACACTTCCAAACGTGTAAATCACGACTAAGCAATGGATTGTCTACCCCTTCCCTTCCAATCCTCCCTAGAGGGAGAAACAGGAAGGCCTGTGACCGATGCTGCAAGTCAAAGAGAGCTTGTGACTCGAGATTACCCTGTAGCACTTGTCTCATCAAACAGCATGACTGTGTTTACACTGGACTTCAAGAACATGCTTTGAGCATAAGTTCTAAACCGTGCCAAGATATGGATTCAAAGGCGTCAAGTAATGCTCTATCAGTGAGCATGAAGAACGACCTTACAAGCGAGCTTACTATATCGGCGTCACCAGATAGTGCAGCAATGCCCTCCAACTTTCTGCGTCAGGCATCACCATTCACAACCTCACTTCCGCTGTTCCCATTCATCAATCCTCCCCAGGAAACATTGGATATGTCCATATCACCCTGGAGTACTTCCTGGTGTGAAAGTATACCCATAGGGACTTCACATACCAAATTCGAATTTCTATCCAAATTTACGACCACCTTTGGAATCGCCAATTCTTTCAGCTGTGGAAGTCTCCGTCAGCGGCGTCAAGTCGCAGCCATAGAAGGTCTTGATGCCGAGGGTACCTCTGATACTGACGATGTGCTACAAGGCAATTGGAGCTGGGAATTTTCATTAAGAGCCGATTTGCCGCATTTTCCAACGGAGCCAAAGTCATCACTTTCCGGGCTACATGAATGGGCAAGGGATCCGCTTGTCTTCAAAACACAGGAAATCGTTGATGGACTCAAGGAGACTATCCAACAAAAATCGAGAAAGAGTCCTATAACCATTACATGGTCGAAGTTGATTGAAACCACTTGTCTCCAATCTTTCAATCCGGCCAATCTTCGCAAATTCCTTCGCATTTTCTGGTGTTTATGGTATCCTAACTGTCCAATCATTCATAAGCCTTCATTTGATCCAAAAGACGCATCTGCTTGTCTCCTGGTATCTATGGCAATCATTGGAAGTTGTCTCTCTCCAGATGAGCGAGATAATGAAATGGCAAAAGGGTGGTTCGATGCAGTCGAGGAAATGGTTTTCGATGATGATTGGCTTGACGAAGATTTAGGGGTAGCGACACCTTTTCAAGACGTCACAGCTGAATCGCAGCGTTTGCAATCCCTTCAGGCAGCCTATTTCGTGTGTCTTTATCAAAATTGGGAAGGTTCAGATTCCAGCAAAGCCCGGATCAGGCGTCATCGCTATAATACCTTGATTGCGGTATGCTAGTTTGCAGCATTGATTAGATATTGGGTGATGATTTAATCTGACACTATATCATAGGTTGCCCGAAGCCTTCAACGGACTTCTGCCACTCACCAAGACTTCTCACTCTTAAATGATGAAAGTATGTTCGAATGGGCGAGATTTATTGGAATGGAAACCAAGATTCGGTTCGTCATTCGTGCCTGCTTCTCATGGTAAATACTGAACATCTATTCAGAACACTGTGCTATATCTACTTGCTCGATGGAGCATTTACCATCTTCAACAATACGCCACCCAGGATAGTGAGTTTCGAAATGCAAATGAGCCTCACCAGCCCCGATGAGACATTTCAAGCGGTCACTGCAACCGAGTGCTTTTCAGTTCTGAAACAATGGGTCCGTACAATTCCCCGTTATAATCAGTGCTCTATAGCCTCAGCCCTGGAGACGCTTTGCAATCCCGCTCTTGATATAGAAGAAAGAAGTCTCTTTACTAATATGGGAATACTCAATCTTTTCTCCATGATTACCGGTATGGCAACCTCCACTGATTATGATTCGATGCTGAAACTACGCCTGCATGAAATTTAGGATTGCACACTTCCACCTTTCAGATTCAAAATTCTCTGGCGCCCCGGGGCGCGATGCAACGGATTGAACGTGGTCTCAAAAATTGGAAAGACGCGTGGAACAACCAAAGAATCGCTGAAGTTACCTCTTGGACAGATGAAGACGGTGATTCATTCCCGGGAATGTGGAAGCGAGTCGGCTTCATAAAGAACGCATATGAATATTGGCTTCTATGCTGTATACTTGTAGAAAGGTCGCCCTTGGGTGAGTCGGAAAAAACAAAGCCCGTTCTAGGTAGGTACGACGAAACAGATATGAGCCAGGTCAACGATCTTATTGCGCAATTTGGGGATATGATTATTGAATGACATGGCTATCTCATACACTCATCATTTGAGCATATATATACCAAAGGCTAAAGCCAAGGCAAACATACCAGCCCCAAAAATAGCCATATTCCTCAAAGCTCGTTCATGATGAGCCTGCATAGTAGTGGCGATACGCTCCGCCCATGCTTTAGGTGGATTCCCGTTAGGAAATGCTTCCTGTGGGATATCCTTGTTCAGAAACTTGCAAAGCGGTTCCCAGCCATCCCCAACAGACCATTCCAGCAACCGATCTTGAGGTAATCCCAGTCCTCGAACCATAGCCACATGTTGTTCATAGACCCATTTACCATTTGCAGCGAAGCTACCTCGGAAGAATCGTGGCATCATCGTGCGACACATCGTTTGTCGAATCCAGAACAAATCCGCGTTGAACCAGCTCTTGACCCAGTCCCAGTCAGCAGGGTTTTTATCGAAATATCCCATTGTTTGTTGCATGCTGGTGTACCAGCTATCGAGATCTTGGCGAGTATTCAGAATTACTTTCGCGTTGGGATAGGCTGCGACGAGTTCGGGAGCGAATTCTGCTGCGAAGAGGTCGCTGACACCGACACAATCGCTTAGAACAGTGTCAAAATCTTCGGCAGTCAACTTGTTTGTTTCGCCGTGTTTTGGAGCAGTGTTGTACTTCTTCTGTAGAAGCCGATAAATTGCCTCCAGGGACGATGGCGGGAGAATGGTATCGAACCCATGGAATGTGTGATTGAAGCCAAGCACATGAAGCGCCTCGCGAAGAGACTCGGTGGCAGATCTAGAAATGCCGACAGCCAAGATCTGCATTGGTTCTTTCCGTTTGGAAGTAGTTGCAGGCGGAAGGCCGTAAATAAAGTGGAAAATCGAGTCTGCGAGAGACATCTTCAAGCATAGAATAGGGTCATCTAGCTTGAGAAGAATAGTAAACGTCAAAACAAGGCAGCTCAGAGCCTATTTGAACTTTCCTTTCTTCCACGGAGAGCGCAGCATGAGACCAGTATGGGCAGGTGGTGCATCTGTCAGATTCGAGGCAGTCGGCGATTTGCTGATATTATGCCAAGGATGAGGCGGGGGTGGCCTTAATGTCACGGCCCCGATTCATGGTAGTTAACTTAAGTTAACTATTATAGCTTTTGCAACTACTCTCGAACAAGAGACTCAGATGTTAGCCAAGTCACAGCCCTGCAAGGTATAAGTGCTATCACGTGCAGATATGCATATCAACTCAATCTCCTCTCCAGATACGAGAATAAATTCCTTGCACCCGATGAGCTTCCCAGCCATGATGTTGTCCATCTCACCTGTGGTGCACCTTAAGGCGACGCAGACTTCATGATCCGATGTGACGGAAAGCAATTCCATCTGATCCTGAATGGCCTATGATCAAAGAGACCCCGGATGGAGAAATGGCAAACCAAGGAGTGAGTTCATTCTTGATAAGGTGCGATGTGCAGAACATTTTGTACATCCCACCCAACTTTCAGTTCACAGAGAGAGATAGAACTAAGCTCCATTCAGAGGGTCTAGCAGCAACTATTGCCGTGTATTACCCCAATTTGGGGATCCATTCGAATAGCGCGCGAAAATGCACTCGCCACATGCGTTGTAACATGTTGGGTTGCACAGAGCGGCAGGAATGCCATCCTCGATCTTTCTGGTGATGTTTCAGGAAAGGCATACTGAGGTGAATCCAAGGATCAACTGTGTTGACCGTGCTTAAGTTTGCAAAATAAGCATTCCCGAGGCCCAAAGTCTAACGGAAGTTCGGGAAGTATGGAACTCAGTGGGTCGGCAAAAGGCACAGGCCGAGGATAACCCGCACAGTGCAGTCTGTATCGGTAGGAAAACCCGAAAATGGTCGGATAGGGGGTTTGATCGGTGGGTCGAAGACCGATGGGTCAAATTCTGTCTGTGGAGTCACCCGTAGAGGGCTGAAAATTCGATGGTTTTATAAAGCCTCTACTCCTGTGTCCCTTTTTGTTCTGTCCCTTTGGGAGCTCTGGCCTGCTGTCATGGAGTCTTATTTCCAGTATAAGCGTATTCAATGCGCTGTTAGAAAGCGGTTGGACTCCAAAGTGCATGTTGACGAGGACGGTGTGCACGGGAATGCAAAGTAGGTGGCTAATCTCATTCATGGCTTTTGTCTTTTGATACTTATGTTTGACTCTCTAGCTCTGGGTCGAACACTTCTCAGCTCGATGAGAATGAATCTTCATCTACTCGCGAGGGAGCTGGTAATGCCGAAGATTCCATCATCCTTGTGGGCTGGGATGGCAAAGATGATCCTCTGGATCCCACAAACTATAGCGTTGGGCGCAAACTATTCATGACGGTATTGGTATCTCTGATTGCGCTTGCTGTCACGGCAGCATCAGCCATCGATGCCTGCGGTGTTCAACAATATAGCGAATATTACCATGTCTCAGAGGTTGTTGGGTCTCTTGCTACCGGTAAAGTCAACTTCAGCTGTCTCCGGAAAGTATCCAGTCTAACAGTGTGACTTAGGCATGTTCTTAGTCGGGTTCGGGGTCGGCTCTCTCCTATCAGGACCGTTCTCCGAGACATTTGGACGCAATGCAGTTTACCTCATTACAATGCTTGTCTTCCTGATCTTCATCATGGCCGCTGGTCTCGCTCCAAATCTCCACAGTCATCTCATCTTCCGATTCTTCGCCGGTTTCTTTGGTTCTACTCCGCTCAGCTGTGCTGGCGGAACAGTCGCGGACTTGTGGAATCCAGTGCAAAAGGCTTATGCCTTCCCTGTGTATGCAATTCCGGCTTTCTGTGGCCCGATGATTGGTCAGATTATTGGCAGCTATGTTCCAACTACACTGGGATGGCGCTGGTTGGAATGGCTTATGCTCATTATGGGCGGTGCCATTCTTATCCTTGTTGTTTTGATGCAACCTGAGACATATGGGAATCTTTTGTTGCATTGGAAGGCATCAATTCTTCGCCAGGAAACCGGAGACAAGAGGTACCGGGCGCCGATGGAGATGAGGAGAGAGAGTCTGGGGCGTCGCTTGTTGATCGCTATCTACAGACCTTTCCTTTGGAGCTACACTGAGCTGATCATCATTCTTATGTCGGTGTATCTCACTGTCGTCTATATCGTTCTCTTCACTTTTCTGGAGGGATACACCTACGTCTTCGGTGAGCCTTACGGGCTTTCGCTGGGGTTGACGAACGTTTCATGGGCTGGAATGCTTGTTGGCATTGCCCTCACTGGCTGTATTGTCCCGGTTATTTACTCTTGGACAGCGAAGGAGTACAAACAGACTGGTCGCATTCTTCCAGAGACACGTCTGTGGTATGCAATGCTAGGCGGTGCACCAGCAGTGCCTGTGAGCCTATTCTGGATGGGCTGGACCTGCTACGTAAGTTCCCAATTCCAAATCCATCGAGGCCTCAGTTACTAATACTCACTCTCATTCAGCCATCTGTCTCGATCTGGTCCCCACTCATCGCATCGGTCGTCTTCGGCTATGGCATCATGACCATTTTCATCGTCGCATATATGTACATCATCGATGCGTATGATGTATACTCCGCTTCTGCGCTGGGCTTCCTCGTTTTCACAAGATATGTTGTGGCCGGTGGTGTCACGGTTGCTGGTGGTCCAATCTACGAGGCGATCGGTGCTCACTACACTCTCACTATTCTAGGTGCTATCAGCGCAGTCATGGCTGTGATTCCATACTTGCTGTACATCTACGGACCTCGGATTCGGAAGTTCAGTAAACATGCTGTCAATTTGAATTGATTTCACGGGACTGTGAGTCGTCCATGGCCATAATCTATACAAAGTTCTGCAAATACGCACCTGATCCTTGTTTCTCGTAGATAGCAAACTAATGGCCACATGGCGCATCATCAACACCACTTTCATCGATTTGAGGTTGCCCTTCTAACTGCCGAAGCCTAAGTGTCATGCCATCCACGATGTCTAAGATGCAATTCACTCTGTGTTGAAGGGACGCAATGTCGCGGTGTTGAGATACATCCTAGTAGTGCAGTATGGTAATGTCGAGAAGAACAACCGTATATCCTAGCGATTAATAGGACGGCTCTCTGTAACAAAAGTGTTCAATCCTCCGCCTCGGCATCTGAAGATGTAAGAGAAAGACATGCCGAAAGCGGTCGACAAGTTGTGTAGTCGTAGATTTGGTATGAGTTAGAGTGTTGAAGTATTGAAGTGACAAACAATATCTGACTTACCTGGACCATGCATGTGTAATATCGGCATCCCGATCGGCGAAAGTAGCAGCCATAAGTCGGACCTAATATAGTTCTATCACAAAGATGACCACATACCCGCATGATAACAGTGGCTATATTTGCATAATCCCCTTACACTGTCGCTGCATCTAAACATGCAGGCTTGATATGCAAATTAAACTATAAGCCTGGACGGGCTCAGCTATACGAGGTCTTGGCGTCTTGGCGTAAAACGTCAGATCAGCGGTGAATTGTGAGATCCACTCGACAGTTAGAATGCGTCTATGTGTGCACACTGGTGAACACAGCATCAAGAGCATTGTGGAGTGAGAGAATGTGATTTAGATAGGAGTGCGCTCAAGTGCACCTTCCGCCGACTACAGTACACACGAGACCTCCTCCGTGCCGTTGATCGTCGATCATCCGCAATCACCAACGATGATTGCGTGCTTCTCGCCATTCAGTGCACAATTGCGCAACCCGTCAAGCTATATAGCATGGCACGTCCTCAGTTTGTACATCTGTGCCATCCTCATCCTTACACCGCTCTGGGACCCTTGCTCCCTGGTGATCAAGCAAGTTGAAGCAACATGACGGAAAAGATCTCCACTTTGGACCTCGAGTCCAATAAACTCGAGTATGATCCTTGGCTGCTGGAGGATCATCCACTACGGTCGCATCCGACTGAGTGTATTCCCGGGTTGTCACCTTATCTCTATGGGATTTACCAGTCGCTTTCGCTGAGCAAAGCTTTTGTACGAGCTGCAGCTCTTGTGCTCGGGTGTCTGTGAGTATAGGTCGATCGGCTGGGTTGAAGAATGCTGGATCTGACCTTGATTCTAGAGCCGCATTCCAGTGCTTCCGCTTACTACCACTCAACCTCCCAAAGGAACTTCCGCATACGGCTTCGGCATCATCAACCCATACCCACGCCCAGCCTAGCGCATGCACGTTTCCGACCCTAGACACACGACCCCAAGCTCTGAAGAAAGCACTAGAAGGCGGGTGCGACGGCCTCCGAACCGCCATCTGGATGTATGACGGCGAGCTGCAGATCGGTAATGCCGTCGGCAGCCCTGATCCCAATGGATTCCTTGACCGACTCGGTCTAGACCCTCTTCTGGCGAAACTCGACAAGGAGGCCGAGGATTCACAATCACCACTCAATCCCGAAACCCCGGTTATCTTCCATGCCGATCTGAGCCGGACTTTCCTTTTGATGCTTGATGCTAAGACGTCGCTTCACGAGTTGTATCCTTTGCTTGTTGAGCAGCTCGATCGTCTCCGGCAACGGGGGTACATCTCTCATTGGGATGGGGAGAGTGTTGTTCAGCGCCCTGTGACTGTTGTTGTCACTGGGGAGGCGTTCCCTGAGAGTGACTGTGCGAGTCATTCTTATTCTGATATTTTCTGGTCGGCGTTGCCGGAAGGACGCTTTACCACCAGTGATTTTACGAAGGATGGCCTGCGGCATTTGTCGCCCATTTGTATAGCATGAGTGTTGACTTTGGCTTCTATGATACCCATTTTGAGATTTTGAATATTGATATTTACCTGAATGTTGTTGATCTGCGGTGGTGAGAGTATAGGGGGCCACTTCGGGTGATAAGGTCGCCTGATCCAACGAGAATATCATTCTCCCTCTTAAGTTGTACACGGAGTAGTGGATGTGTGAAATTCCAATACATGTGGCTAAATATCCAGTCTGACGATCCAGGTGTGAAAGGTCAATGATAGGCAGGTTGATAAAAAGCGCAAAAGCGTGGCAAACAGGAAAAGATTCGGTGTTTGCTATCGAATATGGGGCAAGACTAACGCCACTAGCAGCGCCAAGTGGATTGCACAATTTCGTGCTATGGAACTCATAAATCTTCAATTTATTTATTAATTAATTGTCGTACTAGAAACAAGATTTATGAGAACTTGAGGTGAAGGTATAAAAGGTATAAAACCCTGGCATGACGAAGGCGGAAAACCCCCCGGGGCCCTTCTGACATTTCTAGAGGAGAAAGTATAAAATTTCAAGTGTTCATAAGATACATTCACACTGTGTTCATGAACTCTTCCAGGGTCCTTTGCTAAGTCTGATAGGATCTCCAGACAGCACATAACTTACCTGCACGAAATGTGCACGCCAATCCCCCCACAATTGGCCAAGATACTTTAACCGAACCTCTCCAAGGCCACACACTGGCATGCAAAGCATACAGTACAGCAACCTACATACAACATATCAACCTCATGGCAGTTGAAGACCACATTCCACCGACTATCACAGCATGGCAGAGTTAATGCCAGCCGGACCTGAACGAGGCAAGCTTTTGCGGGCCCTCAGTGTGGGCTCGGTTTCGGTGGATCAGGACAGGAACTGCCAAATGATGTCAAGCATTGCCACGACTTTCAGGCTGAGCACGCTGATATGCTGGATGGCTATCCACTCGTTCACTATTTTGTACGCCAAACGAGGAGCTCCGTGAAGATCCTGGTGTCATTGCGTAAGTTCGTCGACTCTTGATCCAGTTCACATTTCCCTGGCAGGCATAGCAGGAGGGGTTCTTTCTGGGTCTGTGGTCTGTTGGAATACAAAATTGTTGCTTGTCTCCTGTTGTCTCCGCCTGGTTTGGCTTTTTTTACTCTTTTCTCCTTCTGCTGTCTGTCGTTTGGTTCGGGAAAGAGCTTTGCCCTACTATCACTGCCGACCTTCCCGGGGAGAAATTATTAATTGAATTGTGGTCAATATGGACGAAAGGGAAAGTGGTCGGACTAGAGCCAGGGTTAGTTGTAACGGCAGGTTAGAGATATCACTGTCTAATTGTTTGTTTTACAGTCTGATTCCCAGACACCGCAATCACCAGGCGGACGGAACCGGACGGCCAGCGACGCAGACTATATCTCGCCGACGAGAAACGCCTTTGGAGCTGATGATGGCCAGGAGGGCTCAAACACCCGCCGACATAGTTCGATGGCGTCGAGACGCAGCGGCGCCAGTGGAGATTCTAGCTTGGGTCCTCGCACTACTCTCGCCCAGCGTACTCAGGGCAAGTTCACGCTGGCTGGTCCGGATGAGACCCCCAGCTGCGCTTGGCTCAAGAGCCATTCGTTCAACCGGGATATGCGGATCTGAACCCTTCATATGAACAACCGTCTAATGCCAGACCTGTCTGGTCTCTGGCCAAGCCGCTGCCGCGTGTGGTGCGGACTGGCATGGTTCCTACGAAGGAAGAGCTGCTGCAGAACCTCGCGAATGCTCAGCGTCCCACGGAGAACTCACAGCGATATGGTCTCGATGTCAACCCCAATGATATCGAGCAGGGCCGTATCGATAAAACCAATGACCCGCGCAAAATGGCCGCCCAGGTCGAGGATGCTCGCCTGCAGCGTGAGAACAACTTCATGAACAAGATTCTCAACGGCGATGGCACTTCGATGAGACAGACCTCGCGCATGTCGCGCACTTCATCCAAACGCGGGTCTATTGGCGGGAGACGCTCTGCAGGTTGGGATCATCCTGCGGACAACCTGTCTACCGTTGAGGAGGCAGACTCTCAACACAACTATGAGCCTGGAGAGCGTCCCGACTTTGATGGACCTGAGACTGCGCCAGAACAAGGCATTGAAGAGAGATTGGACGACCTTTTGGATATTTCGGACCTGGAGAAAAAAGACTATCCCGAGGACCTACATCCGCTTGTCCAAGATCTCGTTGAGGATGAAGTGCACAACAACCACACCACCTGGTCCGTTATTCGTACTCACCACCGCGAAGCTCTTGCTGAGGCTCTGGCTGTCTTTGTCCAACTCACCACGGGCTTCTGTGTCGATTTATCTGTCACCTGTGCCAACCAGGGTAACCCCAATACCACGGCCTGGGGCTGGGGCCTGGCTACCATGATGGGCATCTACATTTCTGGTGGTGTTTCTGGTGCTCATATGAACCCCATTGTCACCATAGTGCTCTGGTTCTACCGTGGTTTCCCCAAGCGCTTGATACCCGAGTACTTCGCTGCCCAGTTCCTGGCTGCCTTATGCGCGGGTCTTTGCGCCTACGGTATCTACTATCAGTCTATCACGAATTATCTTATCCTCAACGCGGACTCCAGTATCATCAACAGCTTTGTGACTAATCAGCGCGAAGCGTGGATTGGTCCCGCCACGGCTTTCTTCAACGAATTTATCGGCACGACCGTTTTGCTCGTTACTGTGTTGGCGCTTGGTGATGACCAAAATGCCCCGCCGGGTGCTGGTATGAACTCGCTGGTCGTTGGATTGGTGATCTCCTGTCTGTCTATGACCTTCGGATACCAGACCGGTGCTGCGTTCAACCCTGCCCGTGACTTTGGCCCTCGCCTCGCTCTGCTTGCTGTCGGATTCCCCAGCACCATGTTCACCAATCCTTATTGGTTCTATGGACCTTGGGCTGGTGCTCTGAGCGGTGGCTTCTTCGGTGCTTTCCTGTATGACTTCTTCATCTTTACCGGAGGTGAGTCGCCGGTCAACTACCCATGGGAGCGTACCGAACGCGCCATGACCAAGAGTGCAATGAAATGGAAACACCGGTTGCACCTCGATTAGGGGGTGTCACGGTCAAATTGGATATAGTCTGTCGATGTGGTCATTCATTGATGTTGTATTTATAGTTATATTGCATATGCATTGTTTCCTTTATAGAAAAGTGTCTAATAAATACATAATCGGGGATAGTGACAGGGTAACCCTAGACAGCCTAAACAGCCTGTACTTCTCCAATCCCCGCATGAGTCTTGGCCCATAGCGCTAAAGCAGACACCGTCATCATTCACCTTTTTTTTCCCACCGTAGGAAATGTCTTTGACGCGCTAGACACCCAAGACACCCAAGACCCCCAACCGCTGCCCTACTGCACGTTCCCTCCCTCTCGCTATCTCCGGGTCCACCGAACCTGCATCTTTTTTCTTCTTTCTGCTTGCCTGCATTGCATACACTCCACCGCCATTCTACTTTCCCTTTTATAATATTTTCTCTTAAATTTTCTCTCTCTTGCTGCCCAACACCTTTGGGGACAAGAATGGACTACCGACGACTACAACACTCGTATCAGCCCCGGCCCTCACCTTTGGGGGCCCCAGAGCGTCCCGATCCACCTCGCACCTTCGCTGCGTCTGTCGCTCAGTCTCGTCGCCCGGAAACCGACGAATCGCGCCCGCACGTTTCTCCTACGTCTACGTCGAATTCGACCTCATCGTCGCAGATCTACCCGGGGAATGCCCGTTCGTCACGCGCTTCGCATACTTCACATGCTTTGCTCCGGGGCAATACTCCTAGCGCATACTTCCAGTCTGGGCCGAGGCCTACCCACCGTCGACATGGAAGTTTAGAGAGCAGACACCATGGACAATCACATCGGAGGAATAATTCGCAGCCCCAATCTCGCAATGAAGGTAGGCAATTCCTATTGTTCCCCATGTCGCGTGGCTCCCCAGATTCAGGAGGAAACCAAGGATCGGAGTTGGGCCGGCACTCCACTTTAGGGACTTGACGACTTCGAGCAAACCTGGACCTGGTGGTCAGAGCCATGCGATACACCTGCACATATTCACCATGCACACATCTATATCCCTACACCCTTACACCTACACATACACATACACATTTCCCTTCCTGCTTTTCCCCGACGATCGACTGGACAGCTCGGGAACGCTAGTCCAGGTCAGGCCTAGCGTGACCAGAGGAGCCACTGCCCCTTTCGGACTAGCGGCTGAGCTTCCGGAGTCACGGGTTCTTCTCGATCTGGCCCTTGCTTTCCCTTTGCTCACTCGAAACAGGCTTGGGTGCTATTATGAACACGCATTCGCGTCGCACTTCTCAGGGCAGTCCTGTGTTTCCTGGTAAGCCGTGTCTGTGCAACCATCCCATGTTGCGATACACCAATTCCGTCACTCGGGTACGGTGGATTCTGGAACCCTACTGACGCAAACTCGATAGCATCTCACGACCAATCTGCTGCATTTGGGAGTCGCCAGATGCCCCCTCCTCCCCTCCACACTCTTATTCATCACGGGCTCAGTCCGCCCACGCGCCTGCTTCCCTCATGTCGCGCGATGTCCCCACCAGTCAGGCACACAGGCCGGGCAGCAGCATGTCCATTTCCGCCATGCTAGGTTCAGACCCGGACCGGCCTGCGCGAGAACCCACGCGAGAATCAGCGCCTTTCTTTTCGCGACCATCTGCGTCCCTCTTCGGTAATCCGCCTCCGTCGTCATCGTCTGCCGCCATGTCACCACCGACTGCCCCTGCACGACCACCGCCGCTCGAGAACACCTTCTTCCGTCGCTCGCAAACTCCGGAGAAGTCATTCTCGAAGCCTCAGACGAACCGTGCGTACCGATCGGGGTCCGGTGGTTCGAGCCTGGGTGCAGAGCATTCGACATTCGGGGGCTTGGCGCGCTCGTCGCTCTCCCAGTATCCTGAGAAGCCACACTCGACACATCCTTCGCCTCGAATCTCCTCGGCAGAGGTATCTTACAATGAACCCCGTCGTATGAGCCTCAGCGGGCCGATCGCTAGACCCAGTAGCCAACCACCAAACGCTGAAACACCCTCCCGACCGCCCGGTTACAGTCCGATCTCCCAGCCAGGTGGAGGTGCCTCCGATCGAGCCTTCGAGTCGGGCCCTCGACCTGCGTCTGGATCCTATGGAGGTATTGACTCGCAACACGGTCGGTTTGGAGGTGTGTTTGGTGATCGGCGCATAGATGATGCTATACAGCGGGAACGAGAACGTGCTGCGACACTTGGGGATCCCAAGTTGTCGCAGCCTGGATATCGTTATGGCTCTCACTATGCCGAGCGCGATCCACGGGACCGTGACTCTGGCTCAACGTGGGAGCACCGCTCTCACCCTCCGTCGCCGGAGAGTAAGCGCTTCCCTGCTCCGGACCATGGGTCAACATTCGGGTTTGGCGCTATCCAGAGCTACACCAAGTCGCTCGGGTCGCAAACCGGGAACAGACAATCACAAATTTCCCTACAGTCCCGGAACAGCCAACCCACTCCTCCGCCTCACGATCCTTACGCCAGACATCAAACCCAGCCTCCTCGCTTGGGGTCCACGCCTGCTCTAGTGGTCTCAACGGCGGTCGCCTCCTCCGGGCTTGCAGCCTTGGCGGATGAGGGACGCCGCAAGGGAAGTGATGAGGTTTTGCACCATCGCAGCTTACTGGCTGTCGGTGCAGAAGGTAAGCGCGGTGGCCGTGCCTCTCCGCTGCCGCAAGCTGTACAAGGCGCTCAGGCTCCGTTCATTGGGCCTGCTGGGGAGTCATCCATCAAGAATGACCTGGGTCGTGTCTTCTCCGGTATTGGAAGTGGTGTGGGTGGTGTGACAGCTTCTGCTGGTGGAAGCGGACCATCCACACCTTTGGGCTCCAGCCCGTTCAAGCGTGATAGTCTTACGGGTCGCTCGATCAATGGAGAGGCTATCGATGAGGCGGCGAGACTTGCTCGGCCTCCCTCTGCCTCTGGCAGGCGGTCGAGGAGGCCTCGTGATGAGGAGCAGATGGAACTTGAGGCCAATGACCCTCGTGGTGTACTATCAGCTCGTAACGCGCGTCGGTCTCGGCATGCCCATCACCACCATCATCAGTATGTTCAGCAGTTCTGCGTAGGGTTGTTTCCAGTCACTAACGTTTCTCTAGCCACCATCATCACCGCCACAAAGCAGATGAAGAAGCAGCTACTCTAACCTCCCTTCATCGTCCTACAAACTTCTTTCACCGAACATCCCCAGCGGATCCATCCGCACCCCACCATCATTCCCATCACCATCACCATCATCACCATGCTCCTAGACAGGCTATTCCGGCTGCGTCTCCTATTCGAGAGCCTCGCACCACCGTGAATCTCGAGCCCTTGCTTTCCAGCGTGGCTCACCTCCCCCGTCATCATTTGGGTTCAACTCTGTACACCCCTCGTGTTGGTGCTCCACCTGCTAGATCCTCTGTGGATAGCTCCAAGTTTGGTTACACCACAACTCCTCGGCCTCTTCCTCGTTTTGAGAAGCGTGAGAATTGCACTTTCACCGTTCGGGTTCCCCGTTTCCGTATCGACCAGTCTCACCGCGAAGAGATCTGTGCACGGCGAGCACTCTGGGGAACCGGTGTTTACACAGATGACTCTGATCCCGTCGCCGCTGCCATTCACTCCGGTTTCATCCGCGGTGCTTGGGGCGAGGACGTGGACGAGTCGATGCTCGATCTCGAGATCAAAGATACCTACCAGCACGCACCGCAAGCGCCTGCCGAGGCTGAAGGCAGCAAGGGCAAGTCTCCCTCCAAGGAGCCACGCCTACCTCCCATACCTCCCGCAGACAAGGATTTGCACATTACTCTCCTCGTGCTCCCCCGTCTCGCTCAGTACGACTCTACTATACTGTTCGGCATCAAGTCTCGCAAATATACTGGTCGTCACGACGGCATGAGCTTCAAGATCCATGCTGTGGACTGGGTTGAGGAGGGTGTCGGACGTGGCGAAGAACGTAGCGGTGAGGCCCGTCGCAAACGTCTCCGCACTCTCATGCAGTCCGGTCGCATCTGCACCGGGCCTGCTATGGCAAAGATGGACGAGCTCCGCCGCAGCGGAGTGCAAGTACCTCGCACTATCGACGGGCAGGACAAGCCAGCAGCTGTTCAGCCAGTCTCATAATGACTACATATCTGCGTTGTGACTTGAGGTCTCCCTTGACTAAGACCTCAACATTTCTACTATTTTCTCATATATTCCTTTCGGTCGGCCTTCTCGGTGCCCTTTGGCGGTCCACGGTGTTGGACTTTTTTTGTTTATCATATTTCTGCTGGCCTGTTTGATACCTCTTGCGTTGGTTTGCGTGTTCGGGTCAACGGGCACGGGTGAAAGGGTGGCGTGTAATGTTTGATTTAATTTCCATATACATAATCTACGACCTTATTCGTACTCTTACTTGGTCGTGCTCTTTGTGTTTGTAAATGACTGTGGAGGTATAAATCCCGCTAGTCCTCCCCGCACGCCATTGATCGCCCGGGGCACCGGAGCCTATTTGAAGTAAACAAGTTAAGTTCAGGTGTTATTAACTTATAACTTACATTACATAGTTGACACTTTGAGGGTGACTAGAGGCTAGAGGCCACCTAGAATATTCGATCTGATATCCCTTGTGACCGAGATCGACGACATCATCAACCGAGGCTCAGGTGTGGAGTTATGTAATACTGAATAAATTACATACAGAGGTGAATGCGATAAAGCTGGACATTCAACATAGAAAGAGTGAGGTTGTGAGTCTTGATTCTATGTAGTAAATAGCCTTGAATACCCTCACTATCTCACTATTCCTCTATACACTGACTGCGTTTCCCTCGGGAAGCAATTCGGTCCCGTCCGTAACGGCCATACCGTGTCTTACCGGCTTCCCCGCCAACCGAGGCTCACGGACTTGGCTTGTACTTGGATCTCTCCTAAATTAAGTCCAGCTTCTTCTTCATCTTCTCCTTCAAACTACTTTCTAAATCACAGGGATGTTCACTGCTTCTGCGCGAAGCCGTCTCTCCACCCTCTCAAGGCAACGGCTTCCCCCGAACCCTCTCCTAGCCCGCTCGGTAAGTCGGCCTCCTTCGATTCTCGAGCAATTCCACAGCTTCGCAGCTTCGCAGACTCGGGATCTCCCCTGGCAGCAATTTATTGACACGCTCCCATACAGACTCTCACCATGGCCCCCCGCCGAGCAGCTTCGTCCGTCCCCGAGGGTGAGTGTCACATGCATGCAGCGCGGACCTCCGCTCACCGGCGCTTGCAATTGGAGTCGGAATCGCAATCGCTGACGCTATAGACCAGGATACAAGGAAGATCTCTCTAAGGGCAAAATGCTCCGTTTCGAAGACTCCTCCCTCAACTCCCCGTGCCGTCCCTGGAAGAGACCGGTCGTCGGTACCTGAAATCCGTCCACGCGGTCGTCTCCGAGGCCGAGTACGAGCGCACCAAGAACGCTGTCGAGGCTTTTATCCGCCCTGGTGGTCAGGGTGAGCCTTTGCAGAAGCGTCTGCTGGCTCGTGCGGCCGATCCTAAGATTAAGAACTGGCTTGCGGAGTGGTGGAATCAGGCCGCTTACCTCGGTTACCGGGATCCTGTTATCCCCTACGTCTCCTACTTCTATTCTTACCGTGATGACCGTGAGCGCCGTAATCCTGCTAAGCGCGCGGCTGCTATTACCACTGCGGCGCTGGAGTTCAAGGCGCAGGTTGATGATGGTTCCCTTGAGCCTGAGTATCTCCGCAAGGAGCCTCAGGCTATGAGCTCTTACCAGTACATGTTCAACTGCTGCCGTATCCCTGCCGAGGGGGCAGATTTCCCCCGCAAGTACGCTGCCGCTGAGAACCAGCACATTGTTGTTGTGCGCAAGAACCAGTTCTTCAAGGTGCCTTTTGTCGTGGATGGCCAGCAGCTCAATGTCTCTGAGCTGGAGAAGCAGTTCGAGCGTATCTATGAGATCGCACAGCCTGCGCCGCCGGTCGGTGTCTTAACTGTTGCTGATCGTGACCACTGGACTGCTGCTCGTAAGAAGCTTGTTGCTGCCGATGCGGCTAACGAGCTCGCGCTTCAGGATATTGAGTCGGCTGGCTTCGTGATCTGCTTGGATGACGCCAAGCCCGTCACCCTTGAGGAGCGCGCCCAGCAGTACTGGCACGGTGATGGCTCCAACCGCTGGTTCGACAAGCCTCTCCAGTTCATTGTCAATGACAACGGTACCGCTGGATTCATGGGTGAGCACAGTATGATGGATGGAACACCCACCCACCGTCTGAACGACCACGTCAACAACCTCATCTTCAACAAGAAGATCGACCTCTCCCCCAAGTCTGTCCGCTCCCAGCTCGCAGACCCCAAGCCCATCAACTTCAAGCTGAACGACGAGTCCAACGAGGCCATCGACTTCGCCGCCCAATACCACCGCAAGCAGATCGCCTCCCACGAGCTGGTCGTCCAGGCCTACCAGGGCTACGGTAAGGGCCTGATCAAGAAGTTCAAGTGCAGCCCCGATGCCTTCGTCCAGATGACCATCCAACTGGCCTACTTCAAGATGTACGGCAAGAACCGTCCCACCTACGAGTCTGCCTCCACCCGCAAGTACGCCGAAGGCCGTACCGAGACCACCCGCTCCGTCTCCGATGAGAGCGTCGCCTTCTGCAAGGCCCACCAGGATCACACCACGCCCCGCGAGGAGGTCGTCAAGCTGTTCCGTGCTGCCCTCGCCCAGCACACCAAGTACACTCAAGAGGCTAGCGCCGGCCACGGCGTCGACCGTCACCTCTTCGGTCTGAAGAAACTCCTCCAGCCCGGCGAGAAGCTGCCCGAGATCTACCAGGACCCTGCTTTTGCCTACTCCAGCTCTTGGTACCTGTCCACTTCCCAGTTGAGTTCTGAGTATTTCAACGGATACGGATGGAGTCAGGTCATCGATGATGGATTCGGAATTGCCTACATGATCAACGAGAACAGGTGAGTCCACCACACTTACCCTCCACTCTGTTTATCTGTCTTGTCTTGTCACATAGCTAACCTTTATTCCTCAGCCTCAACTTCAACATCGTCTGCAAGCGTCTCGGCGCCCAGCGCATGAGCTACTACCTCAGCGAGGCTGCCACCGAACTGCGCGACCTCCTCATGCCCGACCTGGTCGCTCAGCCCGAGAAGCCGAAGCTGTAAATGTATTCTCGCATATACCCGGTTTTTTTGCTTTTGGGAAGATTTTGTCTTTTATTACATGTATCTCGTTCCGATAGAAGGTATATCTTATGTCGATTTTTAAATCAAATCACTTGTATTTTCTTCGCTATCCTGTATAAGACTTTATTTCTTTTAGATTGTCTTTCTTTTCTGTTGATTGGAATTACGGGGTATATATATTAAGATTATTAGCTATCCGTACAAAAGGACTTGTCTCAAGAAAGAAGAGCGGCTTCAGCTGCACTGGATTTCACGTCACCTAGACTTTGTAGCTGATATCATGTCTATCAAATAACCCCGATTTGTGTTCTATATACCTCTTGACCCAATCGCCGAAAAGTCGCTTATAATTGCTGTCAGTGAAGGGTTCTTCATAGCATAACACCTATTTCCATTTGTTAGAGTCTACAGGAAACAGATCCGTTAAACACGATAAACTCGCTAAACCCGATTATTGTACCGTTGTACTGCATTTGTATTTGTACATAGCCACGAGGGACTGGAAGCGTCTGTCAACATGCCACATATTCTGCATGCAAAGTAAATCCACACTGTCCAGATTTGGAAAAGCAAGATGAAATCCGACAAAAAGTGGAATCAGCCATACCGTAGACTGTCATGACAATGAGACTTTTACCGCATCGGCCTGTCATTGAAGGAGTCTGCAAAAGATTTCAAAACGCTGCCCAGATGCTCGGAACCCATCATGTCATGAGACAGATGAAGCGAAATCGAATAGACTCGATATCCTCCACAAAATCTAGGCGCCAAGGGTTCAACATTGATATTTGTTGGGATGTGAAAGGGATTTGACTCCGTCATGGTATTGTATCACATATGAAGCTGACACCCGCGTTGCCTGATGTGTCAATCATCGCCTTGTAGGATACTGCGAGGCCCCATAGGGTTTTCAGTCTTTACCGTCTCGTGATCCCACGGCAGGTGGGTCCCCGGCCTCGGGGCCCGCTTGCCCGGAAACAACACCAGATCTAGGTGCAGATGCCCCGGACGTTGTCATTTCTCCAATTTGTCTCTCTATTCAGTGTCAGCATGCCCAGATTAAACTCCACTGCGGAGCGGGGTAGCCGCAGAAATATTGCGGGATTAAAGAGTTGATAATCTTACCTAGTTCCCGAATCCGTTGTCGGAGTAGAATGTTTTCTCGGCCAAGTGAGCTAGCTTCGGCTTGGTAAAACGCACTTTCGTCCCGACTTCCCCGCCGAGATGGACTGAACCCCGGGAATGCCTCCACACCAGAGTCTAACGGTCGCAAATTGGGCGATGCTGCTTGACTGGATGGGCGGGAGGGACGTCGGTTCGAGAAAGAAGACGAGATCGACAGTCTGTTGCCTGCAGGACCGGTGGGTGCATGTGTTTGGGGTAAGAATGCCGACCGTTCGGATGACGGGGTGTCGTCGATTGCGGCCGTTGACTGCGCGTTCGGTTGCTGTGGATTCTGCTGTTGGTACTGCTGCAGTTGGGCCTGCTGACTGCGAATCATCTGCAATAGGCGGTTCTAGTGGAGCAAAAAGGTTAGCTTATCAGCTAATGCGATTGTGCTTGCACTAGAGGTGAGGTGAGGACCAACCACTTGCGCTTCCTGCTCTTGTTCCAACTCCTGGTGCAGCTCCCCCAGCGATGGTGCTCGCTGATGATGGGGGTCGGCTGTCGCAAAGACGGGACTACTCCCATGGCTGGATGGGCTGGTTGTGCGGAATGCATGCCCGATGGAGCTGCGGTGGTCTGATGGGACAGCGTCGCCGTTATTTGCCGGCATCTCATTCAAGTTTAAATTTATGCCGGCCGCTGACCGACGGCGCTCAGATACCGATAATCGGCCTATGCTTGATCCACGGGAGGGTCTTGGGGATGTGGTAGCCGCCGTGGCGGGCGGGGCATTTGGTGAAGCAGAAGGCATGTTGCGGTATGGGATCGAGGAAGAGATCGAGGAAGAGCGAGATGGTGGGAGAGAGTTGAGATCAGGAGACATCTGGAATGGTGTTGATGTCGAATAGCTATGATGGCAAAGCTCCAAGCTGCAACGTACGTCAGGCCATCCTGAGATCTGCTGACTCATCCTGTTTTCGCGGGGTCAGTCACATGATGTGTATCTGCTTAGGGGCTAGTTCTATTCCTGCCTGAGGCCGAATATGCCAAGCAAACCAAGCAAACCAAGCGAACCAAGCAAACAGGAAATCCATGCCCTGTGCTTCGAGTAACTACTACATGGATGTACGGAGTATGTAACATCTCACTTGGTGTACTGTTTGGTGTACTCCTTGGTGTACTATCCTTTACGCACCAACTATCTGGCGTGTACGACTTTGCATCTGTACAAGCTATGTTCCTAACCCGAGCCTGAGGATCACGGTTCCGGAACATGGTCTAGACTTGGCGTACCAAGGTCATTTCAGCCACAGTAAAATCTTCTCTTCCTGCAATTGGAGGCCCCTGGTGGTGCGCAGGTCAAACTTGCAAATCTACAGGGAACAGGCACCGGACCTTCCGGGTGGCGCCAAACCTTCATGTTTTTATAGTGTGTCTATAAATGCGTAAACATCCATCCCTAGATCCTCGCCGGAAAGATCACCACTCGCGTGGCTTCGCATACGATCTTGTCGATCCTCCAGCGAGATAATTTGCCATGTGCAGGAATGCAGGGTTACATTCCCCAGGCCGAGTCCGGGGGAAGCCCCTGCGGTCGTGGTTGTTTCCGGACAACGTACATGCGGTCCACCCTCGGCGATGTGACTTGGTGAACCAGCTGAACGCTCTGTCTGGTCTTTTGCCCCAGTCTGCCACGAAGGCAAGGAGTCGACGGGCGACGAAGTTGAGGGAATTTCAAGAAATAACTTAAACCTTGTACACGTAAGTACATGTGGGAGGCCCTGTCAAGCAAGGGACTGCGATCGACCATTTCTCGTGGTTGACAGTCAATCTTCCATGCACGGTTCTGGAAAGGAAATTCGGGAAACTACGGCGAGAATTTGTAAGATTGGATGATCGGGCCGGGATCAATTTGTCTGGCAAGGTAACCGCACTCCGAGATCAGACAAGACTTGTGGCCCCTGCCCAGACGACGATCGCCAGAACGCCAGAACGCCACGCCCGTAATGGCGCCATGGCGACCTTGGGGCGCTGTAGCCGTGCGCTTGGATTTTGTCTGACCCACGAACGACTGGCGCGTTGGCGGCCCCTTGACGTCACAGCGGACAGACCGAAGCATGTCTTCAACGAATGGCATCTTCGCAGAGTTTTTTTTACTGTCAGAAGAAGATCCATCAGGTCCTTTGCCCCCGTCGTATTGTATCAGAACCACGCGAACACAATATACATGTACTCCTTGCTTCGCGGGGCAGTATATCAGCGTAGACTCGAGGTTGCATGGGCCTGAACAGACTACCCGATTCGGTCATTCCTAGGCAAAGTATCGGCCCAGTTCGGGCTCCTGGCGCCAGGTTGTCTCCGGGGAAATGCCGCATCCTTTTCTCCAGGGTGGGTCTACTTCCCCGTGGGCTCAATCCGGTGAAATCAGCAAGTAGGTAGAACACAGCAAATAACAACCATCAGCTGTGTATATGAACGAAGTAGAATAGATGTATCTGATATACATTTGATGTATTTCAACAGAAAAGAAGAGAAAGGAATATATGGGGATGAAACGTGGGTAAAAACATGGGGAAAAAAGTCGGCATCCCGTAAAATACCAATACCATACATGTACAAGTCTGCGAGGTACCTTCCCTTTTGACCTTCTGGCTGTTTCCGTATTTAATCATCCTGCTTCCCTCTGGGTCTTCCTTCTTTTCTCTTTTCTTTCTCATCCTTGCCTTCCCCGGGTTTTCTTGGTGACACCTTACTATCCTATACTTCTGTCCATCATGGCTTTCGAGAAGCCTAGGGACACTGTCCAGGCCGCAGAGGCGGCGCATGCCCAGGCTGTGGTCAATGCTGCTACTGAAAAGTTGGAGGAAGAAGATGACCAGTTGGAATTGGCGTCCCCGTCGGAGCAGGTCGAGCTCACTGAGGACATGTGCTACGACCAACTGGGATACTCCTTCAGCGAAACGAAGAAATGGACCATCATCACCGTGATTTTCTTGGTGCAAGTATCCATGAACTTCAACACTTCACTCTACTCCAACGCCCTCTCCGGAATCTCCGAGGAATTTGGCGTTTCGATGCAGGCAGCCCGATGCGGTGCCATGATCTTCTTGGTTCTCTACGCCTTCGGTTGTGAACTCTGGGCGCCCTGGAGTGAGGAATTGGGCCGCAAGCCCATCCTCCAGGCTTCGCTTCTCCTCGTCAACATCTGGCAACTCCCTGTGGCGCTCGCCCCCAACTTCGCCTCCATCATGGTTGGCCGTGCCCTGGGTGGTCTCTCCTCCGCAGGTGGCTCCGTCACCCTGGGTATGATCGCAGACTTGTGGGAACCTGATTCACAACAGTATGCCGTCGCAGCAGTCGTCTTCTCGTCAGTCGCTGGATCGGTTTTGGGTCCCGTCGTCGGAGGTTTTGTCGAGGCTTTCTTGCCGTGGCGGTGGAACATCTGGATTCAGTTGATCTTCGGCGGTTTCGTTCAGGTCGCCCATTTCTTCTTTGTCCCAGAAACCCGAACCACTGTATTGATGGATCGCATTGCCAAGAAGATGCGCAAGTCTGGCGAGAAGCCCAACATCTACGGTCCCACCGAGGGCATGTCTTTCCGTCAGCGCTTCCCACCTCACGAACTCATGATGACCTGGATTCGCCCTTTCAAGATGTTCTTGACCGAGCCCATTGTGTTGGTCCTCTCTCTGCTGAGTGGTTTCAGTGACGCCCTGATTTTCATGTTTATTCAGTCGCTCTCGCTCGTGTACAGCCAGCATGGCTTCAACACCTGGGAGAAGGGTCTGGCATTCATCCCCATTGTGATCGGTTATTTCATTGCCTGGTTCTCCTTCTTTCCGGTGATCAAGCGAAACATCAAGGAACGTCGTGACAACCCCGAGAGTGAGCGGGCTCAGTATGAATCTCGTTTGTGGTGGTTGTTGTATACCGCTCCCTGCCTCCCGATTGGTCTGATTGGCTTTGCCTGGACCAGTTTGCCACAATGCCATTGGATTGGATCTATGGTCTTTGCGGCGATCATTGGTATCGCCAACTATGCGATCTACATGGCTACTATCGACTACATGATTTGCGCCTACGGCCCGTACTCTGCGTCTGCCACTGGTGGCAATGGATGGTCTCGAGACTTCCTTGCTGGTGTTCTTACCATCCCGGCTACACCATTCTTTGAAAGTAAGTTTACATACCTCGATCTTCTTATATCGTACTGACTTGATGTGATAGACATTGGTGGCAAATACCATCTCGAATATGCCTCGACTATTCTGTTCTGCATCTCGGTGCCTCTCGTCGTTGCGGTCTACATTATCTACTGGAAGGGCCCGGAGCTGCGCAAGCGCTCTCCATTCGCCCAGCAGCTCGAGGATGCGCGAAACCAGATGCACGTCCAGGTTGCAAGCCGACGAGGATCCAAGGTTCCTCAGGAATCGCGCGCAAACTCATATGCTCGCTCGCAGCAAGATCTCCGCATTCGCCCAACACTGGGCAGCCGCGGAAACTCGCGAGTGAACTCTCAGGCCAATTCCCGTGCCAACTCTCGGGCCAACTCGCGCCGCAACAGTATCAATGCTTAAAAACCGTTTATTTTCTGCTGTGGAACCCTGCACAGGCCTAGCGATAGTGTTAGTCACTGTCATGGGATCTAAGAGAGCATTTCCACTTTTCTTCTTTGTGCATGTTTTGGCCGTATGAATCCTAACGCTGTGCGTGAATGGCTTTAATTCTTTCCCCCGACGCTCGGTGGATATACCCACTAGTGTTCTCTCTAGATCACCTGGAATTGTCGATAGAAGCACAGGCGCGGGCTATTCAACTAATTGTTTGCTTTGACTCGAAAGAGATATACGATCTGGGGGTGTCATGTATGCTATGGGTTCTCGCGACAGCGATACCGGTCATGAATTATATCAATATTGTTACTTCGTATTAATCATTCCTACGCCAACATCCTTCGCATATCATGTAAATATCGATATAGTAAAAATGAGGGTATCCACATCCCCAGATAATGATCTACAATGCGGAGACAGAGACCTGGGGCCTCCGGCAGTTGGATCCCCACTACGATCCGGCTAGCAGATCCGGCTTCGTATCGAATGATACCGGGACCAAGGAGATAGTACAGCGTAGCATCAATCGCCAGGTCTGTGTGTCTCAGTGTCCGCATCCGGTCCATCACCCGGACTGGTATACTACGAGATATGAACTATGGTCAATGAAGCTGATGTAAATGATTGACCAGGGAGTCTTCTCTTGGATGATACCATCACCCTTTCCTCTCCCTATTTGTCATGTATGGTAGCATGGGCCTTGGCTTTGCTCGGGTCACATCCGGGCTTGGGTGGCTTGGCTTTGGGCTTTGGTCTCCAATGCAATCGTAAGGGTTGGTATGGTGCTGGGTGTTGATTAAATTTAATTGGAGCGGCATATTGTGTCTATTTAAAGAGGATGTAGGCAATTGAACTGTCCAATATATCATCATGTAGTTGATTTGGTGATGTCCACTGGTCGTCTACATCGACCTTCACGTAAGATTTATATTGCACCCGGTTGAGAGGTTGTAGTGTGATTTGTTCGAGATACATAGTTCATTGTGGCATTCCTGAGACATGCTTAGCTATATATCTGACTAACAAAGCACTTCTTTGTGGTGTGTGATCTAGTGAACTGTTGCTTGGAAGTGAGCATTTCTTGTAGCGGTGTGTACTAATATGTGCATATGCACTCAATAATGCAAGGAATAATCAAAGACAGACGTACGTACCACAAGTGTATAAACCCAGTCTATTGATGGAATTATCCAACATCAAATATAGATGCAGTCTAATGTTATTGAGTACATACTTACGATAAGATACCCGGTCCGTGCGTTGTCCCTAGGTACGCAGCTCCTCCAATTCAACTCAATCCTCAACACAACTAAAGATGAGTCTACGGTCAACACTGCGTCTCTGCAGACCCTCAACTATCAGACCACTGCAGTCGGTCACACCACGTCTGCGCCTGCAGGCCGTCCCACGGATGGCCAGCACCCTCCAATTTGCCGAGGGCGAAGACAGGCAACAGCTAACTCGCGATGCCGAGGCTCTGCTACAGCAGGGGTGGGCCCTCGATGGAGAAGGGATGGGAATAACCAAAACGTTTCATTTTAAGAGCTATTTCAAGGCTGTCGTGAGTTTTGCTTTTCCTGGCTTATTTTTGCGCGTCCCTGTTCAGTGGTTGCAGCCCTGGAGGTGAGTGAGGATATGCTGACTGTTTAGTCATTTGTGAACTTGATTGCAGCAGAGAGTGCGTCGAAGAAACATCATCCCACCATGACTGTGGTACGTGAAGTCCAGCTCTCTGTATAGAAAGGAAATTAAGGCTGACGCGCTGCAGCGGATCGGGTCGGTCGACGTCCACTGGACCACTCATCGCCCGCGGGGCTTCACTTCCAAGGATGTGGCTTTGGCTCGGCACTGTGAGCAGGGCGCTGGTCTGATGGCCGTTGATCCCAGTCAGGGATTGAACTGTGCGAAGGGAAAGTGACCTGTCCATTTCGATGGCCTATGCTTCGAGCTCGAATTTGAGGAAGTGGAGATCCATCTCTACTATGAGCCGTATTTTCTTTGTGTATGATCTGCAATTTATGGGATATTTAAGGGGCGATGTATTGAGCTATTCCTGTCTGTACTATCACCTATCACCCTGACGTCCCCCCACCGGGCTAGCCAAGTTGTGGATTTCCCCTTGAAATCTTCAATTCCGACACTTCGGATTCCAACTTTGCTGTTTTTCCGAAAGGGTTGTCCTTCATTTGTGTCACTTCCAAGGTTGCCATGACGTTTGGACAGCGGTCCTGCAGGATTGCCCACGTTCGCTCGTCATTGCGACGATCATTGCCTTAAAAACTTCGCTCCTTTTCCCATACTAGAATTTCAGAATTTCAGCCCTGAACTTCCAACTTCCAGGTGCACGCCATGAATCCGGGCGCTCAGTCTTTTGGCGAGCGCAGAGGGCATCGGCTCGCCCCGCTGCAGACCAATTTTAGCCGTCCAACGGCTTCGAAATCCCAGTCGCAACGGCCGCGGCCGACGGAATACCCCAGTACCAATGGTTCAGAAGGCCCAGTTCCGCTCCAAAGTCCGGTCACGGTAAAACGGCAATCCTCCAAAACAAGTCTGCGCAATCTTTTTGGGCGCGACAAAACTTCGCGCGTCCCCGAGCCGAAACTGGAGGAAATATACGAGTCCCTACCTGAACCGCAGACGGCCATCTTTACTGAAATGCCAATGTCGCCGTCGCTGATGAGTCCCCGTACGATTGACTCGGCCCCGACGATTACCTCCCCGACCACCGCCCAGCGTCCTCGCGCAACGTTGAAGACCGCCCGTCCGATACCGCTGGAGGGAAAGCTATCCGCGCAGGATCAATATGGTTGGAAACCGCCCCCGTTGTTCCAAGCTTACCCCCAATCTACCAAGCATGACTGCCTCTCCGCACCTGCGCTCTCCGCCGACTCGATCTTGCGCCTACACGCCATACGGGCAAAAAACTCGATCGATGGAGCTACCGTCAATGCCCTGGAACAGGATGAGGCTGCCAATGCGGCTCGCAAGAGACGCGAACAAAAAGAGAGAAAGCATCTGAGGACACTTTCTGGCACCATCAACAAGGTGGAATGGACGCAGAAGATATATGTGCTGGCTACGGCGGGTTATATCCTGCAGTATGCAGGAGATGGAAAGCACGATCGCTTGCCGGAGAAAATGTTGCTCTTGGGACCCAAGTCTGTCGCATTTGCCAGTGATGCCATTCCGGGGAAACATTGGGTTCTTCAGGTGTCTCATAACCCTTCAACAGACCCAGATTCCAGCGTGCCCGAGCGTCCTAAACCTCGGTTCTCGCGCTTTGGCTTTCCTCGTTCCAATACCCGGCGCTTTGCGGGTAGCTTTCTCCTCATCTTTGATAATCCCGATGCGATGATCGCTTGGTTGACAGCAGTGAGGGAGGAGATTGAGAAACGGGGAGGACCGAAGCTCACACAGGAGAAACACTCGGAGGATGAAATGCCCCAATTGCGGTCTAAGTCGAGTATCAGACAGATGGTGAAGAAGGATCCCCATCGTATTTCCAGTCTGTTCCTTCAGCCCCAGACTCTCCAATCTCCAACCGAGGAGGATGATGGGCTGTCTGTTGGTGGCACAACTTGGCAATCCCGCCGCAGCTCTTACGTATCAGTCAATCGCCGATCTGTCATTGAATCTCGATCTGGGTCGGTGTCGACTAGTCGAACTGAAGCTACGAATCCTACGAATGGGTCCGGACTTTCGTCTGTTTCTGACGTACGTTCCTCGTCATTTACTTCTTCGAACGTACCCAACTCGCCGGTGAACGGTGCTTTCATGTCTGATGAGCCTCTGCCTGAAGTGGCTGATCGCACTCTTACGCGCAGTCCGCCTTCTTCGAGTCATGGAGTTCGACAGTCTGTCTATATGTCTCCGATCCCTCCACCTCTACCCATAACCGACGTGATGGAGCAAGCCCCTTCGCCACCTGTGCCTGAGACCCTCATCCGGAGTGCATCACCCCCAGCGCCGAATTTCAGTGTTCCCTTGTTTAGCAAGAAATTCGTCCCCAGAGGTGGACCGGTACCAATTTCGCATGCTTCCCCTCCCGTATCAAGCAACGCGTTCTCTCGTCGAGTTGACTTAGCCGATCCGAATATGTCTACATTCTCTTCTCCGCCGCAATCTCCTACATTTAGCGTTGCCAGTTCGCGCCAAACGGACTCATCCGAGCCTCGGCGTATTCTGCGTGTTTCCAACTCGGAGGATGCATTGGCAAGAACGGTGCGCTCTACCCAGAACGGCACCATCTTTTCCCGCATGCCTCGAGCACCACCTCCGACAGGACCACTACCAGACCCGACTTCTTCCTCTCGCCCTACGAGCATAGTTGGCCGTCCCGGAATGAGGATTCAAGATACCAGCGAGCCGCAGGTTCCAACTGCTCCCCCGGCAGATCCAGCACCACGCAACAGAGTTTCGACCGTTTATCCTGATAATCATCCTTTGAACATGTCTCGCCGTAAGAGCATGCCAGGTCTGGGCCTGTCAATTGGACCTCCCGCTGCACCACCTCCCAACTGCCCACTTCCGAAGCTTCCCTCACTCACGAATCCCGCTGGCACTGCCACTGCAACTCCCGCTCCAGCTCCTGCTGTGACTCCGTCTCCACATATGTTGTCGCCCTTGTCTCCGACTTCTCCAATGGAACGGTTTTACGGATCCCAGCCTGTGCGAGACCATGTCGAGGATCGTCGAGTAAGCGGTAACAAGCCTGGTACCACAGCAGCCCATGCAAAGCCACTTGCAAAAGCTCAGCATTCGAAACTGGTTAAAGGACCACCAGTATAAATACCTCCTTGCAACATAACATACCTTATACGACATTTCGCTCCCTCATAAATACCCCCGACGTCTTTTGACTACGACATCTCTTCTCCTGCGCTATTATCTCTCATGAAAACACTGAGATATCACTCCCTGCACCTCTTTTCCTTCCCTACTATTCACTTCTCACCATGTGATTATTACCACCATTATATCTGGCATTTTGCGACCTCGGCATTGGATCCTGCATTTCTTGCATGTTATATTCCCTTCGCATCCATTTATAATTCTCTACCACACAAGACGATACCCCTTTTGTGTTCATACTTCTTCTCCTCTTCCCTCTTCGCTTCGCATATGTGTTCTTATCGGCTTCGGCTTTGTATTTGTATATACCCCTTTTTTTCTTGATTTTGGAATGTGATTGGGACTAACATCACATATAGAATGTGAGGAGCTGTGATATTACCATCATTACTTTACTATCTACTTTGTACTATTTTGCATAAGCACTATCCGTTGAAATCTACTTTGTTCTCGAGTCGACTTGGAAACTATACAGTTCTGCGGGGCTAAGACAACATTTACACATGAACTTCTTGCAGAAAGCCACTCATCAGTAACATCCACACGATATCTAACCTAATCCACCAGTAGAACAGTCAAAAACATGAACAACCCTTTCAAGCTCGCCACTTCTTCAGAAGACGAACCATCCGAGTTACGCTCAAACGCATAGTGAAGCACTGCGCCAAGTATAGCAGCCATCTGCGCCACATCATGGATCCCTTTCCGACGTTTACAATCATCCTCTTCTGCTTCCCGGGTGCTCATGAGCTCCTCCCAGATTGTATTGCGCGGCTTTTCTCGGCAGGTAGTTTCTCTAACCTTCGAGACTCATGTATCCCGTCATTAGGGTCAGAGGGTATTGTTCCATGCCGAATGGTGGCACTTTGACTAGAGACCAGTCTTTGATACCGACTATGTCCAATGTGTCTTCGTGGACGAGGATGTTTGTTTTGGAGATGTCACTGTGGGTTAGGGTCTGGGGGTATCTCTGACCGAAGAGGATTGGGAGGCTATCTTCTAGTTTTCTGGCTGTTTGGTCCTCGATTATAGGTATCTACAATCAGTTCCCATACACATAAGTTAGCCTAGGCATCTGGATATTGTCCATGTTATCTGTGTTTTGCTGTTGATTGTAGGCATAGTTGAGACAGATATAAGTGTGAATGCCTGTCTATACTGTACATGGACGCGATCTTACTGGATCTACGTGTAGGGCCATTGCTCAATCAGGCGCAATGAAATCCATTCATACATGCAAGCTCTAGACGCCATGAGAATCCTGTTAAAATACAATACGCGCGAAAAGTAGTTTTGAAACCCGCTTCCTTGATCATATGCGATCCAACAGCTTTGAATATTGTTCGGAATATAGAGACACTACTCTGTCTCTTCTTCCACCCGCGCACTCAGATCTCGTTTCACGGCAGCCGTGGGAGTTGAAGCTGGTTCGGCAGAAGTTGTGGTTGCTGAGGCAGTCGTTGCTGAAGGGGCTGCGGCTTCGGTGACTGCGGGAGCAGACGCCTTGCCCTTGCCCTTGGACTTTTTGGCCTTTTTGCTCTCCTTGGTCTATAGATAAGATAAATGGTTAGCTATACTGGGCTCTATGGGAGAAAACAGAACCGAGCTTACCTCTTGCCAGCCCCATAGAGGCTTGAAACTGTCAAAGAATCCAACGTCTTCGAACAAGTTGGGGAAGAGCCAGAGACCGGGAGGAGCAGCGAACACGGTAACGCAGAACAGAATCAGACGGAAGATAGACATGGCGAAGAAGAGACCAAGTAGTCCCATCATGCCAACACTCAGGTACCACACACCCTGGCGCAGCATGATGGGCCAGAGTGGGAAGAGGACAACAGCAAAGATACCAGCAACGACCGCGGCAGCCATGGCCTTCTGCTTCCACTGCGGGCCGTCGTATAGCCAGACGTAGTGCATCATAGGGTCAGTTTCCTGGTGCTGCTCAATCTTGACAGTCCACAGACCCTTGGTGCGGTTCTTAGGTTTGGCGTGGTCATGGCCTGCATGCGGGTCGACCTTGCTTACTCGGAGAGCTAGCAGGGACAATGGAAGAAGCTTAAATACGTTCTCTGCTGAGGCGCGGTCTGTCACGGGGGGTAGGAGGGAGTTTTTCTTTGCGGCAGCTTTGGCGTATGCGGGAGATTCAATGGCACGGATTGCTCGCTTGACTAGATAAAGAGGAGATAGTTAGTTTGGTCTGACTTATTTATACTGACACGGGTTCAGATTGCTGCTTACCCTTAAACATGTCCTTGCGCTGGCCGTCCATGATACATGTGCGCGGCTTGAGGTTCTGCGACCGCAGCCAGTTGGCGACTGCAATCGCCTTTGGGTCGGGAGGGTTGTTTGGGTTCACAGGAACCTGCTGTTGTGTCTGGTGTTGGTGTTGCTGGGGAGCTTGGGCCTGGCCCTGTTGCTGTTGTTGTCCGGGTTGTCCACCCTGTTGCTGAGCTTGCTGGGCTTGCTGTTGCTGTTGCTGCTGGTGTTGCTGCATTGCTCGCATCCGCAACTGTGCGACATACTGCTCAGTAGTCAGACCGAGCTTCTCGGCGTCGGCAGTCAGTTGTTCGCGCTGCTTCTGGGCGAATTGTTCAGGCGTCATCCCTCGTTTGGCGGCTTCGGCGGCGAACTGTTGCTGCATGGCCGCCATCTGCTGGGGACTGGGGCCGGGCGCGGCCATAATGAATATTAAAACGGGCGATTAAACTTGGGTAAATACGGAGAACAGAAAGCCGAAAATAAAGTGGTGGTGTTGGGGGAGTTGGTGAAAGAAAGAAAGAGAAGTGGCCAGATTGACTCAGGTGATCGGCCCGCAGCTCTTCCCTTCCTCACAAGTCGAGTATCAAGTCACTATGAGCCCCCATGTCAGTTTCATATGACTCGTCAGCCACCTTGGTAAACGCTACTTGGGTAGCTGTTCTACTAGTGAGTGTCTCTATGCAATACACGAACACAGTGTTAATTCAGCCAGAGTGAACGCGATGTCGCCGGTCAGATCCCACTCAACTTCGTGACAAACCCCGCGGTGTCGCTGTCGGCTGCCTGCTTTGGAAATGGCATATATGATAAAACTGCGGCGTCTCAATGTTTCTCGAATCTGCTAGCAATCGGATACCGGCGCCTTGGTCTCGACCTGTACTGGTCGGCGGACCGTAGGAGTTGGTCCTTCTGTCCGGTCTCTGTTCCAACCAAGGCCGACGTGATAGTGTCCTCGGAGACATCCGCTGTGAGCAGTACCTCTCAAACGTCTACTATTACTACAGCTGCCACGACCTCAACAGCTGATGCGGAGCCTGCGACTATTACTGGATATGACGATTCCCACGGGGATACCCTCTACAAGCTAGGACCGTATAGGTGCACCAATGATCTGGACCCGTACACATTAGCCCAGATACTCGCGGGTTACTTCCAAGACACCAATGCGCGCTTAACCGTATATACTACCTATCTCGTTCTCAATCTTCATGTCGCCGCGAGTGACTCGGCACCGGATTATCCGGCCTCTGCGATCACTGGAAATCAGTTGCCATCAGAGAATGAGCGAGTCGGCAGGATCCTTGGGTCTGCTCTCAAAGACTTCATATACAGCCCGGCCCAGCTAGCAGCAGACCGCAGCAATTTGAATGGGTCCTGGTATCAGGTCGATCAGAGCTACATGCCAATCACGGAGTACTTCACTATTCATGAGAATGAAGCAGGCGAACAAAGCACCCCGGATGGCTGGCCATCATCAAAGTACATCCAGCTAGCTAAGCGTGACCGTCTACTTATCGAATACGGCTCCGTGGATCCTCAGCTGGCGGACTACGATTTGTCTCTAGATGAAGATTCGATCTTTCCTCCTGGGTATCTGACGTCCGCGGTGGATGTTTCCGCCACAACGAACGGCACCCTCACATCAGGCTGTCTATATGAACCGAAAGCCACGGTTATATCTCAGGCCAATTCATCATGGGCAATGTCCAATAGCATACCAATCCCGGATGGTCTTCCCACATACGATACAATGGCGTCAATATCAAACGTCCTCTCCGACATCACATCCTGTGGGATGTCGCCAATGCTCAACACCACTCTCTTCGGTGAGACTGCCGACACTAATGTTGAACACTACCGCAATGTCTCCCTTTCGACATCTTGGGCCTGGGCCTTCGGGGAGCCCCGCGACGCGACTTATGGCGGTGGTGAGGGTGATCCAAAGTATGACCGCTGCGCCATCATGGATCTCACATCCAACGGCCAATGGCGGTCCACGAACTGCACCGAGCAGCGGCGCGGTGCTTGTCGAATTGGCAACTCGCCCTTCTCCTGGGTCCTGTCGGCTGAGTCTACATATTTCTCTAATGTGTCAGATACATGTCCAGAGGGAACGAGCTTCGCTGTGCCACGCACAGGTCTCGAAAACAGATATCTTTATAAACACCTCCTTTCTTTGTCGGAAACGGATATCAATCCAGCTTCCACGCACGCCGCTCTTCGTGAGGTCTTTATCGACTTCAATTCTATTGATGTTACTTCTTGCTGGGTTTCCGGTGGTCCTAAGGCTAGCTGTCCTTATGCCTCTGATCCGCAGGAACTCGAGCACAGAACTGTGCTCGTTGCTGCAATCGCTGGTATTATCATTCTCATTATTACAGCTTTGACTTTCTTTGTCAAGTGCAATGCCAACCGTCGGAATTCTCGACGGGGAAAGCGCATCATTGAAGGTTGGGAATACGAGGGTGTTCCCTCATAGCGCGCTGCCCTGTCCTTTCATCTTCTGATATATAATATATCACTCTACTGAGCTGGTTCTGGTCTATGTACTATATTTTTACCTATATCTCCTGGCTGTTGCCGGTCAGCCTACTTGAACAAATGATACCCCACTGGCGCCGAACGCGCCTTTCACGCAGCATGCATCTTGAGCAAACTGGTTATCTCGCACATCATAGAAATCTTCTAGATTCGACACGCGAGATATGGGACATTATCAGAAAGCTTCGAGATCTGATTCATATGCCTTAAGAGTTTTAATGCTTCCTATAAGGGTAGATATTGTCATAAGCAATTGTTCAATTGGATTGCTCACAGATCCGAAACTACATATAACAACAATGGAACCATAACGTTAATACACCGAACAATATCCAAACATATTCCCATGAAAATGGAACCAATGAAAGCGGGATATCGGAGTCCCCAAAAAACCAAGTCGCTACATGCCAGTCATAAAGAGAAACCAAAAACTCCTGAAAATACAAGTGATATCATATTCAAAGTCCGGCGAAGCGGGCCCATCCAGCGGCCCGAACTGGCGATGCGCCGGGAGTCTGGTTCTGGGTATGGGTGGGCATCTCCTCAACGATGGGTTCGCTGCGGCCTTCTTCGGCGACCTTGCCGCTGACATCGCGGCGGCGGCCAACGCCCAGAACGGCGATGTAGCTTCCATACGAGGACAGGGAAGCACCCACGCCAGCGGCAATGCTAGGTCTGGCGGTGTCTGCGCCGGAATTGCTCACGACACGGCCTTGACGGTCACCCTCAGCAGCGTTGAGGGCTCTAGGTGCGAGGTATCCATCTTCACCATCACTCTCATCTTTCTTGAGGGCTTCATAGGCTGACATCTTCTTGGTGCGCTTCTTTTTAAGCTTGGTTGGTTTCCTGATAATATCATAGCTGGGCTCGCGGGTGGTATCCAGTCCAGGCTTGCCAGGAACATCCAGCTCACCATAAAATCTGCTCCCGGGTGGAGGCGAGTCGGCATCTTTGTGGGGAACAGAAACTGGCTGGGCGTTTCCGTTGTAGGACAAGTTAGGGTTGTCGCTCAAAACAATGCGTCTCACGGGATCAGTGTCCTCAGGCTTTTCAGTTAAAATAGGCTGCGGAGTGGGTGGGTTGAGCATGAGGGGGTTGAATGGAATAGATCCATTGGGCTCGTCGTCCATGTCATCTTTGTGCTCTTCAGGATCAGGGAAGATATCCATGCGCTGGTCACCCACGTCCAATTCACGTTGGTTGGCGTAATTGCCGTAGTACTCATGCGTAGCGAGAGATGCATATTCTCCTCGAACATCTTCTGGAATAGCATTTCCAATGTTGGGGGCAGGTTTAGAACCATAGGCAAACCAATCACGAATACCGCTACCGGTGGATGTGTTACTGCGACGGCTGTAAACAGAAGAGGACTGGCGAAGAGTATTTTCGTTCACATTTTGAGCTTCACTCATTGGGGATTGAGAGCGTTCGGAGTATGCTACCCAGTTGTCAGACACTGGACTGGCATTGTCCGATCTATCGGCAGTGCGGGATGACAAATGACGCATTTGAGCAGTAGCATTGATAATTTCCGGGGCATGCGACGCAACATTTCGATACTCTGGAGCGGGTGTGGGTGTCTGCGATGTAATATCGTATGGCTGGCTTTCGGGTTGGTGAAACAGCATCTCCGGGCTGGAAGGTTCCATATGAGGCTCTGTGGGGGATTCAAGGTGAGACAGACGGTGCTGATAAAATGAAGGCTGCGATTGTCGGTGATCATTAACCATATCCATTCCTGCATGGTTGGAGCCACCTCCGAGGGATTGTTCACGTGTGTGCATAAATGGCATACTACGAGGACGTCCGATGAGAGGATCCTCCATAGAGGAGTTGAGGGTAGATTGACTGAGATGCTTCTCATCTGTATCCGCCTTATCGCGGTTACCCTTGCGGGGGCGCGCAGTCAAGTTGTCTTCAAGTGGGTTCATGTCTGGTGGCAGACGAGAGATCTTGCGGAAGGTGATTGCGAAGAAAATACAGATGAAGAAGGAGATCAGGTGTAGTCCGCCATTTGCAAGGGCCAGAATGAAGGTAGTTTCGGACAACTTGACAGTGATGTCGCTGTTTTTGAACATAGTTCCCCAATTGTATGCGTTGGATGTCCACTCGCCATATGCCATGAATGCGGTAAACACGTAGAATGCAATAAGTCCCAAGTCCAGGGTCGAAGCGAACAGCCCATACGCGGCTTGTGAACCGGAGGGTCGAGTGATAGGAGAGCGAGCATGGTGACAAATACCATAAATGGTGTGAAGGATGGAGACAATTGGCTGATATCCAGGTCAGCAGAGGAACTTCCAATCAGATAGGATATACGCACGCCTACGCGAATGATCCAAATGACAGTCGCTGCAGCTCCCGTGATAACAATTGAACAGAACAGGGACCCAAGAGCTCCCAATAGAGTAAAAACGCGTAGTGTGAGCTGAGCTATGCGTGCCCACTTGACGCGATCCTTAGTGTAGGGGCTCATCGGAATCCAAGAGCTGACCGTATTAAAGGAACCCCACTGCATCCACCATTAGCAGAATCCACATTGAATCTCTGGATCGCACATACCGTATCAGGATGCCGATTCAAATTCACTAATGGCCCTGTTGGTTTGGGCTTTGGAGCTGGACGAGTCCAGCTGGCCTCGGTCGCCGCCTTCGGGTTGAAGGCCTTGTCGGTCGGTCCATAGAAGCTATAGGCGGATGGACGATCGTAAAGGAATGGAGGCGACGATCTCCCCATGGTAGCGACTGAAAGAGACTCGTGGCATCCACGCGCAAAAGAGTGAGAGGAATGTCGATGAAGAATGAGGCTGGAATGTGACGAGATGTGACTGAGATGTGTAGCTGCGAGTCAACAAGATAGTCGGCCGGGCAACTGATATCACGTGCGTTATCAGATTGATCTCCGCTGGTCTCCGCGATTGTCTCCAACTATGCATCATGCGCTTGAACGGGGCCTTCGTATGTGCTCAATGCACTGCGCGGACTGTTTACCGGCCTCTACGACATGAGAGTTTTGTTTCTCAGTTCATTTTCCCGAGGCGTTTCAACAGCTATGTTGCGCAAACCGGCCGACCAGTCCGTGTTGCTATCGTGGGCTCTGGCCCAGCAGGGTTCTACGCAGCCTATCGACTGCTGGGTAAGCGTGAAGATGCGATAGTGGACATGTACGAGAAACTTCCTGTGCCATTTGGTCTTGCTCGGTATGGTGTTGCACCGGATCATCCCGAAGTCAAGGTGAGTCACGGTCACAGCGATCTGATAAAGGATCACATATTGAAGGTACATAAACAGGCTGACGGTTTCATAGAACTGCGAGGATAAATTCACAGAAGTAGCCACCTCTTCACGCTTCAACTTCGTCGGGAATATCGACCTCGGCAACGATCTCCCGCTTTCCGCCCTCAAACCCCACTACGATGCAATTCTGTTTGCCTACGGAGCCGCAAAGGATAAGGAGCTAGGGATCCCTGGCGAGCAGGCGCTGAAGAATGTACACTCAGCCCGCGCCTTCGTGGGGTGGTATAATGGTCTCCCCGAGCACCGGGATCTCGATCCCGACCTAACGAGCGGGGAGGATGCTGTAATCGTCGGACAGGGCAATGTTGCACTAGACGTTGCCCGTATTCTTCTTTCGGACGTCGATGCACTCCGCAAGACCGATATCGCAGACTATGCACTAGAGAAACTTGCTACCAGTCGCATTAAACGAGTGCGAGTTGTCGGGCGTCGGGGACCGCTACAGGTGAGTCACGCTGGACTGGCTATTTATATTCCGATTGCTGATCCCTCTGGCATAGGCCGCATTTACTATCAAAGAAGTCCGTGAAATGCTTCAGCTTCCGGGTGTCTCATTCGACCCGATCCCGAAGGAAATCTTTCCACCGGACGATGTGGTCTCGGCATTGCCCCGGGCGCAGAAGCGCCTAATGCAGCTTCTAGCTAAAGGATCAGCCAATGATCCTCAGCAAGCCTCCAGATCGTGGTCTTTAGACTTTTTACTTGCGCCCGACTCGCTATGCTGGGCCCCAGAGTACCCTTACCATCTGTCTCATGCGAGATTCTCTCGCAATGAGCTCGATCCTTCCGATCCTCATAGTCCCAGTTCAAAAGTGTTCCCGAAGTACTTGTCGAGCGGAAAGCGGGCGCAGATTAATCTCCCAGCCAGCGTGTTCTTCCGCAGTGTTGGCTATAAATCGCTTCCTCTCCCCGGGCTAGATGATCTCGGTATCGACTTCGATGCCCGACGCGGAATCATCCCGAACGATGGCTTCGGTCGCGTGACAAGTCTCTCGGGCAAGGGAGCATCTGAGCAACTTCCAGATGGATCTCTGATCTCCACCCTTCCTGGTCTATACTGTGCTGGTTGGGTCAAGAGGGGCCCTACGGGTGTAATCGCTTCAACTATGACCGACGCTTTTACTACAGCGGATACCCTTGCCCAGGATTTAGCAAATCGTGTCGACTCCCAGTCCTTGCTTCATGCACCTGAACAGGGCAGTGGGCTCGGCTGGGATGGAGTGAAGGCCGAGGCTGAACGCCGCGGTCTCCGGCCTACATCCTGGCAGGACTGGTTAAGGATTGATGCCGCTGAGAAAGAACGTGGTCAACAAAAGGGCAAGCCCCGGAGTAAACTTGGCCGTGTAGAAGAAATGCTGGAGGTGCTTGATTGAGCCCTACATGTAAAACATGAACTGTATAGATGAATCAATTTAGATAAATATTCGCAATTCTCCACTAAGTTATCCCATTATATCCCAGATCCCATATATTACTATTTTCATATGCTATGTACATTCAGTCCTTACATTCCGCACACACTGTCATCCACTGCAACGTAAGTGGCGGAAATACGGCCCAACTGTACAGCCTGGCCATTGGTCAGGGTGTTCATAGCCTGGAGGCCAATGTTGAAGCCACCCGGGGCGGCATCAATGGCAAGGACATTGATGGTTTTGTCGATCTTGCCGTTGGAGTAGTGCAGCTGGTAGCATTTGCCACAGTTAGGGCTGTTCCAGGACGGAATGGTAATGGCACCACCGATGTTGGGGAAGTTTGGCAGAGAGCCAAAGTTGCTGTATCCGCGAGGGATCAGACCATTTTCTCCGTCTGAGCAGGCTACGGTCGTCAGAGACGATTCGCGCACATCGTATTTGGGGTCGTAGGAAACGGATACGGTTTCCGCTCTGGCGGCCACTGTGGGAGCGGCGGCGGCGAGGTGGAGGGCTGTCAAGAAGGCGGAGGTGAAAGCGATGACGGACTTCATGATGATGATATAATAAAGGGTTGTTTTTCTCTGTTTGAAGAGGATTGAATGTTTTGCTGGATTGTATACTTCCAGCTGCCTCACATGGTGATTTATATATCGTGATCACCAGGCCTCCCGCCAAGGTTGATTCTATTTCCTACCATCACCACCGCTTGTACCCGGTGCAGGTCTTAGAAACACCCAGCTGACACTCAAATAGGAGGCTTTCATCTCGGGCCCACCATCACCCGATACTTCCGCAATAGATGGCCTGAGAAACCGGTGCAATAAGGCGGAAGGTCAGTGTGGGGTTGACCAGGAAGATGTGGGCAGGACTGAGACATACAGTATGCAGGATGCTATTTCTATGATGAATGCCTAACATCGTAAACAGAGAAGATCGACATCTTCATGCTACCATGCGTATATCCAGATGGTTGGCCGCAGTCGAGGTTGCATTTAGATATGATCCAAAATAGTATCACAGCCCGCATTTTGTTTCATCCATGTCATATCACTTGAGCAAGACGAAACAAAGTAAGCAAAAAAAAGAGAAACACGAATAAAACACAAAATATCCTGCGACAGGCTTTTTTTAGATCTTTTATCAGATAAAAAAAACAAACGTCCCCGGGAAGGCTCGAACTTCCAACCTCCTGATTAACAGTCAGACGCGCTAACCAATTGCGCCACGGAGACGAACTTGTTGAAAATCACATCAGCTCTGTGATACTTGAAGACCGTAGTTATGGTCGAACTGATATTCAGTTATCCTCATTCTCCCTCCGTCTTCTTTCCATTCAAACTTCGAACTTGTCACGATCTTGGCCATGTAATTCCTTGATCTTCAGTTCTCCTGATCATCTAATGCCCGTGCCCCTGAGAAATCACGAAGTACACAAATACCTCAAAAACGAGTGAATATAAGATTTCCATATCGCGCCAATAGACGTGGACAGCGGATCCGGGGCTATGTCCCACAATGGTATATTTGCTGCCATGCTTTCGGAAGACACCGCGCTTGTGTCTTCAAGTGCTGGATCGACTGATCTACATTGCGTCTAGGCTCTCCAATGGCTCTGGTTGGAGCAGCGATTACGAAAGTTCCCGACTCAAACACCTGTGATGCCCCACGAGGTTCAACTCCAGGCTAGTAACAATGCGTGTAGCTCGGATTACCCCAAAGGCCAAGCGTTGGCAATTCCAATCCATTGCTTGTTCCACTTGTGGGCCAGGTCGGGTCAAATACGAAGGGGCTAACCCACTTGGCTCGTCAATGGCAGCCTCGGGCGCAGGCTAACCAGCAAAGGACCTATTCAATACGAGTTAAATCCCTGGCCGGAACTGTGGGGCTCGTGGTAAAGTCCGCTTCAAATTTTAGTTGTTATCTGCAATGTCGATCACCAGCGCAATTTTTGGATAAGAGTGGAAGTTTGGACTTGGTTGTAGGACTCGGTACAAACCATCCAGTGTGCGTGGAGTGTTCCATCTCCACTACATCTAGCCTGGATGATTTGCCAAATGGAGTATACAGTCACTACTCCATATATGGAACTAGCGTGGACTATTGCGTGGAATCCATGGAAGTCCGCTGCCAGTGAACTCCTAAGCATTTTTGCACGGCTTGGCAGAGTGGATGGCATCTATGCACTCCCCCCGGATCCTGTTCTAAGGATCCTGTTCTTATAGCTAGGACCCCTCGGCTTTATCAATCCCGTTTTGCAACGGCTTCATCATGTTTTCCCACGTACTACGCTCCCTAACGTCGGATCATGGCCTCGTTCCTCGCAAATGGGAATTTCGGGAAGAAGTTCAACTTGTGGGCTCCGATCGTTCGCTCTTTATTGCTATGGGGACCATTGCTCTGATCTCCCTGGTGTCCTCTCTTTCTCTACTCAGTTTCCTGACCTACCGATTTGTCTACTGGCAACGATACTACAAAAGCCCGCTCTCCAAAAACCAGTATGTCGTGCTCATCTATAACTTGCTTCTCGTCGACTTGCAACAGTCTCTCGCTTTCTTGATATCCCTCTACTGGGTGTCTGTGGGAAGTGTTCGCTTTGGTGAAGCCGCCTGTTACTTGCAAGGGTGGTGGATCCAGACTGGTGACCCTGGCAGTGGATTGTTTGTCTTGTCTATCGCCCTGCATACAGGTGCAGTCGTTCTGCGTGGTCGTCAAGTGACATTCCAAACCTTTATCTGGTGTGTGGTCGGACTTTGGACTTTCATTTTGATTCTGGGATTCGTTCCTGTTGGTCTATACGGGAAAGATGTCTTTGTGATCTCTGAGGCCAACTGGGTATGTAATACCTCCTACTGGTCTTGATATTCAATTAACTGACTCGTTGATAGTGCTGGGTGAGTCCCGAGTATGAAGACGAACGTCTCTGGGGTCACTACTTCTGGATTTTCGTTTCCGAATTCGGCACCGTTGTGCTCTATGCGATCATGTTCTTCTACCTCCGACGCCGTATGCAACAAGCGAAACAACTGCGCCGTGGCCAGCAAGAAAGTCTGCACCGTCTCAACCGAGTCGTCGTCTACATGGTTGTCTATCCTCTGGTGTATCTTATCCTGTCTTTGCCACTTGCCGCCGGTCGTATGGCCACTGCACGTGGTAGTGCGCCCAGTAAAACCTACTTCGGTGTAGCCGGTTGCTTGATGGCCCTGTCCGGCTTCTTCGATGTGATGGTATACACCTTGACCCGTCGCCATCTCCTGATCGACACCGAGCACAGCACCACCGACCGCAACTACGACAACACCGACTCGCAGTGGCAGACCAACATCACTACCAACGCTGGAGGATCCTCGAAGCCCCGCAGCAAGGGATTCCGCAGCAAAGGAGGATCTCGCTTTGGCTCCCGATTCCGCCAGAATTCAAACCCCGACACCAAGAGGACCAGTCCCTTCGATGACTCGACCGATGATATCGTCCCTAAGAATGAAATGGAAATGTCCAACTTCGGTGGTGTGGTTCAAGAGACAACAATCGAGATCTCACACGAGCCCGTCTCCGCATATGAGTCTGATGAACACAATGAGCGCCGCAACAGCTAAAACCTTGGATATCTTGCTTATGACTATAATCTTTCTTTCCCTTACGATTTTGTATATACCATATTCCCTTGTGTCTACTTCTTCCGGCACTACCTACTCCACTAACGGACTTTCCTAATATATGAATTAATTTATGTCAAATTAAACTACATTGATATCCGAGTGTTTGCCATCAGACTTAGAATCCACTGCAAAGTAGATTTTACCATATACAAAACGACCAGTCGACCAAATTCAAGTTTCTGCACAACATCTGCAGAACCCGGCCAGCCGCAAGTGGAGAACTAGAAAATACCCTGCGCAGTGGTACCGCCACCGAACCCCTGACCCAGAACAATAGTCGGACCCCGGTAGACTAAGCATATTCTAGTGTATGCAAGCGAAGAAAAGAACAAACTATCGTGTCGATCATTATAGAGCACAGTCTAAAAGACCCTAACCGGAGAAACACCCCGACCACTGAGGAGAAATGAACAGCGGTTTCAGACCCAATTTTGGATATCGCGGCCCGTTGTTACGTGGTGAGAGCTTAGCAAGCTAAACAACCCTAAGTGGAACAGTCCCAGCCGTCTGCTTTCTGGATTTGTTGGACCGAGCTACGTATGTTTAGTCGAGCGATCTGTGCACTTCTGTGGAGACCTCATTTCGGCGACCGAGGTCCACTTCGGGGAGATTTGGTTGAGATCTTACATTTTCTTTTTAAACTAGGAGAGAATATACGAGCAAATAGCCGAGTAATTAAAGTTGGTAGGAGACCGAACCCCTATGTTGAAGGACCTCTATGTTGAAGTGATTTCTATCTTATAGTGCACGGAGGGCGGATCAAAACCTGTATTCTAACGTCCGGCAAACCCGGAGATTTGCAGCATGTGAACCGGTTCGATTGAAGATCTGTGGAGTTTATTAGATTCTTACCGCCCACAATAATTGACTTCCATGGATGAAGCAGACAAAAATGGGTCGTGTTCCAGGTTCAGGTCCATAAAAAATCGCGATGACGATTGATAGAGGCTTTATGCGCAAAGGGTACTAATCCCTGCTTCGGATCGCTCTATAAAAGTCCAACTCATAAATCATGCAGATCTGGCGTAACTCCTGAACCTTTTGCTTTTTGCGTCTTCGATCCTCATTAATTCACATTTACACACGCCTAGCTATACCCGGTCCAAAGCCATCGACCGCAAAAATGTCATCTATGGACACAACCTTTGCAAGTTCCCTTCCGTATCGTACCAAAGATGACCAGTGGATAAATACTGGAGACTCGTGGCAGGCGACACGAGAAGTCCACAAAAATACGACGCTTTTATATTTAAAGGGGATATCTGTTTGAGTATATCTCCATGCGCTAAGCACTATCTCACGGAATAGGCCACTCATAAAGCCACTAGGTGATGCAAGCTCGCATTATATATTCTACGAGAATGTTGATAGGCTATCCTTGAACGAAGATAAATGATGCTATAACTAAAATGAATTGCGCTATTCCCAAGGTAACTAATTATGTGAGTGAGAGATCTTGAGACTACAGTTACTTGTAGTTTCACTCAAATATCCAATTTAATAGCAGCACTATATTGAGAATTGAAGCACGAACTAGACACGTTACTGCAACGTTGAGATATCAAAGCGGTCCAAGTCATATCGGGGACCTTGTGGAGCTTTGGCTTTGCGGGGACTTCCACTCCGCTCGCGAGTAGAAATACAACTACACCCGGCCATATATCGCATGCTCACCGATAAATAGAGTACCATCGAAGAAATGACAGAGCCGAAGTCAGTTGCCGTTATCGGAGGTAAGAACACTCGGCTTTGTTAGCACCATACGTACTAACCTACTTGCTAGCCGGCATTTTCGGACTTTCGCTGGCCATTGCACTGCGAGACAGAAGTGAAAAGAAGACTCCATGTTAGCATACCTTGACTGACTCCTTTGCAGACTATGAAGTATCTGTATT